CAGTCAGTTTTCATAACCTGTATAGGCTGTATTAGATCGGCTTCTATTCATGTTTAAACTTTGGTCTTTGTGGGTATCTTTATGGATGAATTTGGTTAATTATTTACCATTATAATTACAAATAGCTCTGTTGCTTCAACTACTAATGTTATGATCAAGTTGTCTGATACTTAGTATTATCCTTCTACTATCCTCTCTCTATCTCCACCTAACACTATTGACCACCCTCAAGGAAAATCTTTTTTCTTCATAAACTGCTTTCTGGACTGCCCATTTTGCCCTTCCAGACTCCTATTGTATGTCTGATTTCTTGCATACTTCTACAGTTCTACTCCTATTTCTCTTTGTGCTGTTCTGTAATTGTATGTGTTGTGTCATCATATTCTTGCAGAAATTGAATCTAAATGGAACTTGGAAGATTCTTAAGTCTTCACAGATTTTTATGGTTTAAATTTGCAAGAACAATGGTAATTATAAATGACATGAAACTATGTAATATTGGACATGATTTGGTGATTAGTACAATACAAATTGAGTTGGGCCTGAATGTCATGGTCACCCTTTCTATTATTATATGATCCATGATTAACTTGAACGGATAGCCTTCTTTAAGACTCCTTAAACTTGGTGTACTATTTATATTGGTGGAAGAACTTGCATTTCCTTCAGAAAATTACTTGGACATCAAACTAGTAAGATACTTTGGGTAGGTGAAAGTTAGAACACTTAGAAGATTAGTTATCTGAGCCATGGTTGTTCCTGCTGCCTGAATCTGTGGTGGGCCTGAATCTGTGGTGGACCTCTTGGTGTTGTGTTAATTGCTACTGATCAACCATGTTAGTGGGAGACAAATCTTGGTCTTCTTGCTTAACTTAGTGTTGACTGAAGGCTGATGAGAAAGTTGTTTAAAGCATCGGAAATATTTGGTGAAAATAAAACTTGCTTATTATGGAATTTTCTCAGTGCTTCCTTTATTCCTTGCATTTTGTTTAATGGGAAAGGAGAGCATTCTAAACAGAAGCGAGAGAATTTCATTAGCAGATGGCAGATATGAAAGTTCGATGACATTTCATTATTTGAATGTAGACTTTATTCTTTGCATTTGTTTAATGGGAAAGAATCTATTGAATGTTCTGCTCTCTGCAGCCAGCCAAGCAGTTCAGGTCACTTCTTTGAAATGGAATTCAATAGTTTCCCGAGAAGTTTGATTCTTGTATCCAACTGAATGACCACTGAGCAATTGGATGCTGGATCCTTGGACGTGTTTTTGGTTGTTTTTGCATGTCTCTAATAGTATAGGCACTCATGTGGCATACATTATACTTGTACATTGATTGCTGTTTCCTTTGTTCTTTCTTGGTATCAATTCATTCAAATTAGTTGTGACTTTTCTGATTATTCTCATTTCTCGCACTAAATGAAGAAAAACTAGGCAATGAATGTTGGTCAAAACTCAGCTGTTGTAGCAAGATTTACATTTTTGAACTACAATCCCTTTACATTTCCCTTTAAATTCATTTAGCCATGTTTTGCTAATTTCATCATTGTTATTTACCCAGGTTGCTATACCAGTGGTTCCTACAATTAGAGTATTAGTTACTTTCACAAAGTTCGAGGAAATACAACCAACTGAGGAATTCTCGACACCTCCTTCCAGTCCCACCGCTGCTTCTGATGAGAGTCCAGCAGTAACCAGTGCTTCAAGTTCCTCCTGGTTCCGATGGGCAAAAGCTCCTTACCAACGCTCGACCTCATCAAGTGATAGTACTTCCGGCAACAAGACAGAGAATAGTCAAGACCCATTTGCTATCCCTTCAGACTATGTTTGGATTACTGCTGAAGCAAAGAAAAAAAAGATGGAAGAGAAGAACCGAGCTAAGAAAGGGAAAAACAAAGAGCAACCAAGTCTGGCTCATTAATTGGAGTGGTACGGTATACATAATAGCTTGTGAAACAACTGACAAAACGGGAATTCTCGAAGGGCAGAACAGCATATTCATTTACCATGTAGATAGTAGGAGTGCTGACAAAGTTGGGAGAGAACTTTTCTGCTCTGTTGAAAAAGAATTCATAGTATACTGCAGATGTGGGTGTTTAACTATATACTACTAGAGTTGCAACTTTGCTGCAGTTGTAGTTTACGCAAAGTTTGCATGCGGTTGATTTATAACGAAGGGAACTAAGTTGATTTCTCATTGCATTCTTTTCGATTGGTATATTTATCAATCAAATAATCACGCTGCTTTTGTATTGGAGAAAGGAGCACTGTTGTTTGCAATTTTCTGCTGAATCCAATATCTGCTTTGGAAATGAATATGCTTTTTTGCTGTTCTTGGCTCAATAAGCTTACTAGAAATCAATCTTTGGAGCATGCCTTTGTTTCATATTACTCCGTATCACTAATCAACCTCACATTTTACACAATCGCGTGCCTTTGTTTGGAAATAGTTGCTAATTGACACAATCCATCTTTGCCATTTTACTAGAATAACTTTTATACGTGATGATGTGATGATAATTTCTTCTCTTAAGTTTAAGGTACTTGTGGTATTCCGTAGTTATTAAAAATATACATCCATACTATATAATCCCACGGATATCATAGGAGTGGCCTTGCCTAGTTGTTTTATTTGCTTTGTTTGTATGGGGTTTTCCCCCTCTTTTGCATCAAAAGAAAATATAATCCCACCATCAAAAGAAAGTAATTGGTAAGTGATTTTCAATCAAGTATTTTATTGGCTTTTAGCTTCCAAAAAAAAAAGTAATTAATTAGTTAGTACTTCGTACTTAGTATCTATATAATTATTTCAAAGAATAGGGTTAATAAGAGGAGAGTAAAACCCAAATCCTCTCCTCTCAATATTGCCCTTTATTAGCCCACCATAATCCACCGCGACCTGCAGTGAAGATCTTCATATTCTTCTTTTTTTATAGAATAAGAATATCTAATCTTATAGCCTCCTTTTTTTTTTTAAGAGAAAGCCAGCTAATGCATTAATCAACGGACAAAGTGTCCAATAGAATATAGGGTTAATCTCTTTGGACAATGATTTACCTAAACCTTTTCAATACCAAACGACAATAGCTTAGCAAGGTCGTAATACCAAACCTGGCTACATAATTGTCATCCCAGTTGACATGAGACCATCCACAAGACATAATTCACAGCTAATCGACATAATATCCCATCACCCATCTACGTATAATACTAAAAAGACAAATATATCTTACTTCCTTTGTTTTTTTTTTTTTGTTTGTTTTTAGCCAATGCCGTCAACTACCTATTGTTAAATATACCCAACATATCCCTCAAATCATATAGTTGTGATAATTTTTTTATTCAAAAAAAAAAATAAAATAGTTATGATAATTTTGATTCATATATTTTTCCAATTTTTATACTTGGTATAAAATATTTTCTATGTCTATTACTTCTTATTTTCCATATCTTTGAAATAACATTACATCATATTTTATACCTTCAGATCTTAAATCTATCTATCTATAACTAATTTTTTTGTTTTAAATTTTGGCAATCATATTATAATTTAATCCATATACAACCTACTAGAATAGTTTTACATATTTTAATATATACCCTATTGTAGGTAATATTTAAGAAAATACTAACATATATAGGGCACTATATTATTAATATTTTATCCAAGATTTACTATAATATAATCATTTTTTTTTTCATGCAGTTTTGTTATTTGGCAATAAATTTAATACCATTCCCTACTTAATACGGAGTATAAAATAAAATTATCTGGAATACAATTATATTTTTCCTACTTTATTTTTTTTTTGGTTTTTCCTTCCCTACTTTAATATAATGTTTGTAATAATCTATAAAAAAAAAAACAATTGTTATTGTATCAAGCAAAAAAATTTCATACTATATTACTGACGAACTATCACTTTTTTTTTTATTGAGAGGTGAACTATCGCTTAAAAGAAATTGATAATCACATAGTAAAATAAAATCAAATTAATTTGTATAAAATGTTTTATGGATCAAAGTGTGTCAACAAAAAAGGGACAAAGGGTATTGAGTATATCGCACGGGCACTAACCTAAAATTCTTATTATATATATACATATATATATAAAATCTCATAAACCCTTATTTCTTTCCTTTTTTTTTGGTATGCGTACAAATAAATTTCAAGTTATATTATTTCTTATTCAAAAAAAAAATATATTATTTCATTTAAAAATATTTTTATTTGATTGGCAAGTTATTATCACTCCATATGATTGAACTAATAACTTTAACTTCTTTTGCATGGATGGGTACAAATTAAATTTCTAGTTATTTAGTTCATTTAAAAATATGTTTTTTCTTTGATAAGTTATTACTCCGTTTGATTGAATTAACATATTTTATTACAAAATTTTACATTACCGCGCTTAACATAGAATTTAAGATAGTTTATACTTAAGCTTAAATCATCGCCCATTCACATGAGCTTTAAAACTAGTTATGATATACATCTTGAATATAACTTATTTAAACTTATTAATGCTAAAAATTTATTTTATTAATTTTTTTTTGAACGCAAAATGAAAGTTATTTAAATGTATGTAGATTACATTCGCTTCTCTAAATACTTTTTACTCATAAAATCATGCATTATAATTTATCATCGATTATTGATCTTGAATCTAACTTTTTTTATTTTTTTAACTAAATCTTGAATCTAACTTTTTTTAACTAAATCTTGAATCTAACTTATATGTTGTGATTCATGACTAAAATTGGTTGAACTAAATTCTTTAAAAAAAACATGATAATTATGACCTTAAAGAGTTAAAGGCGGCATGGACACCAAATTGGACAAAATATTTAGACATACTTACTTAACAAAAAAACAAAAATCAAATGAAACTAATAATAATAAAAAAAAAGCATTCACTAATTTTCCAAAATTAATAAACCTTTTTAAAAATAGTGTTATCTTGTCTTGAATTGCTAAAAATATAATAAAGTCGTCATTTCAATCATCATCATCATTTAAGCCTTCGCCTGTTTATCTTGACTACTACCGACTTTGGGGATAATAAATTCATCTCATTTTTTCAGATTTGGAACCCTAAATTTTTTAGTTGATTTTCTCTGATTTCTGCAAAAATGGATAGAGCAATTAACAGGCAAAAAATTCTTCTCGATCATCTTCGTCCTCCTTCTTCCTCCGATCACAATTATGAAGCTGTTCTCTCTGTATGTAACAATTCATCTTTGTTGTAGTAATTTTTTTATTCAGATTGTCTGATTTTGATTGCACGATGTGTTCGATATAATAAGATTTCAATTCAAGAATCATAGGTTATAATTATAACTTTATAAGAATTCTGAATGTATGATGTGGGCTGCCTGTTGTTAGTATTAGCTACTTGTTATTTTATTCAATGAATTATTGTATAATGATCCAAAAAATGAATTTGAAGCTGAAATTGGATTGTCGGATTTTGTATGATTGAATTGGATTGTTAGTTTTTGTATGATTGAATTGGATGGATCCGATTCTTGGTTGTTGGGTCTGTTATGAATGGTTTGCGGATCTTTGTAGTTAGTACTTGCATGTTTGTGGTGAAATTGAAATCTATTTTGAGAAACTTAAATTGTGATCTTACACTTTTAGCTGAATTATGTTGGTTATATATAGAGCTTATTAGCTAATGAGAATTTCGCGGGTTTTAGATTCGAGCGCGGTGCTATGTTTCTGGCAAATAATTGGCCTGTGATAGCTAATTGTTGGTGTTAGGTGTGATTATTGCGTGGGGGATCATGAAAGGTTTAAGGGCTTGATTTCATTGGTTCAGCCCGTAATTTTGTATTCCGATTGCTGTCATGTTGGTGTATTAGATTGTTACGTAATTGACTACTAGGAATCATCTATCTTGTTGGTTGGTACTTATTTATTCACCGCCGTTGCCTCTTATATTAGTCATCGTATTGTGTCTTATACTTGATGGCTGTCATAAACACTTAACTGACTCTTAGGCCTTCCTTTTCTCGTCGAAGCTGTAGGACAGTAGGAGGGAGAGAGAGAGGGGTGGGGAATGTCATTCCACGTTGAGTGGTGGACTTTGGTTATAATGTTTGATTTAATTTATCCAGGAGTTAGTAGACAACTACACTTGGGCACCTCCTGAATTTAATTGTATTAAATTATTTCCAAGTGCGATTAATTGACAAGGGGTTGGAGTTCTTGTTTACAGTCTTCTAATTGTGATTTTTGACTTCTTTTAGTCCTTGGCTACATTGCGATCTCAAAATTTTGAGAATAAAGGTAGGATGGGAGATTTTGGGACTGGGACTCCATTACCGTAGTTTTCTAAGTTACCGATGCTCTATTATCGGACACATACTAGACTAGTTGGTTAATTGCATATAGTTTGAGAAAAGCCCATGGAACTTGGTAGCAGGTCAGAATAGCACTGAAGGAAAACTCATATCCCTGTCAGATACTTGTAAGTTCTAACAAGATTTCTGTATTTCTCAAGAGTTCAAACGACATACAGACTTTTAGTAGTCATAACATTCAGAATATACTTGATCCTTTGGTCCATTACACATTATTCTGATTTAACTAAGATATTCAATGTGTCGTTTGATACATACAGTATAAGGATCTCTTCTCAACTCATTCTATCTCATTTATGTTGGTTGTGGTGGTTATTGCAGGCAACTAATTGCATGGCGGGGGATTCTGCTGCTTATCACAGGACTAGTGCTTTTGGTGATGATGTTGTCATAGTAGCGTAAGTTGTCACTGTGTGGTTATACTATACCCACTTTTAGTTACTAGGATATAATAACTGCTTAGTCATACTGCATCTTATTTTTTTACAGAGCACACCGCACTCCACTTTGCAAGGCAAAACGAGGTCTATTCAAGGACACATTTCCTGATGATCTTCTTGCACCAGTTTTGAAGGTCCACATGGATTATGCCTTTAATGATTTCCCTTTCAAAAGGGGGCTTGTATAAATCATTGACACAAAAGAGATTGAGAAGTTGTTACCTATGTAAACACACATCTATAATTAGAGTTATTAACCTTGCTAAAATTGAAGTAATCTATGAGTTTTCCTTTTCCCGTAACTTGCTACCGTGGCAGAGAAACTGATTTTTAATATTAACATGCTGTTAATCTGAATGCATGTTTTTCTCTTACCCTATCAATTTTCATTGGAATTCCTCTCCTTCCTCTTATGTTAGTCATGCTCAAAACTGCAATCATATGTACCCCTGTTTCTCAAGATATCTATCTTTACATTGATCTCTTCTTGTATATTTAGGCAGTAATAGAGAAAACAAATGTGAACCCTGCTGAAGTTGGGGACATTGTTGTGGGAACTGTTTTGGCCCCAGGTTCTCAGAGAGCCAGTGAGTGTAGAATGGCAGCATTTTATGCTGGTTTCCCAGGTATATCTCTTATGGAGTACCTCTTTTTTTTTTTTTTTTAACCAATGATTAGTTTGATCATTAGTTCAAAGTATCCAATTACCTTCTTAGCAACCAATGTGAAATAGCTTGCATTTGTATTTTCTTCATTTAAATCTAGATGACTAGACGTGCTACTTTGTAATCAGATAGTTTTATTTAATATGAAATTTTGGTACTTTATCATTTGGAAACTTGATGTAGTTTTCAAAATCTCCCTATTTTTGGGTTTAAGGTTTTCACTGAGCCAACTGGATATTGGGAGAGACATGAATGTGAAATATGCAAGTAATAAATTTTTATTAACTTGGCTTGTTGTTTGTGAACAGAAACTGTTCCTGTAAGGACTGTGAATAGGCAATGTTCTTCTGGGCTACAGGCAGTTGCTGATGTAGCAGCAGCCATCAAGGCTGGATTTTATGATATTGGTAAGGACCTTTGCTTAGTGTATTGTTGAAAGTAATGAGCAAAATTTGATCCCCTCCGGAAAAAGTAATTATTTTACTTAGACTTGGCTTGAAGAGTCAAGACACAGTCACAAAGATGTGTGTCCAAGTGTCAATATACGTTCATTTATGAAAACTCTGCATAATTTTGGTCCACTATGAAGTGTCCAAGTGTCTTACATACCCTGCCCTAAAGTTTGAATGTCCAACATGGGTGGTTGAGGTGAAATGAAGAGTTGGTGTAACCTCGGACAAGAAATGGGAAGGGGACCAATTAAGTTTGTTTCTTCTTTGTACTATATAGTATGTATAGGTCACATTCCAAATTTTCACATTGCAGGAATTGGTGCGGGATTAGAGTCTATGACAACAAATGCTATGGCTTTTGATGGATCTGTGAATCCCAGAGTAAGTTCTTGATGATCCCTTGTCTGAGTTATCTCACAATCAAGGTTATATTGACGTGCCTCTGTATACATGTAATATAGAGAATTTTTCTGTTATATCTTATGAGACTGTGTAGCTCTTGATATGTTTTCCTCTTGTGGTAGGTAAAGGATTTTGTTCAAGCCCAAGATTGTCTTCTTCCTATGGGTATAACTTCAGAAAATGTGGCACACCGTTTTGGTGTGACAAGGGAAGAACAGGACCAAGCAGCGGTGAGTTACATGACTTTTCAGATGTGGTTTTCTTAGGTGCTTACACAGAGTTAAATAATGATTTCTTTGAGCTTGGACCTGTTAGGTAGAGTCTCACAGGAAGGCTGCTGCTGCAACTGCTGCTGGTAGATTTAAAGATGAAATAATACCCGTACACACAAAGGTAATCCTCATATTAAACTATTGTGATTTTTTGTGTCTCATTTGTCAATTCATGCTCTTAGTGACTTCTCATGCTTTTCCCTTCCACCTTTTTAGATTGTTGATCCAAAAACTGGAGATGAGAAGCCTATTACTGTCAATGTCGATGATGGTATCCGGCCGAATGCAAGTGTTGCAGATCTGGCCAAGTTAAAGCCTGTATTCAAGAAGAGTGGGACAACTACTGCCGGTATAAGGCATTTCAGAAGTGATTTTAAGTTCTTGTACTTGTGTAGCAGTTTCCTATCTTACTTTTTTTCCTCTTTTCCTCTCTTGTAGGAAATTCTAGCCAGGTGACTGATGGTGCCGGAGCTGTTCTGCTAATGAAGAGAAGTCTTGCCATGCATAAAGGGCTACCTATTCTTGGTGTCTTTAGGTATATAATCTCTTCTTTTATCCTCCACATCTCCATCCATTTGTCTTCTTTCTCCTTTGGTTTGGTGGGGTCTGTTGATTACTGGTTGCGCTGGTTGCAGATTACTGCTTATTTTGTCTTTTATTTTCTGTGACTGATAGAAACATGTTAGATATGATTTAAAGATGAGTCATTTCAGGTATTTAATAGATGTGGTGGCAGTTAAGAGTTGGAACCTTTGGCCACTATCATTAAACCCATTCATCCACAATAATAAAAGGGAAAAATTAACAAGAATAATCCAAACTATCGTCTCCCTTCCCATTTTAATCCCAACTAAGTTTTAAATCAGAATAATCCTAACTATTAGGGGTCCTTCTCAAATTAGTCCCTCTTACCTACTACCTGTGATACCAGTTGAAGTTTTTTTTTTTTTTTTTTTTTTTTTGAGACAATTAACTTTTTATTTATTTAATTTAATTATTATCACCCATTATTAACTTTTTATTTATTTAATTTAACCTACAACCTCAGCCACTTCCATAGCCACAACCACCATTACCCCCTATCTCTCTCTTCCTTCAAACCACCATAGACCCACCACCTCCTCACCGCCACACCACCACCATGGCACCACCTCCTTCCTCACTGCCACACCACCACCGGTCATCAACCCACCCCTCTCCCCTCCAAATTGTGGTACCCCCACTAATTTTAATTAAATTAATTTGTTCAGGTTTGACATTTTACTAATTTTAGAAATATTCCCCACAAAAGAAAAATAGTCCTCCGTCAATCGGCTCAATCCGCTTATTAATTGGGCATGTTTCATTGCTACACATTTCCTCCACCCCCTGACCCCACATACATCCCCATTCGCATCCCCGTTCCGCGGTCATTGGTCGGTGTGGTTTTTGTGGGGGCGAAAATTAAGGTTGATGGTCATTGACTCATTGTTGTTGGTGGTGATGGTGGTTGATGGCTGGGGTGGCAGAAAAGGGTGGTTTCGGTGGATGGGCTTGGCTGGAAAGATTATTTTGGTTGCTGAGGGTGGATGTAAAGGTGGTTTTAGTGGATGGAGTTTGCTGGGTAAGTGTGAGAGGATGGTGGTGGTGGGAGTTTGGGGTTGAAAGTAGATGGGTTTTTTTTTATTAATTTTTTTTATTTTAATAATAATGTAAATAATCTAACCAATAATATGTTGACATGTTGCTCATTTTACCTGATTAATAGGTTAATAAAAAGTCTGAAACTAATTTGAGAAGCCCTCATAGTTGGGATTATTCTGCTTTAAATCATAGTTGAGATTAAAATGAGAAGGAAGCCAATAGTTTGGATTATTTTTGTTAATTTTTCCTAATAAAAGGGGCATTTTATGAACTTGCATTTTATAATGTGAAACTTGTTGTGCAGGACTTTTGCTGCTGTTGGAGTTGACCCTGCTATCATGGGAATTGGCCCAGCTGTCGCAATCCCAGCTGCTGTGAAGGCTGCTGGCTTAGAACTTGATGATATTGATCTCTTTGAAATAAATGAGGTGACAATTGAATTGGGAATTTCTGAAGCAAATACATGGACTTTGGATCATATCATCGATATTTTTCTTTTACTTGACATGTAACTTGTTTCAATGTCATCTTGATTTTACAGGCATTCGCTTCTCAGTTTGTGTACTGCCGTAAGAAGTTGGAACTTGATCCAGAGAAAATCAATGTAAATGGAGGGGCTATGGCAATAGGGCATCCTTTGGGTGCAACAGGTACTGAGATTTTATTTGTAATTTTTTTTTTCTTTTTTCTGGTGCCTACTTTCTAGTTTAATATGAGTTGATGATGTTAAATTAAACGAGATACGAGTCTATTTGTTCTGAGCTTGACATGTATCTTGGGAGTTCCTGGTTCTATCTTGTCTATATCTCACAACCTAGTTAAATTTTCATGACATAATATGGTGGTGGGTTCAGAATTTGAATAGTAGATGGTTGAGAAGAGTGTTCTTGTTGGATGATCAATATGCCAAATTGCCAATGTATAGCACTCCATACATTGTTAAATACTTGGCCAAAATTATGATATTATCTTCTCGATATAATAGGCCTGACATTCTGGATTTACTAAGCTAAAAGTTGAACATCCCCATATTACCTTTAATAATATGCTGAACTTAAAAATCCAAAGAAAGATGACATAAGATAGTCAGTAGAGATGTATATCTTTCACGAGTGTCTAGTATTAGGGACAGAGAGGGAGTGCTAGCTATTTGGAGAGTTATATATATGTTACGTGTTAGATGTAGTAGTACTTTTGTAATCAGGTTTCTTGTGGCTTCTGGTCTGTTATAGGTGCTCGTTGTGTTGCCACCTTGCTGCATGAGATGAAGCGTCGTGGTAAAGACTGCCGATTTGGAGTTATATCAATGTGCATAGGTATGGGCTCTGCTTATTTCCATGTTTGCTGAAATCATACTGATTGTGAACAAACTTGTGGATGTATGTATATTATTTAACCCCCCCCCCCCTTTTTTTGGCAACTTCAGGAACTGGTATGGGTGCTGCAGCTGTTTTTGAGAGGGGAGATGCTGTCGATGAGCTATGCAATGCTCGTAAGGTTGAAAGCCATGGTTTCCTATCCAAGGATGCTAAATGATCTTTTAGAACAGCAAGCAAGTGGTGAAAAGGGTTTGGAGAACAAAGTTTACATTATGAATATTTTCAAAGTGTACAACTACCATTAGGCGTACTCTTGTCACCAACTACTATATCATAGAATAGAGAAAGCCTAGTATCTGATACTTTCTGTTCTGGTATTGAATGTATTGCAGAAACTCCAGTATTAATCTTTCAAATATTATAATCTTCATAACAATAAAATGTGCAATAAATTTTACTCGTATGTGCGAGGGCTTTTGAAATCCGTTGTTTATGTCTAGGCAGCTCACCCATCAAAAGCCCTGTAGTGTTATATTTCTACTGCTTCTGTTCATACTCTCGTACTGACTGTAAATGTATACAGAGTGCTATTAATTTTGAAATCTCTGGCATATGTTACGTTCGTGTAGATATAGTTATCACATATTAAGTTGAAATTACACTATAATTATTTGAAAAAATTGGTTTTAATATCCTAACTTTGGTCGATTTCTTTGAGTAATCCTAATTTTCGATTATCCTAAAATAATTTTAACTTTAGGGTGTGTTTTCTTCAACAGTCCTACTTATTTTACAAGTTATGTGTTTCATGCACGTGTTAGTTGTACCATCTTTTAGGCATATCTCGTACAATAGAAATTGCAAGAGAGGGACAATTTTAACATTACTTTTCAAGTCATCAACTTTTGACCTAACGCTTTGTTTGGATAGTAAGTGAGGAAGGAAAGGAAGGGGAGGGAAATAGGAGGAAGGGAAGGGGAAAGAAAGGAGGGGGAGGTGAACTCCATTTTCCCTCCAATTCTCTCCAAATTTCGAGGGATTATGCTTATTAAAGAGAGAAGGAAAATGGATCCCTCCCTCTCATTTCCCTTCCTTCCCTCAATCTTTTACCCAAACAAGAGAGTTTGTGCCCCTCCCTTTCTCTTCCCTTCTTTTCCTTCCATTTCCTTTTATCCAAACAAATTAACAAAGTGTTAATATCGGTTAAGAGAAATTAAGGAATGAGATATCCCTTTTAACATTTTGAGAGGGCCTAAAACTTTACTTTATAAATGGTTTATGTAAAGACGTAAGGTGTAATCTGTGTATCAGTATCACACTTAAATAATGAGAATGAATTCGTTAGTGGCCAAGCTACATGGTAATGACAATTGAAATCTATATGCTCTGGCATTTGATGTGCTAGAGCTACGAGGAAGTCTATAACTATTATCCTATAATTTCATAGTAGACAAAAGTATACTTTTGCTCTGGCATTTGGTATTCTGTATTTTTATAGACAAAAGTATACTTATTAAGTTATTAGCATGAATTATCACTGTAAATAAATTTACATGAATTTAATCAGTAAAAGATATTATGCTATTGAATTGAGTCCCACATAAAGGAGGCAATTTATTGTTCCAAGCTTGGACTGGACTAAGGGTAGAAAATTTGAAATTCAAGATTAGTATGTCGGACTAATAATGCTAGAATTGGACCAAAATCAGACCGATTTGGACCGTATTTTAGTACATTGGATAAACTTTGCAATTCTTTTCCAACTAATACGTACGAAGTATAATTTAGTCTTATACCTAAATAAAAGATTCACATTTGTTTACAACACTCCATATAATCAATTACTTTATAAATTGCAATCTAGAATTAAAACAAAATAACTTCCCATAACTCGCACATTTATTGTGAGATGTTTGAAATCTTTACAAGAAAAATAAACCGTACCGAACGAACCAGACTAACCTCGAACTAGATTAGAGTCATTAGACGAGAGCCGAAGTGGAAGTAGTTTTATATATTTTTATTTTTTTGAGGGAACCAGTGGAAGTTTTGAACAAACAGAAACGCAAGAATACATGTACGTATACAAAGTGCACCACATCTACAGCAAAATTCTCTATCACTGTACAAACACAACCATCTCCAATTTCATCTTCTTGTTTTTTCACCGCTCTCTCTTCCATCTATCGCCTTGTTATGGCGGACCACCACCACCAACCCTCGAGTTCCGGTAAACCGACTTCTTCCCTGAATTTATTTTCGATATCTCAATGACTCAAATTTGGGTTTTTTTTTTTTTTTTTTTTTTTTTAATATTTGAATGTTGATTAATTGTTGTTTTACATTATGTAATCAATTTTCGTGTTGCGTTTTTTTTTTTCTCTTGATCTGGGATTTTGGGTTGATCCTGAATTTAGGAATTTTCATGCTTTTATCAGAAATTTCATGCGATTTTTTTGTTATTATTGTTTTTACCCAATTTGATGTAGGCATGTAGCTTAAGCTTTGAAATTTAGTGGGTTGATTCTGAATTTTTTTTATTCCTTGCATTTTATTGATGTAGATGTTGCCAAGATTATGTTTTTGAATGTTCTAAGGTAAGTTTATATGATTTATTTTTGCTCTTATTTTATATGATGATGGTTTTTTGAAGGTTTGAACATTGTTTATGATTGACGGAGAATCTTATTGGATTTTGAACTGCTGGGCTTTTTTAGGGTTCAGGAAGAAGAATAATTGCTTAGGTGCTAATATCGACTCTCGAGTGACGGGTCATGTGATTGATTTAGATTTAGTATGGAATTATGAATGAATGTATGCATGAATTTGAGTTCATAATTATAATTTAAGTCATTATAATTTTAATTGCTACACTAGATGTTGCTTTATGATATCAATATTAAATTGTTAGTCATTTCTATGGCATACAATTATGAAACAAGGTTGAATGTTACTTTGCAATACTAATGCAATTCTAAATGAATTTAACTGAATTCTTAGTGTCTTTGAAATTGATTTAGATGACCTATATTTTGTATTAGTGGAAGTGCTTTGTTGACAACCATGTCTATCCCTGTTGTTCAGGATAGTTGTTCCTTAGATGGCTTCTTTAGGTCTTTCTTGTATAAAATATTGCCAATTATAACTACTTTGAATTCACAGGAGCATTGTCTTACCTTTCCGATCATTCTGTAAGCTTACAAAATTTATATTGTATGCATCTAGTCCTTACATTGAAGCTAGTCTGGTCACAGTTGATGCAACAGTTGCAGAATCAAGCAGAATTGATTATAATATGTAGAATGTCTCACAAGCTTTTTTCACGAGTGGTAATATAATATGTAGAATGCATCTAGTCTATACATTGAAACTAGTCTGGTCACTTGCTTCTGCTGTATAAAACTTAGTCCATCTGTATTTTTTTCTTTGCCCGTGAGGAATATATGTAGAAATTTCTTTGCTTCTATATGCTACTGTAATTTATTCTCGAGTTAGTTGGATGATTTTCACCTTAGAAATTTGAGTGGCACAGTTTAAGAGACTTCCAAGCTCTTGATAATTTGTATGGTTTGAGTTTCTGATGATTGAAATTAGTTTTTCCATGACTACTGATATTGCCTGAGAATTGTTATCTTTCTTTATTCTGTCTATTGAGCAATTGTGATATGCATAAGATTCATATCTCATTGCGTCTCAAATGTCCGACTATGTGAATGAAGGGGTTTCCTGAAGTGACCACTGGATTGAGAGAAGGTTTGTTTTTTTTATTACATGTCTTTGTTTTGCTCTCTTGAGTTGAGTATGTAATTACTATACATAGAAAACTTCAAGGGGATGCAAATTGATTGCTTGACATGTTGGTGAGTGTCTTAATGTTTTTGAGTTGTTCTAATTACCAGTATTAGGCCCCAGTTAATAATTTGCAATCAATTAGAGGGCTTTTGGAACATAGGTTAGAAACTAGAACTGATGTAAGTAAAAGTACTAGCTGATGGCCAGTAAAGGTATTTGGATGCTAGAAGGATTTTTCTTTTTTCAGATAGTTCATGCTGTTTCATTTTTAATCTTGGGTGTGATTCTTCTGTAAGGTTGCGTATCTCCATGTCCACTTGCACCATTTCACGTGGTCCTCTCTATGATAATCTATTTTACTGGAGAAGTTTCCTAGTTTCTCTTTCCTTTTGCTTTAATATTGAGTAAAGCATACATTTTTTTTTCCTCTTGTTTGTCTTCCACTCTCTGATTCTAAAGCTTGTTTGTATAAGAATGTGATTAATTTAGAAGAAGTGCAAATTGGAATGTTTTTACTTTTTAATTTATGGGGTTGGGGATGCTAAGGCAGCCAGGCAGGTGTGGCCGTTTGGAGCTTCCTTTTTGTTTCCTTTTGTGGGATGGTTTACCTTTACCTTTTAGTTGAATTCATTTTGATTTTGAAGCCTTTAGGCTCTAGCAGATAAGTTATTTGCATATTAGATTGTTATACATGCTTAGTGTTGATCTATGTGATCGCCTTTGTCTACAGGGGCTCATTCAGATTCAGATCTTAAGGATATTGATCAGGTCTTGGTTGTTCCTGACACTCCTGATAGGGTGTTTAAACAAACTAAAAATGTTTCTAAGATTCTTAAACCTATGGAGGCCAGCTCAAGAAATTCTGGATTGACAAGTAGGGGGAATATTGATAGAAGGAATCGACGTTTGGGTGATACTTACCATGCTTCTGGAAAGTATTCTCATTCTGGGGGTAATTTTGGTGATGTTGCTCGAAGTCAGGGTGCAAACGGCTCTTCTATTCCTTCTTCTAGTCTCAGGAATGCTCCATTGTCCAGTACAGTTGCCAGCAAGACTTCTAAGCACAATGACAGACATAATTGTAACCATCAGCTCATGGAGGATGACAGAGTTTCACATTCTAGTCTTCAAGGAATATCATCTCACCATTGCAAAAGAAGTCAGGACCCTATTTTGGTCGAACATGGTGATATTCTAAAGTTTTCCTCTAAGTCCTCAAGAAATGATTTAGGAGCTCAAAAGATGAACGGAAGCTATATGCTTCCCAACAACGATGTTTCTTTACAAACTGCTGCAGCTTCTTCTAAGTCTACTAGAAGTGACAATAAGGGAAAGGTGAAGGTTGGTCATGATAACCCTATCCATACCGATGCTTGGTCAGTGAAAGGGGACAATACTATTTGCCTTGTTACTTCAGATCATGATACTGGGGAGGGTCTCTCTGTGCCACCTCACTCTTCCAGAGTACCTAGTACAACCAGGCAGAAAAGGTTTGTACGTAATGGGTATATATCTCCACATAATATAGAAAAAACCAAAAGGTTAGCAGAAACTTCTGGCAATGGATCTGAAAATGCTGAGTGTGCTGCAGAACCTGGTGGTTCTCGTCCTGTAATTGATGTTAATGAAGTACCTTCCAAACAAAATGCTGCAAGTCAAGCGAAAGGAAAAGGGCTGTTGATTCTCGATTCTTCTCCAAAAGGCCATGCTGGCAGGTACTATTTTACATGCGTAACTAGTTCATGTGTAAGGCTATATTACCCTGGGGGAAAGGGAAAAAAATATTTAGAGAATTCTGTTTGCGCCTGGAAAGGAATTTTTTTCAATGATTACCCTCTATATGTTTGTTTGTTTTTTCCCCAGAGAATAATTTTGGGTTTGTGCAAGTATAAAAAAAAAAAAAAAAAAAGCCTTGAGAAATATATTTTAGAGATCTACAGTCTTAGTATTTTACAGTTAGTACACTGTATTCCAGTTGCTTTCTTCCACATTAAAATCTTCTGAAGTATTGACATTTATATTCCAAAGGTTGCATGAAATGTGAAGGCAATTGGCTAGGTTATGGCCAATCCAAATAGAACACACAATCCCCTCTTCAGATTGAATATGTGAGGGGCATTCACTTTATTGTTTGTATTATTATGTATGGGTCATAAAAAGCTAGACAGAATGTATGAAAATACATTTTTTTCCCTGCTATATACGTGTAATAAGTGGACTGATTATGGTCACTATTTTTACAGGAGAAGTGATGGATGGTGCAAAAGGAAATTTTCTGAGAAGGACTGCATTATTGTTCAACACACAAGTGGCAACCCAAACAAATTGGTTTTGGGCAAAAACACTTCATCTTGTCCTTCAAAATCGTCTGAGCAAAAGCCTGTACTTAGTGAGGGTCAGCTGCACACGCCAAGCTCAGTAATTAAAAGACAAAAGAAGCATGACTTGAGTTTAGGAAGACCAGAAAAGAATGATGAGGTAATTTGTTTGAGTTCAGGTGGGGAATCATCAACCAGAAAGTCAGTTAGGGATCATGGTGGTTTTCCTCAGAGTAAATCAGGTTCTCTGTTAGCTTTTAATGGACTTTCTCCAGAAGTGAGAGAAAATGTGTCACAAACTGATAATGACTCTGAAGCTAGGGCAGTACAACTTCAAGTAGATGAGATGTTGGCTCGTGAGCTACAGGAACAATTATATAATGAGATATCTGAACCTACTAGTGACGAGGTTTCTCTCCTTTTCTCCATGAGTCTTTTACTCTTTCTGTACATTTTGCTGTACCGGTTGAGCTCTGTAAATATTCTTTTTATTTTATTTAGTTTTTGGCCTGGGAATGGGGTTTGTTTTCTTGGAATTTGAATTTATGCTATGGACATATTTGCTACAGAGATTTTCATCAGTAGGCTGGGTAATGCCTCAAGAAGATCGTGTGCAGCCTGCTTCTTCAAGAGGAAGTCGTCGTGCTCATGCTTCTGTAAGTTATACTGCGTATCATTTATGACTTGATGTTTCTTGTTTTAGTGCCATTTTCTTTTGTTCTGGAGATATCATTTTATAAGATATATCCTCCCTTCACTTCCACCACCCCCCAAACGTGTATCTAAACTATGCCCTTAGTGGTGTTTTCCTACATCTATCTTGAGATCCATTCTGTTCTTTGTTTTCTGAAAATAGTTGACAATCTTTTTTTTCTCCTGTAAAAACTTTCTGAATTCTATTAGCTTTTAGTGAGAGGTAGTTGCTCACAGCATATTATTTTTAGAGCTTGTTGGTTTTGTTACTAAAGATGCATGGTTGTCATGTCTTTTAGTTGTTAGGCTATGGGAAATCCACTGTGTGTGTGCCTGTTCTTTTTCTGTTAAACATTGCACTTAATTGTGTGTAATGTACTAGAAATTCTTAATGTAAATATTTAACGAACAAGAAGAAATGTAAAGGACGAGCTTGAGTCTTCGATTAACAATGGCAAACGGTTACAAGGAAGATAGCTTTAGGCTATTTCTGTCAAAGGTAGCTTGAGGCTACTACTCTCAATAACAAAATGTAACTCACAAATCACTTATCATCCTACTGCATAACTACTTCCTATTTTACTCAAGCATTCCACATGATACAAAAGGTAACCTAGCATTAATGAAGTTTGTCTCTACTAAATCCGAGTATCAAGGTGACAAGGCTGCATAATTCATGTTGCTCCATTCCTTAGTGGATCAATAATCATTCTTGTCCACTAGTGCCTTGATGTCCCCTGCCTCCCTTGCCTGTTGCTGCTTGTTTCCCCCCGTCTTGGACATGAGCCACTTTTCCTCTCTTCTTCTGGGTGAAGACCTGCAATGGTGTTTTATGTCCGGATGCGTGGTCCATTACATTGTGATTAAATGATTTACCTGTATTTTTTTGTAGGTAGCTGCTCCACCATCAATTCGACATCAAGCTTCTCAATCTCAGTCTTTGCGCAATCGTTTGTTCCGTCGAGGAGCTCAAGCACGGGTACCCAGGCCACCAAGGCTAAGGAGTCATGTGTATCGCCATCCTAGGGGAAGAATATTCCCTTCAGATATGGATGTCGACATGGTATTGTACTGATTTCACTTAGAATGTGTCTTTGTTGTCTGCTATTTATTTTGGTATCTTTTAGACTAAAATAAGCAACAAGTCTTTGCTTGTGTTCTTTCTTTGGAAGGGATTTCCTGAAAGATTAAAAATAATGGCTGTGGCTTCTTACAATCCTTGCTATAGAGGTCTCTCCTCCAATATTGTTTTTTTTTTTTTTTTTCTTCTAAATACTCTGTGTAAATCTGTTGCGGGGTAATGTGCTCCATCATACTGCAGAACTACAAAGTCCTAAGTAGCTTGGTACATATTCTGAGTTGGTGTCAAGCATGCTTGTATTTCTAATATTGATAAACTCCTTTTTTAGAAATTATTATTTTTTAACAAAAGCCTTTATATGCTATGTAGAGAATTGATTTACTAGAAAGATTGGAAGCTGTGGTCAATGATGATATCAGAATGGTCAATCAACTCCTTGATCCTGATCGTGAATTTGGAGAGTAAGTCCCGCGTCCCATACTTTTCTGTTTATAAGAAGATATGTCTTGCAGTTTTTTTTCAATAAATAAATTTAAACTTCTTTACTTGTATTGAAGTTGGCAATGCATCATGTGTGCTGAACTTTTTCAATATGTAGAATGCTTTTTTCAATTATATTTTTACTACCGTATATTCTCTCTTTTTTCTTTTTCATTTATATTCTCATACTTCCTCTGTTGTTTCATTAGGCATGTTTGCCAATGCTTAACTTTAAACAATAATATCTTTAAATATGTCCAACTAAAAATTATAAAAAATTGGTATTTTTGAGAATAGATGTTAAGACGAATCAAACAAGACCTCACTAGACTATGTTTGATTTAAATCACAAAATGAATTCAATGTAACCTATATGAATAGTGGCGAAAGTCAAATCGTGTCAACTAAAATGGAACGGAGGAAGGACATGTTTGGGGCTTACTGTTCAACTTTCTTCGTATAGTTTCTGGGCAATAATCCGAGTTCAGCCTGGCTCCCAATGTTTTCTTGCTTAAATACATCTTCCTCCTTTGAAGTTCTTCAGAAAGAGTTTGTCATGCTAAGGCACATGTTGTCATGTTTTCTTTTTTTGGCAATTTTAATGTATTTACATTTATTTTCAGGAGTTTTTTTTTTTTTTTTTTTTGAAGCTTTCTTCATTTTCTTGTGGGTAAAGGTAAGTGTTATCTTACATTTCTAAAATATATGAAGACTTTCCATCATACACTTATAAAATTAAAAGCATAGATTATATTCTTTACTTTCGAATTACTGCATGATTTTGATGAACGGGTTCCTTGTACCTTCATGTCAAACATGTGCATAACCTAAAAACAGAATAGAGAACTGTCTTGTATTATGCATTTAAGTGTATTATCTCTTGTTTTTCCCATGTACTGGGAAATGGGGCTAAGTGGTTATACATCAAGTGTTTTGATCCTGCATATTCTGTGCAGAAATGATTATGAAATGTTATTGGCTCTTGATGAGAACAATTATGCACATCTTGGCGCTTCAGTTGCTCAAATAGGGAACCTTCCAGAGTCCATTGTACATGTGAGTATATGTGATGGTGGACTTAATAATATGAAGAAACTTTAGACATCTACCTGCAACTGTAGGCACTAAATGTTCTTGTTTATGTACAGAATGATGATTGCGAAGTATGTTCAATTTGTCTCGAGACCCCGGTTATTGGCGACGCCATGCGCCATCTGCCTTGCTTGCACAAATTTCACAAAGATGTAAGATTTGCCCTATTGATGGCTACTTGCATCTCATTTTATAAAGTTGGTTGATTCGGACTGTCATTTTGAATTCCTGATTGTTTTCTTGGTCCTTTGGCAGTGTATCGATCCATGGCTGAGTAGAAGAAGATCATGTCCAGTTTGCAAGTCAGATATATGATTTATCTTATAATTCTGTTTGATTGGTCCATCTTTTTTGCATCGCCATCCTGCAGGCAATCTCATCATGACCATGAAGGTAAAGTGAATGTCTAAGTCTCCATGTTTTTATTATGTTAAAACTGGAGAAGTCCATAGTATTTTGTGCCGAATATTTTGTCTATATATTATAGAGTCCTTGACTAGGTATTATTGATTGGAAAAGGGGATGGAGGCAGAAGGTTGGGGAACTTGAGCAATCCAAGTGGACTAACTGTAAATTGTATTCTTGAGCTTTGATGACAATTTCAGCTTGAAATTGCTTTTTTTTTTTTGAAAAAAAAAAAATAAAGCTTGAAATATAGGAAGACGATAGGAGATTGAGAGAGTTTTGTGATGGACCAGTGTTGGGAATAGAAGAAGGTCGATGGGGTTTGTTTATAGAGGTGGCAGTGCTTGGGTGGGGCAGCAGGGGAAGAGGTAAATGGTGTTGCCAAAAAAAGAGAGAAGATCACGTTATGAAAAAATAGGAAAAGAATAACAATTTACCTTTTTAATAAGCTCTAGTCACGTAGGGCCAAGTTTGGAAGACACTCCTTAAAGTTGGGACTATAGCTAGTCAATCAATTATTGGGGTTGTTTAAAGACGGGGTATAGTTGGGAACTGTTAGTATCAATTTTCCTAACAGAAGAGGTTTGGTTTAAAATCACTATGAATTGAGCTGATCTGCCCTATGTTGGTCAGCTATGCTGTGGTTTTATTGCCAGACTGATGGTATTGCTATGACAAAAATGGAAAGATTAGCATAGCATCTCATCAAGGCCTAATTTGGTCTGTTTCTGTGAATGAACGGTTATTACTCTTATTAGTGTTAGGAGTAGTATGTTTATAAAAAGGCTTTTATAAACAGGCTTCCTGCACTAATTCCTTGGTATTTCTTTAATTGCAACAACTATGGGTGATTGATCTTTGCTTTTGTTTACTGTAAACTCATATTCACAGGTCTTAATTGTAGAAGCTTGGTGTTTTGAGCCTTTGAGGCGGATACAAGATCCCATCTTTTACTTCTTCGAGTTCTTGTGATCGAGTATAGCAAAGTTCACTGAAAAGAAAGGCTGAAGCTGCTGTAAGGCTCTACTCATGAATCGCTTAGAGATAGTATTGTGCTGTAATTTTTTGTTAGTTTTTGTGCTTGTAGCAAAGTTCCTTAATCGATATGAAAGCTGATAAGAGCTTCAAAATGTTAGAAAAGTTCGTCCAAATTATATTAGTTTTGGAGGTCTGTAATTTATTGGGATTTTTTTTTATACTGCCACAGCTTCTTTGTACAGCTTTTAAGAAGCCGAGAGTGGTATTTCAAGCTTTTCGCGGTTCAGCCATCACTTCTTCCTGTTCAGATCTATTCAAAAGTTGGACCTATTGGTCAATTAATTTTCAGATTTGATAGCCAAAATCTGTGGTATAAGAAGCTCTAGAGTAGCCAATAAGAAGTTCTAGTGTTTCATAAGTTCCCCTGTATCTTATCTTTAAAAAATATTGTGTCAGATAAGATTTTATCAGAATTTTTTTTGCTAATAAATCAGTAACACCATGAGATATATAGTGAATTAGTAAAATGAATTTCAATATACTTCGTGTTTTTTAATACATTTTACTCTTCCTCCAAAAAAAAATAAAAAAAAAAAAACTATTTTACTCCTCTTATTTCACACTATCTACATTTTTTTTTACAACTCTTACTCTATCCAATTTTTCACACCGCTTATTTTTTAACATTTTTTTTAGGAAGCTTATTTTTTAACCTCATCACTCTTTATTTATTTATTTAATTATTTAGTTATTTTTACACTTGCACGCTTTTTCCATGCATTTAGGAAGGGAGAGTGTAAAAGTAGTTTTCATTTTGTATGTATATGTTCCATTTAATTTTACTCAAAATTTACTTATCTTATCTTGACATTAGCCATTATTTTAACCCTTATCTCATTGGAATTTATTAGGCCTTGATGTCTTATTGAGTTATTGGAACTTATTAGTCATAATCTATATTATTTGAATTTATTATTTCATATCTTATTTTATTTGAACTTATTAGTTTTTGAGTAAAAAAAAATTATTAGCAAGCTATCATCTCATCTTATTAGAACTTATTCATTAACATAAAATGCCTGAAAAATAATGAGTGAAGAACAAAGACTTGGTCAATTGTTAGGATTAAGTGAGTCAAGCCTTGAAATTGGGAACTATTACATGTTTTTGAGATCATGTACCAATGCATGAACCATATTCATGTGTGTGACAAAAATGTGTGGTGCCCCCCCCCCCCCCCCCCCACGGATCCACATTCTATCTTCTAAGTCGAGAAAAGAAATCCCATCGCTTAGAGTGGATTAAAGAGTTTCATAGTCAGATATTCTCTTCCAATTTAAATATCATCTTATATTGTCAAAAAATATCTAAAATGCCCTTATATATGAATATTGAAGATTGATCTAAGACCATTATCAGCAGTGAGGAAAAAAAAAACCTCTCAATCTCTCTCTACCCACTTTCTCACTCCTCCCATACAATTTCTTTCATCAAATGTTTTTTTCACCACAGCAATGAGGAGAAAAAAAACCTCTCATCACTTAAAAAATTAAAAAAAAAAAAAAAAAAAATCAGAAAGCTGGCACGTGAAGTGGGCCCCACCTGTTACTGTTCATAGATAAAAACCCTCAACTCTTGAGGGTTTTTTTTTTCCCTCATGGGTGAGGGTTTTTTCCCTCACTACCGTGGTGTTCGGTTTTTTTTTTACACCCTTATTTTTACTCGTGAGGGCTTTTTTCCTCACTGCTGGTAGTGCTCTAACAGTGTTACTAGCCAAGCATTCTTCCAACATTAAAAAGGACTATAGAAAATGGTCAAAAACAAGGATAATGGGGATGTCACAAGAGATGCCAACAGCCCACTATCTAAGGACAAAGTATGGCAGCATCTTCTTAACTTTCTTCCCTTAGAATTATGGGTTATCATACTTTGCACTTCTTATTTGTCACTTTGCATATGATAGTTATAACTCATAGCTACCTCGTCCCTTTCATGTTTTTCAGGACTATCAATCCTTTAGATAAGTATGTAGATAAGTCCTTTTCTTATTTTCGGTGTGATTTTATCATAAATGGCAGGGGCGGAGCCATGTAGGAACAAGGGGGGACGGTTGTCCCCCCATTTTTCCAAAAAAAAATTTAATTTATGTTAGCTTAAATAAATGCTGTAAATAAGAATAAATACCTTACATGTATACCTTATATAACAAAGACAACATTTGGTCTGGTGGTTGATGGGCTTGAGTAAAGCTTGTATTTCTCTTTGATCCTAGGTTCGATTCTTTACCCGATCATTTTTTTTGTTTCTTTTTGCTATTTTTGGACTTTATTTTTATTTCATTTTATAGTTTATACAAAGTGCTCCTATTTAACTTCTTTTTCTTGTTTTTGGATTTTGCCATTTTTTTTTTACTGGTTTTTAAATTTCATTATATAGTATGTAATTTATATATACAAAGTATTATAAGTCTTCAAACCTCTAATTACTCTCATTTAACTGTTTAATCAAGTATCGCCTTGTTGATAGTGATTACTAATGTGTTATTAAACTATTTGTAATGAACACATGTCTCCGTATTTTTTTATCTCTCTAATTATGTGTGCCTAAATTCTATTTTTTTTATAGCTTGTTTGGAACTAAGTTTCCAATTTTATTTTTAGTCAAAGAAAGTTTATTTATTTATCATTATTTTTTTTTTAAAATGTAACCCAAATCCCTTTACATCTACTATCAATTTGTGTAAATGCTTATCATTTGATAAATCATATTTATCGATTATTAAGGATTACATACCTTAAAATTGGGGTTTACCAGCATAAAAAAAAAAATTTGGTTAATAAATTTCTTAATATGCAATTAATTTTTTAACAACTCCTCTTTCACCATATAAGAATAATTGTCATATCTCATAAGCGATTTCAAATATATATTAAACAATTTATGTGATCAATTTCTTTTTTCTTATAATTATTGTCGATTATTAAACATCTAAAAATTGTCCCCCCGGATTACAAATTCTGGCTCCGCCACTGATAAATGGTACAAAGTAGTTAAATTTATAGGAAAATAAAGTGTATAGTCACATTATATGCACAAAAATGGATATGTAAAGTCACATTATATGTTAAAAAATTGAAAAGACGTTAGTTCTTTTTCTCAATTTAGTGTGATGATGTGGTGGAAGTGGTTCCATTCCATTATTGAGAAGTCTTAGTTACATAGTAACAAGAAAACAATGTCTCACAACTCTCACCAGTGAAATTTATATAATCATATAGGTGTATACTATAAATACTGGACACTCTACAAAAGCAAGTCCTAATTTATGATATTTTACATAGTATCAGAGTCTTATTATAGGTAAGTACTAATATTATAAATGATGAGCGATAAAGTTTCATTCGCATGCAATTGCAAAGGTTAGGTGGTTAATATACAAGAAGAAGTTGAGTCAATTGATTAACTAATCAAGACAAGATACAGTTGGAAGAATTAGTTCAAGTTGTTCCAAGATTATCTCATCCAATCAAACATAATCCTTAATCATTAACATGTTGTGTATTATATACTTAATATATACTTAAGCTCCCTTCAAAATTATTACTCCGTACCTTAAATTAGTTCGAATAAACCTATGTTAGTTTCTTTAACATTTCTATAAATATATTTCGGAGAAATCATTAAAATGTGGTTAGTAAATGACAAAACAAAAAGGGGTAAAATATTGGGTCCAAGCTAAGGAAGGTTAGCCGCTTGCCACTAGAAGACATGACCGTAAAACACATGCTCACATGGGTTAGCAGTCTTAGCACATGAGAATAGATGTATCAATTTCACCAATAATTTTTACATTATTTCAACTACAAAAATCATTTTCTTAGTTTCCAAATAAAAATCTCATTTTTCTTAAGAGAGAAATTTTTGGTTTATAGTGGAGTATTGTTGATTAAAGTTGGATAAAAAAATAAAGATAATAAGAAGAAATATTATTTTTACCAAGCATGAGAGAAAATAATGCCGATTGAAAAAAAAATTGATTAATAAAATAAAGAAATTAAAAAAGGATGGATTACACTTAAGACGACCTAATGAAAAAGTGAGCTTTTGTGTAGAGACAAAATTTTTGAGATAAATCATAAAAATGAGACTTTTATTTAGAGACAGCAAATTAAAATAAGTTGTGTATTACAAACTATTCCGTAGTAACTTACTCCTAGTAGTTAGTAGCTAAGCTGTACTCTTTTTATGTAAAACAAAAAATCTATGACCGTAAAAATGATGTTACATGTTTTTTCTTCCTCTTATTGGAGCAATGATCATTAATTTTCAATAATTATTGGCCCTTACAATTGGAACTACTATATATTTAATTGTCTATACATTGAGATAAAAATCCAGCTGAATAACGGAATATTTCAATGTTAGCAACTAATTAGCTAGCTAGGTTGATTAAGAAAACATTAATGATATGGTATATATTCCATGTACGTTGCCATGTGCTATGGAAATCTTTCAAAAATCATACAATTACTAGAGACTTATTTTTCATGAATGTGACAAATTTTGGAGCTTAATTATTTTAGTTTCCAAATCGGTCAACTAATATCATAATTATTTATTTATATCGATAGATTATTCATCAAGGTATGTAACTATGTATCAATTATGATCTAGACAAGGATTCATGCAAAATGCTATAGAGTTTAATTAGTTAATATTGTGCAAAGTCAAACGTGAAACTTGAAGGGCTAAGGTCTAAAATGTAGAGCTTGGTTATAAACAAATTGTGTTCATGAACAAGACTCGATTAATAATAATGAACCAGTTGTTCACAATACATGCTCAAAGGCCTCAAAAATTTGAATTCAATTGAAAGCTCATAGTTGAGCTTGTGCTATCTATCTAAGCTAATTACAACGAATATGGGCATGCATTTTATTGATTCCGGTGTTGTATATACTTTGTATAATTGTATGTATATACAATGCATAAGATTTGAATTTTCCTTATATATCAACAATTTTGATGTTTAATTGCACACAATAATAACCTATACAATGCAAGTAGAATCTACAAATCTACTATACGGGATAGTGCCGACACCGTTAAGGTTTCGATCATTAAAAATAGGTTACGCTGTTATTTCTCCATTATTACGTATATCGGCTTACTATCCATAACGACCTTCATCATGGCTACGTGGAGAGCTGTTTTCGACCACGTAAGCACCTACTGCCTACGAAGTCCACTTGCCACCTATGTCGATAGGTGGCATCAGCTTGGTTGTTTTCCTATATAAATACTCAAGCATAATTCATTATTAAGGTACGATCTTTATCTCTCTAACTTTAATTTCTCTCTCCCTCTCTCTTAAACACTCTCTCATCTCTTCTTTTATTCTTTTCATCAAATTGCTAACTTTAGCATCGGAGCGGTTATCCCCGGATAATCCCCCGGGCTAGCTAATTTGTATTGACTATGCAGATACCTAATTGGCCGATAAATCTTTACGGATCCCAATACTCAAGTTACTGGAGCTCACCCGCAACATCTACGATGTGTTGTTTGTTTAACATCAAATTCTCTTCTAATCGCAAGTTTGATTTTGTGCCTTCACCCTCCAAAATAAAGGAAAATAATAGAATAACATATACTTCCTCCGTTCTTTTTTATCTGACCTATTTCATTTATCACGCTAGCCAATGCAGAATTTTAACGATCAATAAATTTAATTCCTCATAAGTAAAAATTATAGAAATTATATATTACGGAGTATGACAGTATTTATTGAGACGAATCTAACAAGATCTCACATGAATATGTTTTTGTTTACATAAAAATCACAAATTAAAATACGGTCAAAGAAGAGCTGGTGAATTTACGTAAAAAAGAACGGAGTAAGTACAAAGTATTACAAATATAAATATTCTTGATTACTAGAAGTCTAGACTCACTCCTTAGAGATACAACTTATATCTAATTTAGTAGAATTTAGGATCTTGTACATCAATTTATGTATGTAAATTAAGAAGTACATTCATTCATTTATTTACTCTGGATTCGAAAAGGGGTGATAGGATCGGATCGGTAAAGTCGGATCGTAAAATCGTAAGATCCTACAAAAACTTGTAAAAGGGGTGATTAAAGACTATGATAATACTTATTACATGTGATTCGGGGTAAAATTGATGCTAAAATCAATAATTTTGAAATAATTAGCCATGATTAAGACATGCAACCCAAAAAATAATTTAGAATACAAAATAATCTAAAAAATTAGTAGGATCAGATAGGATCTAGTAGGATCGTACGATCCTACACGATCCTAAGTGATCCTATCCGATCCTACAGCGTTCCTATTGTAACTTAGGCTGAAATTCCTCACCATTTAGTTGATTTGTATGAACGGGTGGGATCGTACGATCCTACTGATTCTATACGATCTCCTACTATGATCCCACCGTAATTGCAATTTTGTTAACGATTCGGATCGTTTGGTAAAAATTGGATCGTAGGATCATACAATCCTACAATTTGGATCGCGATTCTAAGTTCTAACAACAATGTTTATAATTGGAAATTACCCTTTTTTTTAATTTTTTGGAAGATATAATTTGACATTACGATATACTCCGTAGTTGGACAACTTTGTACGTAGGTCAGTCGGTTCGTATATATCTATAATCTGTTATGTACATCTCAAAATCCAGAGTACCTAGTCAATAGATCATGTAGTTTTGTTGCATTGTGCATTAAGTAACGGCTTTATTGTATTTATTATTAGTCAAAAACCATAGATTGATTCATGTATCACTTTCTTCCATGCAAAATCTCTAACATATCCTTATTTTATTGTAGCAATTATAGGATTGGCAAATGTATTGTTGCCTTGTTGGATCTTTCTCCCCCATATTCCCAATGCAGCATATGCAATAAGCAAGAACAATTAATCAATTATACATAGTTTAATCAAATTTATTAAAACAATATCTTTATATAAGACATATAGGAGACACAAAAGGCCGAAAAGGTAAGACGTATAATTTCTGAGTTTGAAGGTGCGATATTTTTATATATGAACTATCTCTTAATCCTTATAAGTTGTAATTTGAATTGCTTGAGACCTTATAATATATTTATTCTCTTATGAACGTGGCTATTAATTGTTGTGAATCACATAATAATTCATGTGTTGTTCTTGAACTTTGCTGGTTTAATTGATAACTTTCTCGTACAAAAATATATATATATATATAATTATTTAATTATGCATATCGGTCATAAATTCTCAACTTACTTATATCTCAAACTATTAAAAAAATATTGATTATATTTAGAAATGATAGAGAACCCTTTATATTTTATAAGACAAAAAAGAAGGGATTGGCACATTGCCCTTATACATTCTCAATACAACCCCACCAATGGTTGGCAATTGGCACACAATTATTTATAGCACAAAACCCACCCACTCACTTTGGTTGGCTATATAAGTGAGAAGAAGTTCATCCAAATTTGTAAGCAATTCTTATCATACAAACAATACTACATCCTTTAAGCTTAAAGATCCCAAATCAAAAACAAAAAAAATGGTGTCAAGAGTAGAAGAAGCCATTAAAGGAAGGCAACAGCAACAACAAAGAGATCAAGTAATGCAAATAGTGCAATGCAACAAAAGCAAAGTTAAGAAGTTCAAGAGAAGTAGTTCTAATCTTGAAGAAGATGGTGCTTCTTCTGCCATCTTCTTTCTTGCTTGTATTGCTTGTGCTCCCTCTAGTTCTTATCTTTAATTTTTACGTTGTTGTATCATGCATACGGAGTAATTTAGTAGTAGATGTTCAACTACAATCTCTGCTTAAAATTATTTGTCACGTTAATAGTTGAAGTGACACTATATACCAATGTGGCAAAGAAATTTTGGATGGAGGTCGGAAGCATTTATAGACCATATAAGTAAGTAATTTGGCACTAGTAGTTCCTCTTGATCATAAGTGTCATTTATCCATTCTTTGTGAGCTTTCAAATAAATTAGACAAATTAATACAATATATGATATTTATTTTATGTCTTTTTTTTCTCTTTTTATTTCTAAACTCCAACTATTTGCTTGTTGTGCTAAGGAAAAAAATTACTAGATATAATACTATTTTTATGAAGAAAGAAACAGTTTTTTTTTTTTTTTTTTTTAAAAAAAATTATGAAGTACAAGTACATTTTATACAGATTATAATTGACAAGATCCCTTCCATCTATGTCTCTTTCTGTAAGTTCACATGCACAGATGCACTCAATAAACTACAAGCTAAGTAAGTCTACAACCTAAAATAAACTTACTATTCATATTACTGTTGATAATAAAAAAAGTACACTTCAACCCTTAATTATTTTCTTCTCTAATCATTAGTATAATAATTACTCCATTTACTTAACTCATTTTTTATTATCAAAATCAAATTACTGTTGTTTGGTAGTTGCATTTTAAAATATGTCATATTACAACTTTATGTACAATTTTCCTCCCTTCTCAGTAAAGCTAGACTCTTTTTAAAATGTTTACATGAGAAGTTTCACTTTAATAGACCAACTCTACTCTTCTAAGTCTCTTTGCCATTTTGCGGAAAAAAAAACGTCATATTAAGTAAGAAGTTACTCTGTATTCTATAACACGTATTTGTTTCATTCTATTGAATTTGTCTTATTTGACTCAAAAAACTCTCACAAAAATTGGTCTAATAAGAAATTCGAATGGAATCAAATAAAAGAAATTTGACTTAACAATTCCTTTATAAACACATCAACTTAACTAGAAATCAAGATAATGACCTACTATAACTATACTGATTTTTTTTTTTTTTTTTTCCATCAAGTGGATAAACATCTACACCAAAGTTAGTTCTCATTAGTTTTTTTCACAAAAGTACTTCGTACCGAATATCAATGTACTCCATAAATGAATGTATCAGAAAAATGCCAAACTAATGTAAATAGACTTAAAAACGATAAATTAATTAGATCATGTATACGAGTGAACAATAAGTACATTGCTCTCGGATAACACAAGTATATAGGTAAAAGAACATGATATTATAAATATAGAACAAGGTATATGTTATCTTATTTATAGTATACTAGTAAATTAAAATGTTATATATCATGTTCTTTTATCACAATAACATGTTACTTTATATATACCAATTAAATAGCGTGTATCAGTCAGTGACTCAGTGGTACCAATCCTCTCTTGAGGACAATTTCTTACAGTTTTTTTTCTTACCATTGTAGACACAAAATTTATGTAAGACGGTTTTAAGACGAATACACCTAGATGAAAGCAATACATGTTCAGTTCCGAAACTAATCAACCTGTTCAATTTTCCTTTTTTGTGAATTTGATACATTATAAGCTTCATCTTTATGAACTTTTGATGAGATATACATATAATACGAAGCTGTCTATTTGATTTACTATTTTATATAGCAATTCTTTGAGGAACTTGTAATTTAATATCTCAAATTCTATTACAGAATATCTCAAACATTACACTAATTATTTTTTTTTATTGTTCAAATGTGTAATTAGTAGCCAAAAGCGCCAAACAAATTGTATAATTCTACCAAGAAAAAAAGGACCAATATAGGGAAAACTAAAAGTTGAAATAGAAGTATCCAACTCTCTGAGTTGAGTCAGCTAAATCAAATCAAAGAAGTGAGAGGACTCGGTCAGGGTGGTTAGTTCTACCTGAACCCAAGTTCTCAATTTCCAAGTTCATTGGTGGTAATGGCACTGTGGGGAAGGTTATACGGTGTCTAGTTCAGGACATTGATGATACAAAAATTTCTATAATACAGGTGCTGAATCAAATTTGATTGAATTGTCTGCAATACATCAGTAATATGGTATACTGTATATGACAGTGAAATACTGAAATTGATACAAATCACTACAAACAGCAATTTCTGGACAAATACTCCATAGAATCATAGGAACCCGAAAAGTTTCTGAAACTCACCCACATTTTCTCTGCAAGCCCAAGAGAATGTTCAGGAGAGTTAGGATATTCAGTACTGAAGTTGAATAATATCGCAGTAAGTCTGTATGACAGTAAGAATAAGCAAAACTACAGCAGCGATTGTAGAAATAATGGACCATGGATTGTTGAAGTAATCTTGGCGAAGTATTGCCTTCCAGCGGTTCCAAGGAGTCCCACAATACTCGTTGAGGGACCTACATATATCAGCATAATAGAAGGTTACACGTGAGTATGTCGTTCCTTTGGAGATATTGCTGAACATTCTGTAAACATCCTCGCTGCTTCCGGGGGAATTAAGTATAATCCCATGATTGACCAAGACTTCTACATCTTTCCTGTCATAGATGAGACTGTCTAAAAAAAGAACATAATCAACCACAAAGGACTCCCGGGGATAATGACATTGTTCAAAGGCAACCAAGTTTCTGAGTTGAGATTCCGTATGATTTTCCAGCATTAACTCGGGTATATAAAGGACACCATTTTCAAATTTGATATTGAGAAACTTATCATCTTTATCAACCTTTAATGTCACACCTGACTCATAGAGTTCAGAAATACCATCAGGGAATTCCCAATATTCATCCGCGTGGCAGATCTCTTTCCTCTCTGGTGGTAGGTAGTAAGTTCTCAGAAAATCAACCAAATGCAATATCTTCGTCTTCTTGAAATGCTGAGGGACCTTGCCAAGGCCTATCATACATTCACAAGTGACCTTCAAGAAGCTAGGAGCTTTTTTGTCATCTTCAAAAGCAATGTTGTATAAAATTTCAAGAATGAAAAAGGGAACTTGGTTCTCAAGCAGTTTAAGATCGCGTAAAACTGCTTGGCTCAGAGCTGGCCTGTGAAAGATACGGTCGTTGGGATCAATAGTGCTTCCATGCCAAGTTAAGAAGAACTCAATAATGAAGCAGCCATCAAGCACTAGCATTTCTGTAAACTCTAAGCTGGAGAGATTGATGGTTGCCAAGTAACTATTTCGAGCTTCCTTCTCCCATTTCATTGCCGCAGTAAGGTAATCTTCCAAGTCCCTGTTACTATTTCGTTGAATAAATCTCTGTAGATATCGCAATTTGTGCTCCTCCATGGCTTGATATTTCTGATTGCCACGATGAAAAGGGCCAATAGTGATAAGGGAAGGAGTGTATGAGTTTTCGTTAACTTTCCGAAGATTTGTGGGGATTCTGTAGATACAGCATTTTGAAGACAGAGGGGGAAGTGTTTCACACTTCCGTTTTATGGTAGTCGCCAACTCATCAATAGGGTCTTCCATTGAACTGCATCATATGACAGGTGAAACGCAGTCAGACATACAAGTTGTTCAGCTCAAAGAGGTATCAACCAGAACCAACGAAAACTAACAAGAGCTGATGTGATCAGAAAAAAGTCTCATATCAATTACATCAGTAATTTATTGCTATAAATGGCGGTAGTGCTGCAACATTGTAGCCAAGACAAAGAGTGCTCATCCTAGTCAAAGACTAGTTTCAAACCAGTACCAGTTTTTCCACTAGCTATGGCTGGAAATTAAGAAAACCTCTTTTTTCTCTTTATCAGAAAGCAAATTGCAGAGTCTCAAGCTATTTCCTATTGTGATTTGGAGCCTTTGAGATTTGACTAACTCTGATAAATTAACATAGGCATATGCTCAATTAGAAATAGGCATCCATACCTCACAAACAGAAGGAAATCTCAGAAGCTTCAAGGTAAAATGTAAAAGACCAGCTTCATGATGAGTCCCACCAGCTCTGCTTCCGACATCAAATTCCTGAAGAATGGGAGCACATTATAAATCAGAAATTTCTAATTTAACTGAAACGAAGAAGTTTCTCCACTTCAGCTCGATCTAAACATGTCTTGACCAATCCTGATCGTTAATTAAGGCACAGGCCTTCAGCAGACAATATATCTTCACACAATAGGACTACTTGAGTAAATTAGAGGCAGATTAGCAAGAAAAAAGATTGCATACTTATGCTCCTGGCTCTATCTAGCAACCAGGTACTTAATTAAAAGCCCTTTTACAAAGCTGCAACAGACTTGGAAAGCTTTCAAAAGTAAATAAAAGGACTAAAATTTAGTGACAAAATGTCACAAAACCAAACCGCAGGGAAAGTTCTAGCATTAAAGCCAAACCTAATTATATGGAGCAGTACACAGATTTCATTGTGATATTGAACAAGGGTTCGATTTCATATGAAAAAAATCCAAGAAACTTAAAACTAGCTATTGGCCATTCCTGGGAATGGGAAATTGGCCGTGGGTAAATTAAGTGAGATTGAAGGCTTTGTTTAATACGATATAATTTACTTATGGTACATCCATTCTTCCTTACATATGAAACTAGGCAACCCGCCACGCGTATAGGCACTAATTTCTAACTAGCTTATATCTTTAAAAACTAACTCGAAGCCATATTGCTCAGACAAGCTTGAGAAAACAGATTGCAGAACAGCCTCTAACATCATAATAAACATAACATGATTAAACCTTCGACCATACGGTGTAAGCTACATGAAATACGACTGTTAGCCAGGAAATATAGCTTTTGTGATCTCTGTGAAAAAGCTTCAAATTCTTATTTGAAAGTAAGGGAATGGCAATTAAAGAAAGGAAAGGGCTGCTTGCCCGTATTTGGTACCAATAAGTGGAAAAAAAGGGAATCAAAACAAGAGGAAAGGCTTCATTATCGACCAAACTTCTTAGATTTTCCACCCAAACGGTAACATTTGGACAGAAAGAAGTCGAAAGAAGGTTACTTTCTTATCAAACCAAATCAAAAGGATAATAGTAGATTACTTCTTGTTCTATCTTATCAAACCAAGGAAAAAATCCATAGTTTCTTTACTTTTCACTTCGTTTCTCCTCCTATTCCTCCCTTCTCTAATTCAATTTTTCTTCAAAACCAAAGCCAGTTGGAAAACTCAAAAGCAATTATGAGCTACTAATGCAACTTCCTGCTATATTTTCGACACGATACCATAGGAAAAACATAATCTGATGGGGTTCAGCTTGTTCAATCAACAAGGAGATCTAAGCAGGATAGTTTATAATCATGATTTATCACAATCCCATATAATAAAAACATAGATATTGCACAAAATGAGGCATCAAAGCCTACAAAAACAAGGAAATATTTGATTTTCCGACATCATAATCACAGAAAACAGCACAATTCCTTTTATTATAACCAAAACTTGGATTTGCAGTAATATAATTTACTAGCAACTTTAAAATTAATGAAACCCCCTTTTTAATTTTCTGAGTGAAGCAATTAGGATTTTAAACAGAATAATGATGATGAAGGCAGTCAAAGTACAAGATCAGAAGCAAATCACTAAATTTAATCAAAATTAAAGTTAAAAATGGCAATTTATGATGACAAAACTAGATTAGATATCGGGAAATGGGATTAATCATGAAAATCGACAAAATAAGAAAAATGAGATTACCTGATTATAGAAAGATAAAGAAGATAGAAGTTGAGAAGGATTTGATAAGCAGCTGCTTAGAAAACCCAGAATAATGGCGACTGATAGTCAAAAAGCTCATAGTTAAAGCAAAGAGAGACCAAGATTTGGCGATTGATTGATTGGGAGGGAACTACATTAGGGGTGTTTGGCAAGTGGGAGTTAGAAGGTGGTAATTCATAAAATATGTCCAATATCTTGTTTGGAAAGAGATGGAAATAGATGAGAAATAACATTTTACAATTACGAAAACACCCTTATAAAAATCATTTCATTTTTTATTTTATTAATGGCATTTTTTAGTCAATTCATTACTTGTTTCTAATTCCCATCTCTACTACCTACTCCCCCTTAATAAAATAATGGGAATAGAAGCATTTAATTCCCCTTCCCCTTCCCCCTTTATTTTCCCATTCCATGAACCAAACATGGAATTACTATAGATTGGGATTAATATTCCTAATCCCACCCTCAATTCCCACTTACCAAACACTCTCTAGGTGGTTAACCAAACTAATGTCAAAAAATGGAAGTACCCATACTTAAATAAAAACGACCGTAATTATCCAAAAAAAAAAAAAAAAAAGGATTGTTTGACAATCGACAATTGGCTAGCTTTAGGTTGCTGGCGGGTTTGCTTGACTTGTTTGACCAGCTATATAGATTGACTTTTAAGTTGGTTGTTTATAAAGTGTATCAAAATTAGTTGTGATTGTTAATTATTATTACTAAAAAAAAAAAGTAGGCCAACAAAGCTAAAAGCCAATAGAAAAAGCTACTTCTATTGGTTTTTAGTTTTTGGCTAAAAAGCCAACAATCAAACATATTTTTTTACTGTTTGACCAAACTAAAAAGTCAAAAGCTAAAAGTTAGGCCAAAAACCAATTATCGAACACCCTCATTGTAACTTTGATAAGTAATGGTGCTTACATGTGAGTTAAAAATATTGTCCCAGTTTGAAGAATAAGGAGGATGACTAGCTAATAAACCCTATATAATTTTTTTTACAAACAATCACATTAAGAAATGGATTGACTGTAACTTATAATTCTTGTTGCCACACTAGCTTTAAATCTATGTGGCTTGGTGGTTCTAATTGCATGAACATCGACCCTTTTGGTGGGATTGATACACCTTACACCTAGGATGAGCAATGGCATAATTATTATGCAACAAATAAGTGCACAAGTAAGAGAATTTCTAAGACAAAAATTGTATGCAAAAGAACAGTATATGCAATACTTGAAATCTGTGATCAAGGAAACTCGACGGCTACATCCTTGCGTTCCTTTAATACCAAACTAGAGAATCGACCAAAGATGCTTGAATAAATGGCTATGATATTCATGCAAAGGCAATGGTTATTATCAATGCTTAGGCTGTCCAAAAAGATCCGTTTCTGTGGAATGAACCCAACGATTTTAAACCAAAAAAGTTCCTGCATTCGATGACAGATTTCAGAAGGTAAGACTGTCAGCACATCCCGCTTGGATCATGAAGAAGGATGTGCCCGGAATATCATCTGACATGGCAAACAGTGGCTTCTACAATTCTACAAGCAAATCTATTGCATAAGTTTGATTGGAGGACGACAATGCATGGTGGAGCAGAAGAGGTGACCAATTTGGATGTGAGTTCTTAAAGATAATTCTGCACAGTACTCCCCTATTTGCTGTATTGCTAGAAAATGAAGACCCTGCATAGTATTATGTTGTTACTCCAACAATTAGGACATAAATCAGTTTCTGGACAAGGTTTGCTTGAATCAAATATTGCGAAAATTTGTTTTGGGAAGTCTGATTGCTACAAGAAACTGCACCTGTAATACAAAAATTGAGCAAAACAGAAAATTGGAATGCAATAAAGTAAATCACTCTGGCCTAAATTAGATACTCAAATTAAAGAGGTGAGGGAGCTCAAGTAATTAAAGCATTTCCCGAACTCAAGCTCACAAGTTCCAAGCTCACCAGTGGCACTTTGAGGTAGGGTGTTTGCAGGATATTGTGTAGGTGCCTAACGAGTGGACATCAGTGTACTTAACATAGCCAACAAGTTCTAATAAATAAAGGTGCTTAATCAAATTTGAAAGAAGCAACAGCGACTGGTGAATCACACTTATAGATGAGATGACATTAAAACTGATACATATTGCTACATACAACTGCGATTTCTGGAAAGTTATGTGCAGCAACAACAAATTTTTTCTAAGATAACCATCATTTTTTCTGCAACCACAAAAGAATGTTCAGTAAAATTGGGATATTCAGTACTGGAGTTGAATAATATCACAGTAAGTCTGTATGACAGTAAGTATAAGCAAAACTACAGCTACGATTGTAGAAATCATGGACCATGGATTACTAAAGTAATCTTGACGGAGTATTGCCTTCCACCGGTTCCAAGGTGTCCCACTATACTCATTGAGGCGCCTACATACATCAGCATAATAGAAAGTTTTACGTGAATAAGTCGTTCCCTTGGAGATATTGCTGAAGAGTCTGTAAACATCTTCACTGCTACCAGGAAAGTTCAGTATAATCCCATGATTGACCAAGACTTCCACATCTTTCCTGTCATAGATGAGACTGTCCAAAAACAATACATAATCGATCAAAAACGATTCCTGAGGGTAATGACATTGTTCAAAGGCGACCAAGTTTCTGAGTTGAGATTCGGTGTGATTTTCCAGCATTAGCTCAGGTATATAAAGGACTCCATTTTCGAATTTGATATTGAGGAACTTGTCATCTTTATCTACCTGTAATGTCACACCAGACTCGTAGAGCTCAGAAATTCCATCAGGGAATTCCCAATTTTCATCCTTGTGGCAAATTTCTTTCCTTTCTGGTGGTAGGTAGTAAGTTCTCAGGAAATCAACCAAATGCAATATCTTCGTCTTCTTGAAATGCTGAGGGACCTTGCCAAGGCCTATCATACATTCACAAGTGACCTTCAAGAAGCTAGGAGCTTTTTTGTTGTCTTCAAAAGCAATGTTGTATAAAATTTCTAGGACGAAAAAGGGAACTTGATTCTCAAGCAGTTTAAGATCGCGTAAAACTGCTTGGCTCAGAGCTGGCCTGTGAAAGATACGGTCATTGGGATCAATCGTACATCCTAACCATGTCAAGAAAAACTCAATAATGAAACAGCCATCAAGCACTAGCATTTCTATAAACTCCACACTTGTGAGATTGATGGTTCCCAAATAACTATCCCGTGCTTCCTTCTCCCATTTCATTGATGCAGTCAGATAATCCTCCAAGTCCCTATTATCATTCCGTTGTATGAATTTCCGTAAATATCTCAATTTTTGCTCCTCCATGCCATGCAATTTTGGATTGCCGCGATGGAAGGGGCCAATGGAGATAAGGGAAGGAGTGTAGGAGTTTTCATTAATATTTCGGAGGTTTCTGGGAATTCTGTAGATACAGCATTTTGAAGACAGTGGGGGTAGTGTTTCACACTTCCTCTTGATGGAAGTCGCTAATTCATCAATTGGATCCTCCATTGCACTGCATCATACGACAGAGTATACTTCATTAGTCATATATAAAAGTTGCTCAGCTTGTGGAGTTTTCATTCAACCAGAAACAACCAAAATCAACAAGAAGTATATGATAATATAATCATAAACATGTACCAGACCAATATCTATTGCTATATAAAAATTAAAAAAATTAAAAAAAAAAATGTACCATTGTAACCAAGACGAAGGATAATGCACATCCTACTCAAAGGTAAGCTTCAAACCAGAATTAATGATTTCACCAACTATGGAAGGAAAAAAAAAAATAGCAAAAGGCCTATATTTGTGCCCTTTATCAGAATGCAACTTGTGGATACACAAGCTAAGTCTATTTCAATCGATATTCAGATTCTTCGAATATGAATAAATACAATGAAGTAACATTGGCATATAATCATTCAATTATAAACAGGCATTCATACCTCACAAACAGAACGAAAACTTTGGAACCTTTACATCAAGACTTTAAAGAACACAATCAAAAAAACTTTGGAACCTTAACATCAAGACTTAAAAGAACACAATCAAGAAAACTTTGGAACCTCTACATCAAGACTTAAAAGAACATAATCAAGATAGATCCCACCAGCTCGGTTTCATCTATAATAACACACTCAATATAGATCCTACCAGCTCGGTTTCATCAGCTTATATACTCTAATGATGATTTTTTCAATAATACAGTAAAATCAGTTAATCAAGCATTAATATTCCGTTTGTAAGCTAATGAGTTCGCCTGTATTTAATACCAATAAATCACAAAGAATTAGAACAATTCTACTGATTGAAGCACATAGCTTGATGTTACAGATTTTACATCTCAACTGATGGGTATTCAAAATTACCCTCAAAAAATATTTAATTTATAATACTATCTTTTAAAATACAGGACAAAATATATGTTCAAGTGACAATCAAGCTAATTCAAATCTTTCAAAAAAAAAAAAAAAAAAAAAAAAAAAAAGAGTAGCTAATTCAAATAAACCAAATTAAATTAGAGAAATTAAATCCTCAAAAATCAAATTATAGAAGGCAATCCAATTATCATAAAATTGAATCTGAATTTAGAAGTAGCTAGCTAAAAATTCCATGATCATGAGTACAAAAAATGGCAAAAGGAAAAAGATTAAATAATGCGATTTCTGATGGAAAAAAGTTTAGGAAGTTAGAATACCTGAAGAGAGAAATTTCAAAAGATGGGATTTTGAGAACAAATCGATTGACAGCTTTTTAAGAATTAGGATGATCAATGCCTCAATAGAGATAGTGAGCTCATACTTTAGTCAAAGTAATGAACTGAATACAAAGAAAAAAACATAATTTTTTTTTTTTTTTTTTTTTTTTTGGGAAGGAAGAAACTTCGATCGATTGATTGATGCATTATAGCCAATTCCACGCATGTGAATGAAAGTCATACGAAGTAATTAAATATTTATATAAAAATAAAATCTAATATCATATCATATCATATCATGTATCACTATTAAATAAAGTCGATCTCGCAGTCAGGTCACAAAATAGCGACACTTGGCATTGCAATTTTTCGGTTATAGATAGAGGTTACTTAGTCAGTGTTGGAGGTTACTTAGTATTACAGGGGTTACTCAGTCAGTTTTATAAGGGTTATTATTGTCCGGCTAGATGGTGTGGCTAGCCGCATACAAAATGCATTGTTATTTAATTTATTTTTAAAAAATATTAGAGAATTAGTAAAAATAAGTTTTCATCATTAAAATTAATTTTAATTTGGTAAAAATGTTTTCAATTCAGTAAAAATAATTTAAGTTCATTAAAAATAATTTCAAATCAATAATGACATAAATATCTATTTACAAACAAAATTACAAAAAGTATTATTATATAAATATAAGCTATATGATATCATATGTCTAAATATCCTACATTATCAGAACAAATTATTTGACCGTATTTAACATTAAAGTAAAAATGTTATCTTAAAATTTTATCAAGCATCTGGGCATTGCCCGGGCACAAAACTATCATATGTCTAAATATCCTACATTATCAGAACAAATTATTTGACCGTATTTAACATTAAAGTAAAAATGTTATCTTAAAATTTTATCAAGCATCTGGGCATTGCCCGGGCACAAAACTAGTTATATCATATCATATATCACTAGTATATAAAGCCTATCTCGCAGCCAGGCCACGAGATAGCGACGTTTGGCATTCCAATTTTTCGCCAAGTGTCACGCCACGTAGATAATAAATGGGTATTATTGTGACACATATGATGCTAAGTAAGCGAATTTTGGATAGATTTCTTAAGATAAAAATATTGTATAGAGTTTTATTATCGATATACTTCTAATATTTCATATATACAAAATTAATCATAACTTTTAATAAATATCTTATAACTCGATTCTATTTCCATCCTAAATTTCATTTTAAAAAGTTATTTAACATAAGATTCATTTATAATATATATTTAATTTATTTATAAAATAATAGAGACTAGACTAAAAATAAGCTTTAATTAGTAAAATAATTTTAGTCAATGTCAAAAAAAAAAATCAAGTTCTATAAAAATAATTTAAGTTCGAAAAAAATAATTTCAAGTTAATAATATGATAGATATCTATTTACATTAATCAGTAAAAATAATTTTAGTCAATGTCAAAAGTAAAAATAATTTAAGTTCGATAAAAATAATTTCAAATTAATATGATATCATATGTCTAAATATATTGCTTATCAAAAAGGATTATATGATCGTATTTAACCTTCAAGCCAAAAAGTTTTTCCTAAAATTTTATCAACAATTCGGGCATCGTCTGGGCACAAAACTAGTATATATATAAAGGGGAGTTTTTTTCCGAGTTTTTAGAAAGCCACATATGATAGAAATTTCTTAACGTGCCATGTAGAATTATAAATTTTAGTGATAGCGCCAATCAAATAAGAGATTTGTAATTTCTTTTAGAAATAAATAATTCAAATGCCACATAAGCAAAATTGGCGAATGAGATTTTAAAGTTTGAATTAATTAAATATAATATATTATCTTTTGAAATTAGGAATTTTATCTAAATATATAAGGAATGAATGTAAATTCACAATTTATAAAAACAAAAAAAAATTGTTTTAAAAAAATACAAACAAACCGTGCATTACACGGGTTTCATCTAGTAAATATTAAAATTGTGATTAAATCAACAACTTTTAGTACCCGAGTAGTTAACTTAGTGCTTGTTTGGTTGGAAGATATTTCCCTTGGAAATGGATATTCCTAGGCAATAACTAAAATATGTTGTGTTTGGTTAAAAAATTCCTAGAAAATGAAATTTTCAAGGGGAATGTAAATTTATACATAGCATGGGAAATAACTCACCAAGCCCCCCCTAGGTGAGTGAATTCCTACAATGCATAGGAAGTTATTTCCTGGGAAATACTAATAATTCCCATGATGTCAACCAAACACTTTTGAAGAATTTATATGCAAATAGCAAGGGAATTAACTTCCTATAGTATATGATTTCACGTGGAAATTTATTTCCCAATGTTGAACCAAACAAGCACATAGAGTTTAAAAAGCGAGGAACTACTTTTTGGGTAGTTAAAAAAAGTGGCAAAATTGTAATTAAATTAATAATTTTGACAAAAAAAATGTAAATGTGTAACACTAGAAAAAGGCTAACTATCGAATGTGTAACACTTAATACGAACGGAGTAGATAATTTCCTGATAACGAAATCCTAAATGAGGTTTACTCAGCTTTGATTTGAATTATTTTTTTGATAATTAAATTGAATGAAGCGATGAACTTTTTTGGGTAGGTAAGGGGAAAAACCCTATAAATTTAAAACCTCTCACAAATCAACCTGATACGTATTAGTGGGCTATGCCCTTGGAACGTGTGTGGGGGGGGGGGGGAGGGGGGTGTGGGTTGTCTTGAAGGAGCTCCACTCAAAATATGTCTAGTGGCATTTGATCTACAATCTCATAATTTTAAGATAATGCAAAATAATTTCATTAGACCAAGTCTTATTTGATTTAATTATTTGTTTGTAATAGGATACTATCTCCATTCTCCAACAATCTCCATAATTTGTATTATTTATGAATTAAAATTATGGTCCGTACTCATAGAAAGCAAATGATGAGGACATCATAAATCATGAATATTCTTCTCTTTGCCATAAAACTGTAGGAACGTGGAGACAAACACAAGAAAGCTAATGCAGGTACGCCTCATCAAACAATAAGACATTCACAAAAGTGTTAAATTTCATTCAAGGATAAATTACTTGAATCAAAATGACGTGGACTGCACTTATTATTGAAAAGGAGAGTTAATGACTTATTTTTTAAGTCTTAATTAAACTTCACTCTAATAACAATTGGTAATGATATGTTACTTGAAAGCATGCAGACCTCCTTTATACTTTGTAATTACATCAATTAAAATATAAAGAAAAATATTTGTCTAAAACCGTTTTATTTCATAAAACCACTTCTGTGAGTCACTATAAGCATGTGACTCCATCTATTCTCTTTTCTCTCTTCCCTCGATCCAACCACCTAAAAGGTGGTCTTACGATGGTAAGTCAGTTTTATTTACAAGTTTATAAAATATTACATTAAAATAATAGTACAAATGGTTTGTACAATAGTAAGTATGACTAACATAATTGCAGCAATGAATGAAATAATTGTCCATGGATTGCTAAAATAATCATGCTTTAGCGTCGCCCTCCATCGATGCCAACGTGTGTTGTAGTATGCACTTAGTTGTTTACAAAGACGAGAATAATAGAACCCTTTTACTTGATAAGTTGTTCCCTTGCATATAGTGTTGAATATTTCTGCAAAATCTTCTGTGGTACCTAAGGAGTTCATTATGATCCCCTTAGTCGCAAGGATATCAACATCCTTAAGAGTCGTAATTAGAACATCCATCAACACAACATAATCGACTATATAAGAATCAAAATGATAATGGCATAGCTCCAATGCCAATAAGTTTAGAAGTAATGATTCTGTGTGGTCTTCCACCTCTAATTTAGGAATTCTTAAGATGCCGTTACTGAATTCTATGTCTAGTAAGGATCCATTTTTTGCCACCTCAAATTTGATCCCGGCATCTTGAAGCCTCTCCACGGTAGGAGGAAAGTCCAAATCATCATTTTCACCCTCATTTGGATCCCTAAGAACCGAAGGCAAATAACATGTCCTTAAGAAATCAACAAGATGTAAAACTTTACAATCGTCAAATTTCTCCAAAATCTCCGTTTTTCCCACAATTAGTACTTGGCAACATAGACCTATGAAGGATGGTAGTGACCTTGTAGTGTCACTCTTATCTATATCATCAAAGTCAGTGGTGGATTCAGAATTTTCAGTATGATGATGTGGCACCAATTTCTCATCACCAAAAGCAATGTTATACAAGCCTTCCAAGACAAAAAATGGAAGTTGATTTTCTAACAATAAGATGTCGCGCATAATTACAACTTCCAAAGATGGTTTCCTAAATATGGAATCAATCACTTCTGCTTCATCGAGGAACCAAAGTAATAAAAACTCGATCAAAAAACACCCATCCAACAAAACCATCTCATTGAATTCCTTGCTATCTAACTCGACATTCTCTACGTAAGATTCACGTATTTCTTTCTCCCATTGCTTAATCTTTTCCAAATAGTTGGACAAGTTTTTCTTCTCATTTCTTTTTAGGAAGTTTTGCAAGTACCTTAATTTGTGCTCTTGCATGGGTTCTAACCCTTTCTTACCGTAGTGAAAAGGGCCAATCGAAATTAAACATGGTTTATAGGCTGATTTATTCACCATTCGAAGGGGTCGAGGGATTTTATATATACAACAATTGGGCGATATAGGAGGTAAATCCTCAAATCTTTTTCTAATGGAAGTCGCTAATCGATGGATCTTTTCATCATTTTTTCCCATACGATTAGTCATGTTCCCGACTTCAAGCAGATTTTTACCAATCAAAACTAGATTTTACAGTCAAAACTTATTTTTGCTGATGATTTTTAACTTGTTTACTAGTGTTTTTGTCATATGCAATAAAAAAAATCTACAAGTATATTGATTTTGTTTTTTTTTTTTATAACAAATTTAAACTAATTACAAAAACTAATGATTAAAAGCTAATGAATTTTTTTTTTTTTTTAAAAAAAAAAAAAAAAAAAAAAAAAAAAAAAACTAATGAAGAGACGTTTACCTCTAAGGCTCTAACAAAGAAATCGGAATCAAAAATCATAGCTCGAAGATCAAAGACATTAAAAGTATCAAGGAACCCTTGAATCTTCAACAAGTATATCGAAAGAACAATATGAATCGGAGTTGGGTTGTTGTTAATGGGATTATTGGCTTATTGTAGAAGCAAATTAAAGTCAAAAAGAGTTTAGAGGGATTTTATTGCAAAATGCAAGGTTAAAACTTAAAAGCTAAGAGAAAGAAGGAAGCTTCTCTGAAGTTTGTACGTAGTTACGTAATTGTCATCTTGTAGTTTGTGGGAGATTAGTTGACTAAGTACTCCTTAATTGTCATCTTGTAGCCTTGTGGTAGTACGGATAATCTCGCCACCTCGGTCTCAAATTAGTTGCTCGCTCCATTTGTATATCATTACTTTGTTTTAATACTATATACGAAGTAGAATTGAGTATGTTGTTATTATCAAAAAAATTTAATATTGTATAACTTAAGTTCGGTACAAACAATTTGATATCAGTAAAATAATTTAAGTTATGCAAAAATAAATTCAATTCAACAAAAATAAGGTAATCAAAGAGAACATGTCCTAATTACAGGTAAACCGAAATAGATTGCAAAATATGTACACAAAAAGTTTGATGATGTTCTTTTTCAATTTGCAAAATTGCATCGTAGTTGCATTGTAGAATAGCCCTTTAACTTACAAGTAATAGAGGTGTTCATCTTGTCCTATAATGAGTGTCCTTACTCAAAGCTATGCTGAAATCACCCCTTTTTTTTGTTCATCTAATCTAATATGAAGGTATTTTTCCTTGATTTGATCTAATTTAAGTTGACTAAATTTTAATCATATATGTACCTTAATCCATTAATAAAAAAATGTATTTTGTATCAAATAAGGTTTAATTAAATTTGTATTACTGTGTCTGATTCTAGCACTCCCAAATATATATTTATGCTATTTTTAATCTGATGCCCAAAATTTTCAAGCTTAGTACACCTAGATTGTTGGATTAGGATGGAATTCTAGCCCAATTTTTAAGCCCAAGCCCAATTGACTTGTTGGCCCAAAATAAGTGCAAATTCTTAGCTACACACTTGTGTAGCTAAGTTAGATGCACCATTGTACCCATATATGAACACATAGTAATTTAAAAATAAACATACGTTCTTTATATCTTAACTCTCTCTGTTTTTCTTTCTTACCTCTATTAATTTTCTCTCTCCTCTGTTTTCTTCTCAATCTGAAATTTTCTCTCTCCTCTTTTTTTCCCCCCTTTTTTATAAGTTAATTTTCTTTCTTACCTCACTTCCTTCAATATTTATACTTCTTTGTCCTTCTAATTCGGATATTCTCCAATTCGTCACCATTGTAACATTATCCATCATCATCATCTTCGTCACGATCGTGAAATTTGAAGTAATTTTGAGTTTTTTTTTTAATTAAAAATATGTGAATGTTGTGATTACTAATCTATTATATTATAAATCGATAATTATTATCTCTATGATGAACTAAGATTAGATTTAAGGTAGATATTCAAATTTTTAGAGTTAAAATAATTACAATTGAATTTGTGTTCTGTAAATAAAAAAATATATGAACATACAATACTTTAAAATTGAACATTTTGTAAAATATTAAGATTTAATACATTAAAAATGAACATTAGTTATAAAAAATGAACATAATTTAACGATATATTATATCTTTATTTTTTGTTGATTATTATTATATACTATAAATTTGAACTTATATGAATATATGAAAATCATGTTCATTTTTATTATACTAACGTTCATAATATTTTTAAACGTGTTCATTTGTTTACGTGTTTATTTTTTGTACTAAATGTTCATTTTATATAATGTATTCATATATTTTTATGAAATGTTCATTTTATTAGGTATGGTTCAACTATTCTATGATTATAAGATAGTGTTCATTTTTACTATACTAAATGTTCATATTTTTTTGACATGTTCATTTTTTATTACTAAATATTCATTTTTTTTTAAGTGCTCATTGTTGTATTACTAAATGATCATTTTATTTTTTACGTCTTCAAATTTTTTTTTTACTAAATGTTCATTTTTAAGGTCATGGTCCATCAATTTTATGATTATATGATAATCATGTTCATTTTTAATATACGGAATAATCATTTTTTTTAACATGTTCACTTTTTGATATTAAATGTTCATTTTGTTTTTACGTGTTCATTTTTTTATTACTAAATGTTCATTGTTTTTTTACGTGTTCATATTTTTTACTAAATGTTCATATTACAGGGTGTGGTACAGCTATCAAGGATACACGTAAGACTTATTGCAAAATAAGTTACATTTGTTTGGCAAAAGGCCGACTCAATATTAGACGAACTTGAACACAACAAATCATCAACAATGTAACCCATTTCTACCCATTTACTAAACTACAAATTGTTTTCGTCCAAATAAGCTACAACGGCAGTACAAATTTAAATGCAGATGATCAGAACATGAGGCCTACAAAATTAGAAGTTTCACTATTTATCAATGTTAGTTTAATGTGTTCAAGAAATGCTAAGACAATTCTTTATTATTTTGTGATCTATTTGGGACTATAATAATGTTAAAATTGGAATTTATCTTTTGTCAAATCAGCAAATAATTATCATAAATTAAACAAAATTTTCACTGATGTGCATATCACAATCAAGTCATTGTTGTATATCTTAGATTCCAGCTCATTATTGGTAATTTGAATAATAAAATAGGTGCATGTTTTTTCAACTTTGGTATTAAAATTGTTGGTGGTCTACTTATTTTGACTCTATATTTACGGTGGCTGTTAAGTATGTGCTACTAATTGTCTAATTGCATAATCAGAGATGTGTTGTATCACTTGTAAGTTGTAACCGCGGCTACTTATGCTGCTCGATTACCATATGTGCCGCAGCAACTTAAGCTGCGCGATTGCTGTGTGCTTATTCTAAGCTATCGAGTTTATATCTAGTCCTCACTCGGACTCCCATCAGCTTCTTTCCTTCCCGTCCCTGATCCCTGCCCCTTCCACAGCTTATATAGCCGTCCGGTCTCTTGCAATAAAGGTAAAAGAAATAAGGGAACTCTAAGAGCAATGACCAAACATGATTATACTCAAAAAGCTTGTTGACATATATAGGGCAATAAGGCCATCAATGCAGCAAAAACTCGTATATAAGATTATCAATCAGACAATCACAAACGTCTGAAAGCAATAACGGTACAAGCAGTTTGTATGACAGTAAGAATGAGCAATACAACAGCAGCAATGACCGAAATTATAGTCCAAGGATTGTTGAAGTAATCGTGTCTCAAAGTTGCCTTCCACCTATTCCAAGGCGTTTTCGAGTGAGCAACCAATCGCCTACATATTTTAGTGTAATAAAAGTTGTGAGCTTCATAGTTTGTTTCTCTGCATATGGTATTAAACAAGTGTGCCACTTCGTCATTGTTGCCTAAGGCGTTCGTTATGATCCCACTACTTAGAAGAAGATTCACATCCTTTAGAGTGGTAATTAGTACATCCATCAAAAGGACATAATCCACAACGTAAGAGTCGGAATGGTAGTGGCATTGCTCAAACGCCGATAAGTTTAGAAGAATTGATTCCGTGTGATCTTCCACCTCTAATTTCGGAATGTACAAAACACCGTCTTTGAACTCTATATCGAGCATAGAATCGCTTTTATTTACTGCAAATTTTACCCCTGCATCATGAAGATCCCCTACACCGGGAGGAAACTCCCAACACGCATCATCGCGTGATGGGACATTATTAGGGTCCCTAAGCTCTTTAGGGAGGAGATGGGTTCTCAAAAAATCAACAAAATGCAAAATTTCGCGCTTCTTGAACTTCTTTGGAAGCTCCCTTCTACCAATTATGACCTCGGAAGTAAGATCAATAAACGGGATTGAACTCTCAAAAGACTCGTCATCCTCATCTTCGCCATCAAAGACGAGCCCATATAAATTTTCAAGCACGAAAAAAGGGAGTTGATTCTCAATCAACAATAAATCACGTCTAATTACATGTTCTAAAGACGGCTTACCAAAAATACGATCATTCTCATCTAATGTCTCCCAATACCAACTCAAAAAAAACTCGATAATAAAACACCCGTCGAGTAACAACATTTCAACAAACTCGTCGCTACTCAAATTAATACTCTCCATGTAACACTCTCTTACATCATTCTCCCATTCCTTAATAGCTTTAAGATAATCCTTGAGTGATTTCCTCTCATTTCTCCTAAGAAAATTTTGGAGATACCTTAATTTTTGCTCTTGTAATCCTTGTAACCTTTTAGCACCATAATTGAGGGGCCCAATTGAAATAAGACAAGATTTATAGGCACTCAAATTGACATTTCTTAGTGTTCTAGGGACTCTATAAATGCAACATTTGGAAGAAAGAGGGGGTAATTCTGCAAACCTTTTTCTTATTGATTTAGCCAATTGATGAATTCCATCTTCCATCTTCCCAAATTGATTCCTTTTTCTCTGAATTAATTCAAACAACCCATATCAATCAATCAATCAAATTAAACAATAAAATAAACATTTAACTATCATTAATTGGATCCATTACAGAATATACGAAAAAAAGTCACAAGATTTCCCATACAACAGTTATACCAATTACGTGTAACATACGATCACACGGAATCAATAAACATACCCCAGCAAAATAAATAATGGGTTTTTAATTTGTTACCTTTTTGTGAGTTTTGGAGCTCATAAGTGAAGCTGAAGCAGCATCAAATGAAGTAGTTAATGATATAAACTCCAAAATTAATGGAATAAGAGATGATGAAGATGGGTGTTAATCTTAACTAATTAACATAATAATATGCATTTAGATCTAATTTAAGTGAAGGGGGCAAATAAATTGGGAGAAGGTGAGATCAAATGGTGGGAAAGTGAAGAAGTGAAGAAGGGTATCAAAAGAGGAGAGAGAAAATGAAAGAAAAAAGTTTGTGTTTTTGTTGGATTTGGAGATTGGTATTATGTTAGGATTAATCACATGTTTTTCTTATTATTTAACTGTATAGTGGATGCCATAAAAGTATTAAACCCAAAAAAACCAAAAAAAATCAAGTTAAATACGTAGTGTATATTGTACTAGTTAATAATAATAATAATAATAATAATTAAAGAGAAAAGAAAAATGAAAATAAATAAATAGTGGAAAGTCCTTGTAAATTGCGAAAGGGGATAGGAAACCTCGTGGGTTTTGGATTACTAGGGCAAGTAAGAACCTTTGTGTGTGAGTTTTGGATTATTTTAGTTTACATTATTATTCTTTTGTTTTTTTTGTATTTGAATAAATATATTTGATTAATAATATTTTTAATTAAAAAAAATTCAAAATTAAGGATCGAGATGAATCTAGCAATGAATAAAGCATTAGTATTATAAAGTTATGGTATGAAAAAAGTCGGTCGAAACCTAGAAGATAATAAATCAAACGTATACAATATTAATCAGTATCAATGACTATCTGGCATGCAAAGCACCGAGAATCAGGGATTGATGTATTCATGTAATACTAGTTTAAGTAGTGGTAAGATTGAGTTATTGTGACTAAATAAGAGAATGAAGAAATTAATGTCAATATCACCACGTTTAATGGCTTACGCGTGATGACCAATCTACTAGAAAAACATAAACGTCACATATTATTGGTAGTGATCAAACACCAATTTGGCTTTTGGTATCTTTAAAATCTTCTAATAGGATGTTTGTCAAGAATGGACTTGTTTCAATATTGATATACTTGAAGCGGCTCATTTCAAAATTGATATACTTGAAGCGGCTACACTTGCCACGGACTAATTATATAGGCTATCATGTCAATCATCTATGATCCATCGAGACCCACATTAAGATCGAGTTTATAGACAATAAGCTTGCTAGCATATTTGCACATACACAATATTTGAAGACCACCCTGATTCACTTATAATATGGGGTCTACATTTTACATAGCAAACCCTTTAAAAAATCCTATTTCTCATCAGTATTCGAATATAAAAGTACGAAACATTTATTATAAAAGGCTTGTTTATCATTACTTCACTCGTTACCAAAATTATACTAATTTAATCATCAATGATTAAATTAGTATAATTTTGGTAACGAGTGAAATAATCACCCTCGAGGATATTTAACATATCGTTATTGTCTGTTTATATAACTTGCTATTGGCTTAGCTAACATGTGTACATATGACAATTTATTTATTTTAAGAATGTGATAAATGATAGTGATGTAGTCCTAATTCTTTTGCAAAGTTTAAATATAATTCGTCCATTATATTGTTGTTTAACAATAGAGTACGTAGAAACCATGAGGCATACTTGATTTCATATCTAGGCGATTCAAAATTTGACGTGAAGTAATTTCACTTAGCATGCATCCGTACTGAAATTTTCATTTGGCATCACTCTAATGATTTATTCTCTTTGCCTGTTTTTACCGACTTAAATTTGCTAAAATTAAAAATACCATTTTAATGAAAATATATAATTTATTACCCTTTAAAAATCGCTATCAATTCATGATATAACCAAAGTAAAATTATGTTAAAATCTCAAAAACACAAAAATAAAATAAAATAAAATAAAATTAAAAGTTTTGGTATTATGTTAATTGATTAAAATTAGTTAGATTTCATCTTGATTCAATTTGGCCGTCACTTTAATCAGTACCCCAAAATAATGTCAATTTAAGTAGTTGGTGATTGGTTTAATCAGTAGACATTAAAGAAATAAGAATAATTCGTCAAATTTTAACAAGCTACAGTCGTTATCAAACTAAAATTTCAATTAGACTACGTAGCTAGATGAGATGAATCAACCAACTTGGAGCTACGTATGCTATGTTTTATGCACGTGTCACGTTTCTTTTACAACTTATTGTTGGAGTCATCTCGTTTGCGTCAAATTATCGTTTTCAAGTTGTTGATTTTAAACTAGTTTTCAGGTCCGATCAATTTCTCGAGTTATTGTATTAATTTTACGATTGAAATTCTTATTTATATTTAATTAATTTTAATAGAATGACATAGAATATGGTAATAACTTAGTCGCTAACACTATATTTTTTTAAAACTTAAACTCGTAGGTTCAAATCTTGTACAAGCTATATTTTTAAATCTCTATTGGAATGCATTTTCATATATATACTCCCTCTGCCTCTGTTTTTTTGCTCCGTTATCAAAATTTGAGTCTTTGAAAACTTTGACCATAAATTCTCGTTATTCTATAGTAGGTAATATTGTTATGTGAAATCTTGTTTGGTTCGTCTCAATGTATATTTAATTAATATCAACTTTTTATAATTTTCTCGCATGTAAAATTGGAGATATAAACGATTTAACGCGTGTCTTGGAGATCGTAAAAAGTCAAATGGGGCAAAAATAAAGGGATAGAGAGAGTACTACTTAGTAAGTACTTCCTATGTTCTTTTTTAATTGACTCGTTTTTTTTATCACGCTTGTCAATGCAAAACTTTAACGATCAATAACTTTAATTCTCCATAAGTAAAAATTATAAAAGTTATATATTATGATAGTACTTATTTAGACGAATTCAAACATATACCACATAAATATGTTTTTTCTTACATATTATTCACAAAAGACGGTCAAAGGAGGGGTGGTGAATAGTGTAAAAGTCAAAGCGGGTCAATTAAAAAAGAACGGAGGAAGTATAGATTATCACAACAATTTAATTTTAGCCTTTTATCTCTTTGTTTAATTTAATTTGCTTTCTTTTTAATTTAGCATTGAAAACTATATTGTCAACGGGTTTTTTTTTTTTTTTTTTTTTTTTTTTTTTTTTTTTTTTACAAGAAGAAAATATTTATTATTAATGAATAGCCATAATGCACCTACAATAATAGCATTGTTCTGTAAACCACAGATTTAGAGAAAATAACATAACTTTTACAATCAAACTCATAATTAGTTTGCATATTTGGCATAGCTCACACTCCACCGCTTCAAACTTGACGCGAATAGTGATTTTCTATGTCTTCACATCTTTCCAAGTAGAGACCTTCGCAATATGCGCTAATGTTTTGATCGTAAAGTTGATGACAAACCCCAAATCCATATGAATCCAAATCACCTTCCCAATTATTAAAACCCTGAAAATAAAATTCCCATCCATAGATGAGAGTCAGCCCAAAAAATTGGGACAGACTATCATAAATGAAGAGAACAAAACAAAGCAAAAAGAAAACAAAGCAAACACCTAAATTAAATCAAGAAAAAGAGCCAGAATTAGACTATTTTCAGCCTAAACGACAAAAAAAAAAAAAAATTGAAACCCTAAAAGAAAAGAGAGGAGAGATAAGAGAGAAAAGGGAGAAGAGGAGGCCTCGTTGAGGTTGAGGTTTTTTTGGGGGGTTTTGGTAGAATACTTTATATTGTCAACGATTAATAATAAGTACTGTCAACTTTTTCTATTTGTGAGTATTAACTCATTTGGTGATCAATACATATTTGGTAGTCCGACTTATTAATACTTTTTTTTTTTATACTAATCGTCAAAATCTCATTCAATTCAAGACGATGATCCAAAATTGACCTAACATTACTAAACAACTAAATAATTACTTCAAATTCAATTTGAACACTTGATTTGTCTCCATGATAGTACGGCTTAAGATTGACTCAAATCATATCCAAATTAAAAACTTTTATATGTGGCTGGTCACCACCGTGTGCCTAATTATTTTGGTAGTTACTTTGTTAGTGCTATAGGGGTTACTCACTCGGTCAAGGGTTACTAAGTCGGTTAGGGGTTACTGAGTTACTCACTCGATCAGGGAATTCTAAGTCGGTCAGGGATTACTTGGTCGGTTAGGGGTTACTCGGTCGATCAGGGATTACTCGGTCAGAGGTTACTCAACAATCAAGGATTACTTGATGTGTGTCAGCTGGCCAAACGGTGTGACAGCCGCACACAAAAGTTGTTGTATCCAAATAACCTAGTTACCCAAACATGAATGGAATGTGTATAGATCAAATAATTTAGCATAATGCACAAAAAAAAAAAAAAAAAAAAAAAAAACTAACCCAACTCGATACGATCTAAACCCGACTTGACTTAACCGAACCCGACCAAAACAATCGATTTAACAACCCCAATTGCTCTAATACAAGTCCCAACAAAAATAATTAGTTTCCATGGGCTTATCCATAACACTACTAGCATCTCATCAAAAAAGCCCACAACTTCAAAACCCTAATCACCGTCAAAACAAATAACCCCAATTTTCTCTCTCCTCCATTCTATCTCATCTCCACCCCCATCTCAATTTCTAGGGTTTCTACGTTCTCCTCCAACAACCTGCAAAAATGGTGAACATCCCAAAAGTGAAGAAAACCTACTGCAAGAACAAAGAATGCAAGAAACACACAACCCACAAAGTTACCCAGTATAAGAAGGGCAAGGACAGTTTAGCGGCGCAAGGTAAGCGTCGTTACGATCGCAAGCAATCTGGTTATGGAGGTCAGACTAAGCCAGTTTTCCACAAGAAGGCTAAGACTACTAAGAAGATTGTTCTCAGGCTTCAATGTCAGACTTGTAAGCACATCTCTCAACACTCCATTAAGCGTTGCAAGCATTTTGAGATTGGTGGTGATAAGAAGGGCAAGGGAACTACCCTGTTTTAGATGTATCGTTTTCTCTCTCCTCACTTTGTCTTTCTAAAGTTGGAGGTTCAGTTTTAATGGGTTTTAGTTTTTTGTGGTAATTTTCGTTTATTTGCAATTTTGTTGGAGATTTTGGTTTTGTATGGATTTCTTTGGTGAAATGAATCAGTTTGAATTTTAGATAATTATTGATATTGCTCTTTAATTGTTTTTGTTGCAATTATTATGATGATTTGGATGGTAAATCTCGAAATTTGAGGTTGTTTTGACAATTTGTTGATAAAAATTGTTTGGAAAAATTCGTCCAGAGCTGCAAAAAATGAAAAAGATGGGTTCTTTTAGATTGTTCAGTGATTGAAGAGAAACAGTCTTGTTGAATGTTGGGGCACAATCACCGCAAATGCTTATCGTGCTGCTAGAATTCGAGTATTTTTTTTGCTGCTTCAGAGTATTCGCGGTGTTTGGTGCTCGGTTGCTTGATCTGTGCATTGGTATTGCATTATGCTGAATATTGCTTATTGAGTCTATCCATTTGATAAACAGGGAAATATACTTAGGCAAGGTCATAATTTTAGTCATTGAATCTTGTAAGACATTAATGATGCCTTGTCTATCTGTGCCACCATTGCTGATCATAGGATGCTTAATCCTGATTAAAATGACCCTAATTTGTATAACTTAGGTCTAATTAAAACTTGAAGGATTTGAGCGTTACAGAATAATTGCTTGGTGTGTTATCACTGTCTCTGACTTGTGAATGAGATGATAACGCAGTTAGTGATTTTCAAAGGTTGTGGAGTAATGTTGTATTGAGTGGAGGATTAGACAGTGAGCCACACAGGTTTGAGATATCACTAGGGATTTCTAAGCAGGTACACACACTGAGGCATACCAATTGCCAATTAAATCAGAAATGAACTTTCATATCATTATATATTTGTAAAAATTACAAATAATTAGAAAACTTGGATTTTTTTTTGCTTTTTTTTTTAAAATGACATTTAGTGGACTAATCTAGTAGCTACTCAATCCATTTTTCTTCAAGTTGTTGATTAAGTTGTATCTGCCAAGTGCTTGATTTTTTTTCTATCGGCTGCCAATCAGTCATTGTAATGAAGGGGGCATAGCTTGCTGTGTGGCACTTATTTCATGAGAAGGTTGGTGGTGGTGACGGCTGTTGTGTTCTGTACTGTGATGATGCCTTGCTGATGGATTACGTTTCTTAAGGGTTGACTTTGCATGATGAGCAGCAGAATGGTGGCTATGGGGTGGCTTGGTCTGATGATGTGTTTGTTCGCGGTGATGATGAGATAATGGAGTATTGTGATGCGTTCCATGGTATTGGTGAGCAGGATGGCCATGATTTTGGTTATCATGATGAGGTGCTGTGGTATGGGGTCTATGGACTGTTGGCCTGTGATATGGTGTTGGGCGACGGTGAGTTGCTGGAGGGTGATGTCCATGGTATATCGTTTGATGGCGAGCAGGTGGTAGGTGGTGCCTATGATATATCATTCCATGGCGATGGTAGGTCATGCCCCTATGGTGGGTTGGTTGTTCATGGCTGCGGTTTCTTCTTCTCATGTGATGAGGTAGTGTATGGTGGTTCCTTAAGAATGGCCTCCTGTGATGATGCAGGGCTGGATGGCCGTGGCCATGATGTCTTCTATGATGATGGTGTCTGTGGTGGTGATGACTACTTGGCTGGGGATAGAGAGGTGGGAAAAAGGGGTGTGGATGCCAGGGACCCCAATGATGATAAAATTGCCGGTGGGGAGGTTCAGTAGAATGATGATGTTCGGAAGAGTGATGCCTATGATGATTTGGCTCCAAATGGCGATGTTCGCGTGAGTGATGCCTATGATGAATTGGCTGATGAATTGGCTCCCAATGATGATGTTCGGGCGAGTGGTGCCTATGATGGATTGGCTCCCAATGATGATGTCTGGGCGAGTGGTGCCTATGGATTGGCTCCCAGTGATGATGTCTTGGCGAGTGGTGCCTATGGATAGGCGGCCAATGATGTTCTCTCATATGGTGGTGGCGATGGTGATGTGGTCGCAAAAATAACTTATGTGGTGGTCTATGCTTGTGTGGTCTAAACTTGTGTGGCAGCTTAGGTTTGTGCGGGTGTGGCCTGAATTTATGTGGCATCTTATGACATGGATGGCACGGTGGGAGATTGATCCTCGGTGGTAAATGATATGGTGGTAAGATAGTCTTGTGATGTGGCATAAAATGTGGCAGTAGAAAGAGTTCATGTGATGGTGGTGGGGATAGGATTAAATGGTGAAATGGTGGCGGTGACATGGACAGACCTTCAGGTGGTGGAGACATCATTTGTGGGGGAGGTGGTGGTGGTGGGAGTGGGAGTGGCGGTGGATAGTAGTTATCATTAGTGGCCATGGTCACCGACGGAAAGGTGAGAAACACAAACGCAACAAGTAGCGAAACTAGGAGGGATGCCATTGATGACTGATGAGAGGGAGCGAGAAATGAGAAAAGGTTAACTTGTCTTGGATAAGTGTTGTTGGATCTCAATCTGTAGAAATGTCCTTAACTTTTAATCATGATTAGGGCAAAATACACGGCCCTTTTTTGGGTCAGCAATCTTTGTTGAAGTTACCCTTCAAATTAGGGTATTGCCTGTGTAAATTACTCTAACTCTCAACTGGATTATAGTACTTGGGTGAAATTTTTTAGTAACTTTTTTGTCACAATCTTGAAATGATAGATGAATCCCACCAAATATGACGGCTACTTGTTCACGTTTAAGATTTTTAACTTTTCATTTGGTAATTGCCTCTAATTTATAGATTAATAATCTGGCTGAAATGCTAGTAGTTGACTATAAATTACCAAACTATGCTCGAACTTTTGCTGAATAAAGTGGCATATGTTTGGCAAGTTTACCTCCCAATTATCCTCAATAATTGAGAAGAAAAAATTAGGTAAATCTTTGTCTACAATGTTACCTAATTTTGTAACAATTATCATCTTAAATAAATATTTGAAAATAGAAAATAATTGTATGAGTCCTAATATTTTACCCCTTAATTGGTTCTACCATTGTTTTCCCCATTTTTCTTGCTGGCTTACATATTTTCAATAATTTATTTACTTAAGGAAAATTGTAAGGTTTCCTCCACAGACTCCTTGAATGGGTACATGCCAGTCTTGAAAGCTCATGTACTGTTCTAATGGGTTTATTCACAAGCGACTTAAGCCAAGAAAAAGTCATGTCATGTTGAGTTTGTTTTGGCCTTTTATAAACGAAGCCTATGTACTTGACTTCTTGTGCTATTGTCTAGACTCTTGCCAAATTTGAAATTAATGTCCATGCAAGGCTTATGTCCCTCCATTTTGTTTGACTTGAAGAGTTAGGCTTATGTATGGCGGGCTTGTGCCTAGTATGACAATCTCCATAATGTGCCTCTCTGGTCTTTATGCCAGCTCTAACATTTCCCTTAAGGATGAAAGTTTGGTTTGCGGTATGATTTATAGCTCAAACCGAAATCAAACTACATTAATTCAGTTTTGGTATTTTTCAAATTATACCGCACCATATTACTATTAAAACAGAACCAAATCACACTGTTTTAAATTCGGATTTTCAAAAGAAAACCGAATCACACCGAAATTTTTCATCTTCTTCCTTTTTGCTCCATCTAATTGGTCATTCATTCCAACATCGCCCACATTGGTTGACATTTTAGGACATAAAAAAACACAAGTTTATTATTTTTTGGTTTTATATATGTAGGTTAAAAATTAGTATTGGGCTACGCTATAATTTGGATATGGGCTAATATTCGGTTTGGATTTCGATTTTTGGTTTTTCAAATCTTAAAACCAAAACCAAACCATATTAATTCGGTTTTGGTATTCCTCAAACCGCAGCGAACTATATTCGAAAAAAAATCGCACCACATTTCTAATTTGGTTTGGTTTGTGATTTGGTTCAGTTTTAAACCGCATTAATTTCACCCCTAATTCTCCTCCATTGCACATTGTCTTCTATTCTATTTATGACATCAGTCTAGTTCCATGCCCATGCCCAAGCTCAAGCTCAATCTCAATTCAACCCCTCATTTTGCAACAAGCCAATACTTTCTACACAAATTTTCACGTCCAATAAGAATAGCTGCATATGTGATCAATCAAATGTAGAAACCAACTAGATAAAGGTTATAAATCCAAACACCCCCTTTATTTTTCTAGCTATAACAATTCAATGGACTCTATAATTAATCCACTTTTGAAGTGGATAACCCTAAAAAATAAAAATACTTGGTAATATGGAAATGGTTAGTTGACTTGAATCGTAAGAAGTGGATTAGATATTTAGATTCCAACTATTTACTTGGTAAAATACTTGATTTCGATTTCCTTTCGTTGGTCTTTCTTGAAACAAAGTAAGTTGCATACAAAACAAAATACAGTACTAATTCTTAAGAATATAAAACCAAACTTTGAGATAATTCCATATACAACGTACTACCTCTGTTTAGATTGTTGTAAATAATTTGAATCGAAGGTAGTACATCTCTAGATTTTAGAAGCGTTGAAAATAAAAATATATTACCCAAAGCGCACCAAAGCAGCCCATTGATGAAAAATAAAGGCGGGTTTGTAAAATATTTGGAACAAGTTTGGAGAAGAAGTTTCCCGCTCTATGCTCTTCAACTCCATCATTTCCCCTTTTCCCCTTGATTCCTTCCATTTTCATTTTTGAGAATACAGTAATTGAAGAGAGAGAAAGTGAGAAAGATATTGAAGAGGGATGTTTGGGAGGATTAGATCGTCGCCGTCACCAGTGGAATTGTTGGAATTAGAGCGTCTTCCTTCCAAGCTTCTTAAACACGATTCTCTCTCCATCTATGGTATCAACCCATTTTCCCCCTTTCTTTTCTTATTTGTACTACTCAAATTCTGCTTAATCGATTATTAATGCTTCAACTTTACAGTCAATTTTCATTGATTTCAAATTTGTTAATTTATAGTAGTGCTAATAATTATACCCAAAAAAAGAAATTAAAAAACAGACCAATTCAACTGTTGAAATTCCGTATTTTGATTGATTTAGTGGTTATGTGTGGTTTTTCATTGAGCTTTTTGATGCAGAATCGACGCTTGTGAAGCTCAAGCAAGGCTCTCAGCGTAATCTTAGCCCGACAACTCTAGATTCTATGGAGTATGAATCAAACTCGAATGTTTTGGAGGATTCACCCAAGGTTTCAGGGTTGTGCGGCGAGCAAGGACGATTAACTTCCTGTAATACTGATAGTTCTTGTATCAGTGTTTCTTCGAGTCCTAATCAGGAACAGAAGACAGGCAGAGAGATCTCAATACATTGTCTGTTTTCCAAGTATGCTAATTCTCGACAAAAACAAGGGGCAACTGGTTGTAATGGTGGTTCTTCGGTGAGTATCTCTACTTGTTCGAGTGATTCTGAATCGACAGGTTGCTCAAGATACTGAGCGCTCGGAAATCTGTAATCTCCAATACTCGACAGTGCTGTTTGGGAAGTTGGCAATATTTTGTTTGCTGATTAATTTACAGGCAAGGATGTACAATGATTGTAACAAAAATTAATGTTATTGTAATGTTTAATGGTGTTGGTTAATCTGATAAGTATCGCCATTGTATGGTCTGATTGAACTTTGGAAATCTCAGCAATAAAAAGTCATAAACTTCACATATTGTTACAATCGCAATGCGTGATTGTGTAATGAATCATCAGCATTTTATTACAACAGCAACTCGTATTCGATTACAAAACTTGTGATTGTCTGTATAGATCTAATACACAAATCTTATAGAAAAAAAATGCATTTGAAGCACATGGCAGAATTAAATTAATGTTTAGCCAGTGCAAACAAGGCCTCAAAACTGTGCAACGCTCTATAAATAGAATCATAGAAACGGGTCAAAAAATCACTACTCCCTCAGCCATGGTGCTTGAGCAGGGGTCCATTGGCATATTTCACCTTCTTTAAACCACAGACCTGCAATGTGAGTATAAAGTCAGATCTTATTCAATTTTCAAGTATATATTGGCATAACATATACATCAATGTTGATGAATGTGTGAGTACAATTTTACAACCACCAGCCCAAAAAGTAGGTTGATAGACATTGCTATCCTTTATAGCACTATCAATATTCAGAAAAATGTCGTCTTGCAGAAGAGATCAGCACACTGGGACAAAGCATTAAGATTCATCTGCAGTTACAGCAGAGTTATGTTGCTTCTATAGCTTCCCCGCCAACTCGTCAAGTGAGTTTCTTAGGCTCCTAATGTTATACACTTATACAGAACAGGAAACACACCCTCATATAAGCATGTTGATCTCATCACTAGAAATTTTTGAAGGATAGAATATTTGAAATATGCAAAGCACCAGTAGTCAATCTTTGATTAAGAAAGGCAATATCAAGGAAGCGCCAATTCATGCTAAACCCTTTCTCAGCAAGCAACTGTTCTAAGCAGAATTACTGGCAGTTTCCTATTTTCCTGATCTTCATATTCGAACAATACCATATTAACCAGATTTTGACCTCCTAGTACTTGAGTTTCTATTCACTAGACAGAAATGTAACATCTTAAAATTGCCAGTCACAAAGTTCTCTGACCCAACTTGCAGTTTGCCATGTAACACATTGGTAATACACCATAAATCATTCAGAAGGCCACAAATGCTACAGAAAAAATAAGCTATATACAATGTCACGTAACAGGCAAATTTAGATCCATTAACCGAACATGACAACCATGAAGTAATTCAGAGAGAAAGCCTCAAGATGAGTAAGATTGAAGCATAGAAGTCCTAACCTATTTCACGCTTTCCATTGTCAGGGCTATCACTTCCATGAACCACATTCCTACAAGTATTAGGTAGAGTTAAGAGCATTGCATAGCTAATAATTTCTAATATGGCATCACGAATCTGTCACCATAACAATTTTAGTTAAAAGACCAACCTTCCAGTTTGAACAGCAAGATCTCCTCTAATAGTTCCAGGTTCAGCTTGAAGAGGATCTGTGGCCCCTATTAGATTGCGTGATGATGCAACAACTCCAACACCCTCCCAAGCCTAGTATTCATCAAATATTGCCTCAAAATTCTACTTATATCCCAATTCCAATATTGCATGTAAAGAGACCATAAAGGTTAATAAATCTTACCATACACACAACGGGACCAGAAGTAATGTATTCAATCAGCTTCTGATAAAATGACTTGGAACTTAAATCCTTGTAGTGCTCCTGTGGATATTAAGCTAAATAAGAACCCACTGAAACTCCACAATAACCATATAAAAAATACATTTTTTCGGTGATCTCTAGTCAACATCTTTGCCACGCTAAGGGTCCATTTAATCAAGAGCTTGTAATCTTTGATGCCAATTACTCTTATAGGATATTAGGAATGATGATGTCTTGTTTTTTCATAGTAATTGAATTTATCATTTTCAATTAGCAAAAATTAAATTTACCCCTATATTCATCACATTCCAGCAATAGAGGGAGCTTGAGCTTCATACAACCAACATAATTTAATTGTTCCAAAACGTTGGGGGAATTTTTTTAATTAATTCAAACAAAAACTGTGTTTATCTCACTAGAAGAAACCTTGATTATTTCCAAGCTCACAATAAGCAATCAATTCTCATAAATTAGGCATATTTATAACATAAATATCGAATTAACCCGAACAGAATACCTAAAGTCCTAATCTAGCAAACAATATCTTCATTTTATCAAAAGAAGCAAGAAAATTCATAAAATAGAATTGACAAAATTATATAATTATACCTCAGCTAATTCTTGGGGGCATTGGTACATCTTCAACCCAATCAACTTAAAACCCTTCTTCTCAAATCTTGAAATTATCTCTCCAACCTAAACAAAATTGAATTTCATCAATCACCCATTACAGCAAATCTTCAACCCAATAAAACCCATAATTTTTTCTATTAATTAAAACAAACCCATTAAAAAAAATATATCAAAATTGAAACATACAAGGCCACGCTGAACCCCATCTGGTTTAATCATAATGTAGGTCTCCTCAACTTGATTCTGCAATAAAACAAAAAAAAAAAAGGTGAAATTCAAAATAATTTATCCAAAAAAAAAGAAAAAAGTGAAATTTAATGAAGAAAAAGAGACCATTGAAGCGACTAAGTGAGGAAGAAAGATGCGGGGTTTGAAGGAATTCTTTCGGAGAGGAGAGAGAGAGGAAAGAGGGCATTTTGTGGAAAAAAGATGGGATTGTGAGTGAAATGCGGCTAACTTTTGGTGGTTGTTGCGGCGGAAGTGGAGGTTCTGGTGGTGGGTGGGAAGGGAAGAGTTTGGTAGCGATGAAATGCAATTGCAAGGACTGCTTAATCCACTTATTGCTTCCATTTTCTCTCTTTCTTCAACCAAAACTAACAATGGTGAAGAATTGAAGATGAGAATATTTTTGGGTTTTGTGTGGAATGGTGGGTTGTGTACTTGTGTTAGGATATGACCATATGGGTTTTGTTTGCTCTTTTGAAGTCACAAATTCACTCACAAAACCCTTGTTTAATATTGAAATTGTGGTTAGTAGATTAAATCATTAAATTGATCATTAGAGAATATAAAATTGAACATTGAGAAGGCAGAAGGGATGGAAAACTAGTGTTTAAATTATATACTTCGAAATAGGTGTAATGAAATGTGAAATAGGATGAATTTAATGACACTAATTTTCTTTCTCGTCAACTCTACCCAACCAAAAATTTAAAAAGTAACAGTACTAAAATGAGTTAAACAAAAGGAGATGAAAGAAGTAAACTAGTATATTGGACTGTAGAATATGTAGGTGACTTACTAATTGGATACTTCCTTTGCCACCTTTGTTTGCTCCATTAGGGGAATGATACTTTTTTAATTTTTGGTTGAAAAAAATTGATGGGAAAGAAAAATGATGGGGTTAGTGTAGTGATTGTGAATTGTGAGAGTAAAAGGTGGTTCCTACAACCAAAAGTAATATGGAGCAAACTTGAAAAGACGGACTAAAAAAAATGAGGTAAACATAAAGAGATAAAGGGAGTGCAATACAAAGAATCTACATACAAACCTTTTCATTCTTCTCAATTATTACATCACTTGAAAGAACATATTCACATTGTACGGAATATAATTTATACTTCGGTTTCTCTTCCATTCTAATGATTTTATGATTTTTATCTAGGATCAATGGATCATCATCTATGAAGTCACCTACATTGGCCTCCAACCTTTAAGAGAATCCTGAATGATGAATCCTACACAACCTGATTGTATGGAAAACTGATTAAATGTTCACCCAAAAACTTATAGCTCAATAAAGATGCTCATTGTTGTTAAAATGTCGAGCATGTATTCAATTTCAGATTAATAGATTATATTGGCACATGTATCAGCAGTATCACCTGCTAAGGTTTACAGAAAACATCTAAGATTATGCCAATAGGCATCAGAGTGGCTAGAATAATACAAAAGTAATCAAAATGAGCCGCTTTTCGGTTCTTCTCTTCCTTTTTTCTGTAATAACTCAATAAAGAATGAACACAACAACAGAAAAGCATTAACTAGAAGAAATGAGTGAACAAAGGTGGATGAGATAGTAGCTATTTGCATGTTCTCCAGATTTGCATCTGTCTCTAGCCTGACAATTGTTACAGCTATCGCCTGCGAAATGTTCTTCTGAACCAGCCGTGTCTTTGTGTTTTTTCCTTCAGATCCTTGGCTGTACAACCACCAGAAATCATAGTCTTGATTAATTATACAAGTAGATATCAAATCTAAAGGCATAAAATAACTGATATTCTGGTACAGTAATAGAGACTCAAGGGCTACCTTGAAGTCTACCGGCACGATATAAAGCTTCTTCTGCTATGGATCGCCATTCTTCAGCACACGAAAAGTTCATGCCCATGCCAACACTTAGCCCTCTTAATAGATGCACAGTTCGAAGAACAGAAAACAGTTCTTCAGGAAAAGCCTTCAGATACAATCAAACAAGAGAGCAGAACTTTTAGGGGATTTATTTTGTGTAAAAAATAAGAAAGAAAGGAGAGATGCAATGTTTATGATAAGAAAATAAAGGATTGAAAAACATTTTGGACAACAATTTAGGCAACAAAATTTAGCACCTCAACGGAAATCTTTTTAATAGAGGATCCCTCAGAGAAAGGTTGCAGCATTGTTACTCCAGGAGGTAGCTTTGTGTCGAACATTGTCTGTGCTAACTTCAGCATCTCCTCTTGTTCATTTTCACATTTACTCAAAGTGTTGATACCAAGCTCCCTTTGAACAGACAAGAAATATGTCAAGGATGAGAAACAAAGCATCAGATTGACATGAAAGTTTTTCTCACCTAATGTCGGTATATATGGTTTATAGATTAATTTCAATGAGATAGATTTGTGCTTCCTATTTTAATCAATTTCACAAGATTGTCGGTTTGTAACCACCTATAGCTTTCGATTGCTCTTATAGGATCATTATCAGCCATAGCAAGCACTAGATTTGCATATCCAAGCCTCAGATTCTCTGGGAGGTCTTTTACTTGCCCATAGTCCAGCAATGCAACCTAAATAGTAACCAAGTTCGATTAACATATGAACAATTCAAAATTAGTCAACATAATGAGTTCAATGCTTGTAACTTTAAAGGTAATTGGCCTCTCACTCACCTCAGAACCTTTACATATTAGAATATTTCCAGGATGAGGATCTGCATGGAAAAATCCACTCTTTATTATCATCTGCCCATATGCCACAGCCAAGCTTTTGAGGATATTCCTGCATGCAAAGATGTTTGCACAAACCCAATATAGATTAAACCATGCTAAGTTTTATCGTGCCAACAAAACTAGAAGTGAAAATTTTGTTACATTTTCAAAGAGCATGAAAAAATAAGAGTATATGAATGTAAAGCTAAATAGATGTATAAACACAATCCATTAGCAGTCACAAAATCACTAGGAAATGAGGTAAAATGAGATTGCATACTTCTAAATGAAAAGTGGGCTTACTGCTTTGCTGCAACCGCAACCCTACCACTAGGGTTGAGGCCTCTTTTGGCCATTTCATCTCCAAGTCTCAAAATTGGGATCCCATCAATGTAGTCCATCACCAATACCCTCCTAATAAAAGAAAATCAATCTTAATAGAGATGCTTTAACTCTACTGCATATAACCTATATTCATCAACATCCACCACACACATAACCATTAATAAAAGTATAATTCATCCACATACTAAAATTATAAACATCATATAAAATGTGCAACATTTAAGCGTTTTGCACATGTTTGTTATTATATAATCAGTAAGAATGCCAATTTCTCCCTTGCCAAAAAAATAAAACAAAATAAAAATAAAAAATAAAATAAAATAAAGAGAATGCCAATTTCTTGTGAAGTAGTAGGTCAGCCAATGCCTTTTCATTGAAGGGTGTATGGATACAGCTGCTCTGTCAATCCAAATCGAGGCACTTCACACATATGTTCTACCCCCCAACCCTGCCACAGGCTAGAGCCTAATAAGAGGCACTGAAGAACAGGCAAAACAAATTGTAGTAAATTGTAGTTCTTTGCATAAGTTTTTTATTTTTTTCAGGACTGATAGGATATAGACAAAAAAGGTTGTACAATCTACAGCTGTGAAAGAGAACATATATATGGTTGTGAATGGTTCAATAGCGGATGAGATTTTACCCGCCCATCAAAATCACAATGAGCAGCTTACCTACTGACCAAGTCCTTCATGACTCGTGGTACCAGAACAGGACTCTTCTTGTTATTCTCATACAGGAATTGCCTGATCTTATCCATCGCAGCAGCCTCTCTTGTAAAGTCAAATTCATTTGCAATCTTATGAAGGAAAAAAAAAAAAAAAATTTAACTTTCCAGTCAGGATCAGGAGCAAACAGAAAAGTTCTTGAAGGTAGCACATAATCAACCCAGAAACCACTAAATATGATGGATAATGAAGTCAATTGGGAAGTATATACTTTTATCACAATAAATAACCTATAATACCCCGGAGTATTTGACAATAATCATCGGAAATTGAATCTAGAAGAGAACTTTGGAAAGGATTTAGCATATCCTAAAAAAACAGCTAAAGATACATACATATGAATAAAGTTGTTAAACTAGTCCTGTAGCATCTCTCATTTTATTTCACTTTACATGAAAAGACATGCACGCAAAAACCAATTTACTAACTCAATAATCTCTGTAATGAAAAAAATTAAATTTGAAGTACTTCCTCTGTTCCATAATAATTGCAATTTGCAACACTTGTTTTTATTTAGGAAGTTTCACCTTAATTGCTACATACTTTATATGGATAACGAGTCTCAGTCTCCCCACATTCCATGGGCCTCTCTCTCTCATCATATGGGCTCCTAAAATCTTGCATTTACTCACCATGTTGCAAATATGGAGCCAAAGAGGGATAATTTGTCCACAGACAGTCTGACATACAGATTACTTGACTGTGCGCAGCATAAACTGATAAAACTCTTCAGATATGGATAAACCATGAAGCATTCTTTCTCAAAGAGTAAAAACAGTAATGCAGGAGATCCGTTCATTCTGACTCAATTAAGTTCAACCCTCAAACATTAAATTTGTACTTATGAATCATTTTACAATATCGAATATTGCAGTTGGAAAACATGAGATAGAGACTTATGCAAAACATAAACTAAGTTTTTTTTTTTTTTTTTTTTTTTTTTTTTTTTTTTTTTTTTTTTTTTTTTTTTTATAAAAGTTCAATTTAATGGTATTAAAGAAGCCATAAATTTCATAGCCATGTACACACAGGTTTTTTGCAAAATAAGTCTCATCATGATTCATGTTGTAGCAGCCTAGCAGGGGCATGAATTACCACAAAAGCACAAATTGCATTTAATGATTAACTCCCTTCAATACAGTTTACTTATTCCCAGCTTCAGGCAAGGATGACAATGAAGATAGGAGAGAAAATAGCAAACATAAAATTTCACCTGTTTCTCCATTTCCTTTGTTACAGAATAGAGATCAAATTTGATATCTGTCTTCTGCATGTATAAAGCAAAAGCTTGCAGATTACGAATATCAGTCATCATCAACTCTTGAACTCCAGGATGTTGGACCTAGAAGATTTTTCATGCATCAGATGCTAGTCACACTATTAAAGCTCCTAGAAAGCATCCAAGTTATCTACCTTAACAACCACATCACTTGTGTTACCCTTCAACTTTGCACGGTGGACCTAAATTGAAAGAGAATGCAAGAATTGCATAAGATTCAGCATGCATGCAGTAAAAGAATATATTGAAAGAAACAGCTTAGCTGAATCATAGACATATCTATTTGAGAGCAAGTCATGGTGCAGAACCAGACCTATACTATGTTGACAAATTATGTCTATCCATACAGTGCTCTCAACAATCATAACATCAAGAATAGTCCACAGTAAGCAAAAAAGACACTTATTCCCAACAAAAGCCTTAAAATATTTGCAAGCAGAATAGCCTGAATTTTTTCACATAACGGCTGGCTGATGGATCCCAAATAGTACTTGCATTAATAAAGGTAAGATCACTAGGAGACATAGCTAATAAACTCGGATTGAAGAGTAGACTGAAGTTGCATTCACGCAAAATGACATTCATTCTTGATTTCTGGAAAAACCTGACAAACGATCCTGAGTGTGATGAAATATCCCTTAGTTCCATAAGGTTTTCAGACTAATGACCTTGTAGACAAGTCTAAATCTTAATGGGGGAAAGCTGAACCTTCGAAATTCTTTGTAATATGCAAACAGAGAAGGATCTTATAGCCAACAAAAATCAAGGGATGAAAACAAACATTTATCAACAAGAAATTAGCTCAAATAGTAAATCTATCAGAGAAACATAGAATCAACAAAACACATCTTGTCAAGAACATTTCCAACTTAAAAGTATCAACATAACAACGAGATAAGTCACAGGAAAGACTTCAGAATCTGCAATGTAGAAGATATACCTGTGCGATGGAAGCAGAACCAAGAGGATTTTCATCAAATACATCAAACATTTCTCCAATGCTTTTTCCTAACTCCTTCTCTAGCACATGCTTAACAGTCTCATAAGGTGTAGGGGGAGCTTGATCACAAAGAGTCACCAGCCGTCGCACCCAGGCAGCAGAGGCCAAATCCGGTTTCCCAACAATTTGAGCAATCTGATCAAAGCCTCATCACCAAAAGCATTCAGAATATAAACTTTAGTCATTTATCAAATATACAGGCCAATATATTCCCTACACATCACAATAACATCAATACGATATTGAACGAAATTTATCAACCATAGCAATATTGGGACACAACACACAATACAATGAACAGAATTTATTCTTCAAAGTAAACCGTTTTAAATTACACAAATTTAGACGCAAGATTAAGATCAAACTTTAAAGTGCCAATGCCCATTGGAATTATAGATTAATAAAGGATGCCAGAATGCCATTTCAATAGAGAACAACTGATAATGTAAAAGATAGCAAATTTTCAACACAAAGTCTCACCAAAACCCCTATACGAATTTACAATAATGAACAACATCATCAACTCATAGCTCAATTATAGATATGGTGGGACACAATCCAATAAATACAAACAATTCTTAAAAGCCACCCAACTAACCATTTCAAATTAAAAATATTTACATGCAAAATTATAAATTTAATCCAAAGGGACCAATGCCCTTTGAAAAATATAGATTAATGAAGGATGCCACTTTATTAGAAAACAAAAAGGCAACAAATATTCAACATAAACTATCAATAACTTTTCTAAGCTTGTCCAAATTAATGCAAATTTCAATGTTTATGATTGACATTCAATTAAACCCACCAAAAATCAAGAAAAACTGCATTGGAAATGATGAGAGGGAAAATTAGAATACCTTAAGAAAGAACCCACCAAGATCATAGCACATATTGTAAATCTTATCAGCAGCAATCTCATGTTGCCTTTCCCACATTTCCTCTTGCTTCTTTGCATCTTTCACAAAACTCACTTGAACTTGAAAAACCTAAAAATTCCCACCAAAATTCAATAAAAAAACAACAACTAAATTGGGATTAAACCCATTTCTTACTACAACCTAGAACCATAATTATACAGATAAATTCTCAAATTAAAACCCATTAAAAATTGGAAAAAACCCACAAAAATTGAAACAGACCAACAAAAAAATTGAAGAACCCCAGAAATAAAACCTTATAACCAGTATAAATTTCAGCAGTACGAGCCCAGAATTGAAGAGAACGATGCCATGGTCTTAATTGAGCAGATAGTTTATCTCGAAATTCATCAAATTGTGGAGCAGGAAAAAAAATGCATTTTTTTTCCTGAGTGTTCAAAGTGAATCTGAAACAATAGTATATTCAAGTTTTTAAATTTTTTTTTTTTTTTTTTAATTTTTGGGGATGAACAGTTGCTGCACGTTTAAGTAATTTAGTTTCAGTTGTTTCCAAAAAAAAAAAAAAGTAATTTAGTTTCAGTGTTGTATTACTCTTGTTTGGTTCTGAACCTTCTGATACAGAAGTAATGAATGAGGATTAAGTGATCAACAAATGCCAGAAAAATGATGCTTAAAAAATTGTGGCTCAAAATAAGGTCATGTAACTTGCATTGCGGTTGTTGCTTTTAGGCTTTTAGCTTCAGCAATACAAAGTATTTTTTTTGTGCATGCTAACAATGCTCAGGCAAATAAGGGCCTCACGGTTTCGTCTAATGAGCAAATTTTTTTAAAGAAGAATTTAGGCCTAATGTCGATTGTAGAGTGTCAAACCGGCCCATTAATTGGTTTGGGCTGGGTATAATTGAGTTGGGTTATTTCAAATTTGAGTCATACTAAATGATGAGGTCAATATTTTGGGTTGTGTGGTTTGTTTAAAGTCAAGTCAATTTTTGACACTTCTGTATTGTATTATGGACAATTTGGACATCATGGAATACTTAATTTTTTTTTTTTAAAAGGAAAAATACACTTTAATAATCCCAACTATGGGCGATTTACTTTTAATAATCCCAACTAAGGTTTATTATCTAATAATCCTAACTATGCTACGTTGTTGCCTCTAATGATCCCAACCGGTCAACACCAAGTCAACGACCTGTTATAACAGATAACCTTGCCACGTGTCAACACGTGATTGGTCCAAAATTTTAAAAAATAAAATATAAAAGAAAACAAGAAAATTTTAAAAAATAAAACATAAAAGAAAACAAGAAAAAAAAATCCCAACCACCCTTTATTTCCCACCGTGAAACCCTAACCCCCACCCCCTAACCTCGCCAGACCGGCCGCCCACCCCCTTTTAGCCACCGAAACCAACCGGCCGGCCAACCCCGACCCCCAAAACCACCTGCCAGCCAACCCCAACTCCCAAAACCACCTGCCCAGCCAACCTCGACCCTCCAAAACCACCTACAGTCACTGTCACCACTTGTAGTCACACCTTCACATCGATTTTTTGGTCGACAGAGAATGGTGTGACGGCGGGCGTGTCCTTTGGCGATGGCTTCGGAGTAGGCGGCGAAGTCCCGGGCAGATTTGATGACATTATAGTCGCCGGAGCCTCGAATACGAAGCTTGAACAATTAGAGTTTTTGGGGTCGGAGTTGGCTGGGAGGTGGTTTTGGGGGTCGGGGTGGGTTAAGGGGGTCGGTCGGCTAGTAGCGATGGGCAAAAAACCCGGTCCGATTGATCCGATCTGTGATTTAGCTGCTCCGATCCGAAAAATTGGATACCCTATCCAATTTTTGAGGTTTCGGATATTTTGAATCGGATTCGGATAAAAAACTTGAAAAATCGGATATCCGATCCGATCTGGGTTTATTTATTTATTTATTTTCTTTTAAAAATAAAAACTAAAAAGTCTTAAATAACTTATACAATCCGTCAAACAACTTAAACCCTAAAACTCTAGAAGCCCACTCATTCACTCCAGCTTCCTTGCGCAGCCACCCAGTGGGTCTCGCCCAGCTCCCACCGCTTCACCGAAGTGACGGAGCCACCGAACCACAACAAATTGTATCCCTCTTATCTCGTCACTGCAGCCACACTCAAGAGGTTTTAAAAAAAATTCCATTTTCTTCGATCTTACGGAGTATTAGACTTTGTTAGTTTGTTAGTCGTTGAAAATTTGAAATTTATGTGATTGATATGTAGTATCAATTTATGTAAATCAGAAGCAGTAAAGCATATTTATCTTTTGTATTTTGATTTTTCTTTTTCTTTTTACTTTGATTAAAATGTATTCAAAATATAAAGCTGTCAACAAGACTAGTGAATAGGTGATAGAGTGTACCGTCGTTTGCATTTCTTCCACATTTAAGAAAATAAACTTTGGAAATTTTTTGGATAGGATAATCCGGGTATCTGATCCAAAATTTCGGATTTTCGGATATTTGATTTTTTGCGGATCGGATTCGGATTGGATTTATACCGATCTTAAATTTTCGGATATCTGGAATTTTGGATCGGATCGAATATCTGATATAGCCAGCCCTACTGGCTAATTTGGGTGGGTAAGGGTCTCACCATAGTATATTGTTCTAGGCAATTCATATAAAATAAAAAAAACTCCTAACAATCAACTTCATTGCTTATCCTTAGTTAGCTTGTATATTAATTACCCATAAATCATATCAATAGTTTGATTAATGTTTGGGTGCACGTAATACACTATAAGTTGCTATCTCAGTCTACTATTTTAATATGAGGAAAATTATTATTAGTTGTAGCTTATTAATGGGACCCTTCATCAAATAATTAAGAGAATTAACGTCAACGTGTGACATTCAAATTAATTATTGTTATAAGTAGTATTAACCAATAATAGGAAATAACGTGTCAAGTTTCAAGGATTTTTTTTTATCCATCAATTTTATAATAGGCAAGTAAACAATGTTAAACTAAAGACCTAAAGTACGTCAAATTACATATGCATGCCGACGAGTGCATTATATCATTTATATTTATATATATGAATGTGATATCACATATATGACGAGGTACAAGCACAGGGGGACCTTTCATCGGGGCCATTCAAGGCCCGGGCCCCCGTAAATTATTGTAATTAATTAGTTAATGAATTAAAATGATTTATATTTACTTATAAATTATTGGGATATAGTGATTAGTTTTGAGCAAGAGGTTAAATATTTAATTTAAATTCTGGTCCCTCTAACATTTTCGGCCAAGATCCGCCACTGGGTACAAGTGCAACATATTAACATCAAAATAAAATCAACAATATAATACATTTAATTAGTAATTTTAGCTATAAATGTTTAAGATTCTCTTACATTTATTATCCTTATTTTCATGGATGATCAACTTAGTTGATTAAAGTTTTGAAAGGTAGTACTCAAGACGACTTGAGATCACGTCCTGTCTAATCATATGTCATTACGACTCTTTCTACAAAAAACAAAAAACAAAAAACAAAAAAAAAAAGAAAAATCAATTACTCCCTGTATTTTTTTATCACACTGCCACACTGGTTAGCTTATAATTACCTTTTCTAAACCTGATTAGTTCTAAAATTTGTAACTATATTTCGTCTTTTCGTTTTGCTAATATATGATGTGATGAAATGACTTCGTCAGATTGTATTTTACAAGAACTTGTTAGTATGCTTGTGTTTTTCTCACTAGATCGAGTTGTTAAGATGTACATGTCTCTAAAATTTAGGTTGCTCGTAGTGTTTAATCGCTATATGAAACATGCATGCATGTTATAATGTTATATTTGTTTTTTTAAGGAGGATTTTTTTTTTATTTTTTTTTTATTTTTTTTATTTTTTTCCCTTTAGATACTTGCGTGCTAGAATTGTTAGAAAACTTATATTATATTGAGTAGGTATAGCATTATAGTGATCTTATATTGATTTGATCACTTGAAACTTATTAAAAGTAATCTAGCTAGTTGAGGAGTTGAGCTTGTCATCCTTGATTAAAGTAATTTCTTGATTTCTTCTATACTAGTGTCTATCCATCTGTTAAGCCTATTATATATTGTAAACTTCATGGATCATTTGTTAATATACTCTAAGAAAATAAGTTCAAACCTCATAGACATAGATAATTTTAAACGCGAACTTCATTAAATAAACAATGTCCTCTCTAATTTAAAATAAAGCACTCGTCTTATTAATTGAAAAAGGCAAACATTTGTTACAATTGAATAGCAATACAATACGTGCATGTCTACATAAACTTGTTACTTAAACATTAAAAATAGAACCTTGGCGAGGGAGCTGTAGATCAGCACCTACTATCGCTCGACTGCTGATTGGGTTCGTATTTGAGCGCGATACACAAGAAGAGCACAAAAAATTGCATACAAAAATCACTATAGCATTTTTAGAAGGGATAAGCACATTGATGATGACATCTTTGTAAACTAGCAAAATAAGCAAAGTGCATAGACCCAAAGTAACGTAAGCCATCCAGGCTTTAACCGGCAAGGTAGTTGCACACAAACCCGCCATGAATGTCAAAAGAGTTGTGCAAAATGATGCTAGGACCAACGTTACGCTAAAATCGAGTATCATCACTGAATTCTTCCGGTTGTTTGTAGCCATGATCCAAAGGAGACAACATAAAACCATCATTGATAAGCACATTGATAATATGTCTAATACCATAAAAAACTGAAACGCTATCTTTTTTATTAGAACTGGTGTCCCAATATTTTCGAGAAGCCCACCAGGAACTGTGAATGCTGTTGTGAATGTTATCGTCGTCAAAAGAGCCGCTATAATACCTATTGTGTTCACATAGGTTTTTATTTCTGTTGAAGGAATGCCCCATGTGCTAAGAACACCTACCATTTCTTTTTCATCCAGAATGCTCTTCTTGATCTGAACGATAAAGGCTCGAGATGCAATTAATTACATAGTAAAAATGGCTTCAAAAAAAAAAGAAGGTAAAATTACATAGTAAAAATACTGTAGTAATTGTAGGCAATTTCTATTGTACAATCGGTAATATGGTACAACGTGTGTTCTTGGTACATTGTCTAAATCATATGAATGACTTGACGCCATGCTTTTAAGTAATTCTTGGTACATATAACAAATTGACCACGCACTTAGTAATGAATAAGAACTCAATCAAGACAAGCTCATTGATCACATACATAAACTTCCTTAATTTTCTTAAAAGTTGCAACAGTTTGACCAGCATATTTACTAAGACAGTACACAAATTAACTATGATATAATGTATATAGTTTGATCATATAAATCTCAGAATATATTTTAATAAAAATTATAAAACTTTGCATAAGTTGAAACCAACCCACCAACTAACGTCTTATACAATAATCTTTGTTTTTTTATATATCAATAAAATTTGTGGACAAAGCTCATGTATGAAGAATGTAAAAATCAAACTGTTGCAATTTTACTAAAAACAGATAAATTAAAGTATGATACTATATACTATTATACTGTATAAGATATACTAGAAACATATATGTAAGGCCATTCAACTAAAATTAAGTACTTACTTTGGAAGGAAGACTGGGCAATTCTGCTATCAGATCGTTGGGAGTTTTCCCAGCTTTATTATGTATTTCTAAAAGTTTCGATACCCATTCAACCTTCACCTTTGACAACTTACGTTCTTCTTTCCAAAATTCAAGGAAAAATAGTACGAGGTCGAACCGGTTATCTATGATTGCCAGATGCAATGGTGTGTTTCCATTCGAGTCCTTCAACTCTAACAAATCTCTTAATTCCTTATCTTGAAAAAGGCGAGCAAAATAGTATTCTGATGGATGTTTTACAATGAGGTGCCCGTATGTTTGGCAATTCTCGTCACCGGATTTTGCTGCTTCCGGAGAAGCTTTGCATAACACTGCAGCCGCGGAATAGTTACCAGCTTTTATCGCTCTTATTAGGGGGGTGAGACCATTGTTGTCGGGCGAATAGGCCGCTTGGACATTAGCATCCACCATTGCCTTAATGTCTTCTCGCTTAAATTGCTCTATGCCTTAACCAAAATAATTATATTTATTCATTAAGTTAAGATCTTTTGATAACAAACTTCTTACGTTTCAAATTTAATGATACATTTTGACTTTTAACACTATTTACAAACTTTAGATAAGAAAATATATAGTCATGTTGTTGTGCGACAGCGGAAGCAAAGGTCGTAAACAAACAAGAAAACAATAAAGAAATTCAATGCAAACAATAAGAACAACACCAAGAATTTACGTGGTTCACTATCGATGTGATAGCTACGTCCACGGGCACCGAGATCGAATGATTTCACTATAAACTGCAAAGATTACAAAGATGATTCTTGTATTTCTCAAGAACGGCTCTCACTCTGTCTCTCTTCACCCTAATACTGATATTAGGGAGGTTTTATATTAATCCCTAATTAAAAGATACTTGGGCAAAAAGATAATAAAATAAGATAACCTAAAACCGCAAAATCCGCGTTCCGTATTTTTCCTTCTCCGCCCGGTCAGACCGGGCAAGGTCTGCCCGATCGGGCGCGAGAAGAAAACTCCATACGAATGCTTCAACGTATCCAACCCCCACCGCCCGGTCAGACCGGGCAAGGTCTGCCCGATCGGGCGAAGGCTCGCCCGGTCGGGCGAAGGCTCGCCCGGTCGGGCGCGAGAGCAGCTTCTTCAACGAATTTGCCAGGCACCTCTTCTTCTTCCGCCCGGTCAGACCGGGCAATGTCCGCCCGATCGGGCGGACAAAGCTACGAAGTACGAGTCACCTAATATACTTATCAACAATCTCCACCTTGACGAGAACTCGTAGTCAGCAAACGACCCCATCAAGACATAGTGAAAAAACATCTCAAGCCAAACCCGATGCAGGACTCATGCATAAGCCATACATCCCGATAAGTCTTCAACCAAGACCCATCACATACTCGTCTCCAAGTATAACAACTCATAATGCTCCACCTGCATCACAAGCCCCGGGCAAGCTCCACCTTAAGGCCAACACACCTACACCAGGAGCTCCCCAACTTCGCCCCTCAGGGCCTACTACATCACGTAGTAATCAATATTTAGCAAGTCTAAGCAATGTTTAAACTTGCTAAACGGAACAGGCTTAGTGAAGAAATCAGCCGGGTTGTCAGCAGTCCCAATCTTCTTCACCTTAATCCTCTTGTCAGTACGCAAGAAATGATACCTGACATCAATGTGCTTCGTCCGATCATGGTGTACTTGATCTTTAGCTAAGCAAATCGCACTTAGACTATCACAATACACTGTAGCAAAATCCTGTGCAATACCCAGTTCACCTACTAGGCCTTTGAGCCAAATAGACTCCTTAGCTGCAGAAGTTAGAGCCATATACTCAGCTTCAGTAGTTGACAACGTAACTGATGACTGCAATGTAGACTTCCAACTAACCACAGAACCACCCAAAGTGAACACATAACCAGTCACAGACCTCCTGGTATCCACATCAGCTGCATAATCAGAATCACTGTACCCAGTGACCAAGCATTCCCTACCATTCCCGTACACAAGACCAATATCAGTTGTCCCTCTCAGGTAGCGAAAAATCCTTTTCACCCCTTGCCAGTGTTCCCTCCCAGGTCGAGCCATAAACCTGCTTACAACACTAACAGCATGCGCAATATCCGGCCTAGTACAGACCATAGCATACATCAAACAACCAACCGCATTTGCATATGGAACTCTAGACATATAAGACAACTCCTCCTCTGATTGAGGTGACATAGACAAAGACAACTTACAACTAACAGTAGTTGGCGTACTTATAGGCTTCGATTTTTCCATCCCAAAACGAGACAAAATCTTTTCAATGTAGCTTTTCTGAGTCAAGAAAAGCTTACCTCTAGCCCGATCCCTGTAGATCTCCATACCCAAAATCTTCCTAGCTGCACCCAAGTCTTTCATGTCAAACTCCGAGTTAAGCATCTCCTTTAATCTAGCAATATCAGATTTATTCTTTGTGGCAACCAACATGTCATCAACATATAACAAAAGATAAATCATGGAACCATTATCCAGCTTACTATGATACACACAGCAATCATATGAATTCCTGTCAAAACCTTGTGAAACCATAAAAGAATCAAACCTTTTGTACCACTGTCGGGGGGATTGCTTAAGTCCATACAATGACTTTAGCAATCTGCAGGCATAGTGTTCCTTTCCAGGAACTTCGAATCCTTCGGGCTGCTTCATTAGAATCTCCTCCTCCAAATCGCCATGAAGGAAAGCCGTTTTAACATCCAACTGCTCCAGCTCAAGATCAAAATGTGCTACAATTGACAATAACACACGGATAGAAGTATGTCGAACCACAGGTGAGAATATCTCAACAAAATCAACCCCTTCTACCTGACTGAACCCCTTAGCAACTAGCCTAGCCTTAAAACGTATTTGCTCAGTTTCCGACAACCCTTCTTTCTTCTTGTAAATCCATTTACAACCCACAAGCTTCCTCCCTTCCGGTACCTTTACCAGTTCCCACACTCTGTTCTTGTAAAGAGACTGCATCTCTTCACCCATTGCGGCAAGCCATTGCGCAGACTCACTACAACTAATTGCTTGTTTATATGTGGCAGGTTCAAATGACTCTACATCATCAGCTACACTCAATGCATAACCTGTCATCGCATCAACACAGCAATTTCTTCCCTCCATCTCTTCAATCAATCTAACAGGCTTCTTGATAACTCGTTTAGGCATCTCAAGAATGGTGTCAGGTTGACTAGATGACCCCTGATTAGATTGCTCCACCTCATCCCCAGAGTTAGAATGAGTAGGAGTAATCTCAGGTTCAGGAGTACCCGGCACTGGAACATCAGCATCATCATCAATATATTGTACCCGAGGTAAATCAGCAATGGTAGACTGATGTACCTCAAGTACCCCATCTGTCTGTAATAAATTGTCTACTTCCCTTCTCAAATCTGAAATCTCTGCATTTTTAATTGAATACATGGTGTTTTCATCGAAAGTAACATCCCTACTAAGAATGACCCGACCCTCCGAAGGTGAAAAAATTCTAAACCCCTTCACACCATCCCCGTACCCAACAAAACACCCCTTCTTGGCTCGTGGATCCAGCTTACCCTCAATAACATGATAATAAGCAACACAACCAAAAATCTTCAAATTCGAAAAATTAGGCAACTTACCACTCCAGATCTCAAACGGAATTTTGGAATCAATTCCAGAATGAGGACCCCTATTAATGACATAACAAGCTGTTAACACAGCTTCACTCCAGTACCTCCTCCCAAGCCCTGCATTAGAGAGCATGCATCGAACTCTCTCTAGCAGTGTCTGATTAACCCGTTCTGCTACACCGTTCTGCTGTGGTGTCTTCCTGACAGTATGATGCCGACCTATACCCTCATCTGCACAGAACTGATTAAACTCGTCTTTGCAAAACTCTAGCCCATTGTCCGTTCGTAGCTTCTTGATCTTCCTTCCTTGTCGATTTTCCACCAAAGCTTTCCATTGCTTGAAAACTTTGAAGGCCTCATCCTTTGACTTAAGCAACCTAAGCCATGTGTATCGGGACTTGTCATCAACAAATGACACAAAATAGTGGTAACCTCCCATACCTTCAACTCTAGATGGACCCCAGCAATCTGAATGGATGTAATCGAGCACTGCATCAGTAATGTGAGCACCCTTGCTGAACTTTGACCTGTGTTTCTTACCAAACACACAATGCTCACAAAATTCAAGGTTGGCAACCTTGACCCCGGATAGAAGACCCCTCTTGGACAATAGCTGCATCCCCTTCTCCCCCATATGACCAAGCCTCATGTGCCAAATCTTAGTCATCTCCTGGTGAGATACAGATGCGCAAACCGCAGAACTAGGCAGTGTAACACCCTCAAAAACATAGAGGGTGTTCCTTTTGATACCCTTAAGTACCAACTCAGAACCTCTGAAAATACACAACTCCCCATCTGAAAACACACCATTGTACCCCAATTCATCCAGGGTACCCAATGAAATCAGATTCTTTCCTAAAGCAGGAACATGCCGTACATTAGTCAAAGTTAACCTCCGCCCATCAACAGTCCTCAACCTCATGGAACCAATACCTGTGACCTTACATGGAGCATTGTTACCGACTATAACCATACCCCCATTGCGAGGTTCATATGTATCAAACCAATCTCGACGTGGACACATATGGAACGAACACCCCGAATCTAGAACCCAGTTATCAGATAAATCATCAGACCTAGCAGAACTGACTAATGCTAAATCTTCCTCTGAATTATAGCTCTCATTCGGTTTCTCTTCAACTACAGCAGCCTGGGACTTGTTTTTCCTCACCGGACAATTATTCCTAAAGTGACCCGGTTCTTTACAGTAATAACATGTTTTAGTAGTAGTTTTACTAGATCCATCCTTGCCGTTTCCAGCACCCGACCCAGCATTGTTCCCCTTGTTAAACCCCTTATTCTTTTTAGACTTTCCGGACTTAACAAACAACCCACTACCATTATCCCCATTATCACTCGTAGCTTTCATTCTGAGTTCCCTAGTATGAAGTGCTGCCTTCACTTCTTCTAAGGTTATAGAATCCTTACCAACAACAAAAGACTCTACAAAATTCTCAAAGCTAGACGGTAGAGATACAAGTAAAATCAACGCAGCATCCTCATCATCAATTTTAACATCTAAATTACGTAAATCAAGCAAAATAGAGTTAAGTTTTTCTAGATGTTCCCGTAAGGAAGTACCTGACTGCATCCGGAGGCTAAACAACCGCTGTTTCAGTAATAATTTGTTGGTCAACGACTTAGTCATATACAATGACTCCAGCTTCAGCCACAATCCAGCCGCCGTTTCCTGATCAGCAACCTCCGTGATGATTTGATCATCAAGACTAAGTAATATGGTAGAGTGTGCCTTCTCTTCCATAACTTCTAACTGCGAGTCAGTCGGTCCGTCTCCTGACTCCGAAGTAGTACTCTTTGGAGCCAACGGACGCCATATCTGCTGTTGTTTTAACAGAGCCTTCATCTTAATTTGCCATAGCCCGAAACTATTTTTCCCGGTAAACTTCTCAATTCTTATTGTTGAATCTCCTGCCATTGTTATCTTCAAGAAACTCTCCAAGGATTGAACCTGAGCTCTTGATACCAATTGTTGTGCGACAGCGGAAGCAAAGGTCGTAAACAAACAAGAAAACAATAAAGAAATTCAATGCAAACAATAAGAACAACACCAAGAATTTACGTGGTTCACTATCGATGTGATAGCTACGTCCACGGGCACCGAGATCGAATGATTTCACTATAAACTGCAAAGATTACAAAGATGATTCTTGTATTTCTCAAGAACGGCTCTCACTCTGTCTCTCTTCACCCTAATACTGATATTAGGGAGGTTTTATATTAATCCCTAATTAAAAGATACTTGGGCAAAAAGATAATAAAATAAGATAACCTAAAACCGCAAAATCCGCGTTCCGTATTTTTCCTTCTCCGCCCGGTCAGACCGGGCAAGGTCTGCCCGATCGGGCGCGAGAAGAAAACTCCATACGAATGCTTCAACGTATCCAACCCCCACCGCCCGGTCAGACCGGGCAAGGTCTGCCCGATCGGGCGAAGGCTCGCCCGGTCGGGCGAAGGCTCGCCCGGTCGGGCGCGAGAGCAGCTTCTTCAACGAATTTGCCAGGCACCTCTTCTTCTTCCGCCCGGTCAGACCGGGCAATGTCCGCCCGATCGGGCGGACAAAGCTACGAAGTACGAGTCACCTAATATACTTATCAACATCATGTCATGTTAGGTCTTGTTAGATCGATTCATCTTAATGTATATTTTCAAAATATTAAATTTTAATAACTTTTTATTAATTGATAATTGGAGATACTTATAAATGAATTCTTGTATTGACAAACATGATAAAATAAATGTATTTTAATAACTTTTTATATATCAATACATTTTGACTCTTAATTTTTTAATTTAGAACGAAGGAAGTATGAAATAACTAAGCTTACAGTAAGAAGCCATGTAAATTTGAATGTAAAAGAATAACGTACTACTCCTTTCTTGTTTGACTCATTTAATTACTGAAAACACATTATGAAAAAGTGTAAATATGTCAATGTAAGATATCGGATTTTTTTTTTTTCTAAAATCGAAATTAAGTAATTATATCGTGAAAATATTAGAAGCAAGACACCCAAAATGAACAATGAGACGAACATTATGAAATGAACCAAGTATTGTATGTACTTACCTATTGGACGGCTAGCGAAAAGATGAAGAGGTGTCTCTTTATTTTTATTGACCACACTAACCGATCTCTGATCATACGTTAACAATCGTTTCACCAAATCAATGTTTTTATTCGATTTGAGTGCTTCATGGAGAGCCGTATTACCATCCTCATTTTGCATCAACCATGGTGAATCGAAACGAGCTCCCTTGACACTAGCCTCGTTTTCAAGTTTAAGGATACACTGATTGCATTTCTCTAGCAACAATGGCAAAAGATTTGATTGCCACAATGTTGAGAAAACATAATTAGGGTTACCATCAGTATCATTATTTTGCGCGTTATCTTGATCTCCTGAAGCAACATAGATTGTGGTATCAGGATGATTTCGCACAAGGATATGAATCGGAGTATCCCCTTTACTGTCTGTTTGACGAATAAGTGATGGAAAACTTTCAAGTGCTTCTTCAACGAAATTCACAAAGTCGTCTAGCATTACACGACTTTCCTTTTTAATCAGCATTATTCTATGAAGGATGTTTTTTCCCTTTGAATCTTGTGAGAGTAAGAAATCCATTCCTAATTTGCTCATTCTTTCCCTTAGAATGATTATGTTTGCTTTGTCTGTTGCTTCAATTTCCTCCCTCGTCAATATTCGTTTTCTTAGCATCTGCATCATTATTAAGGGCTTATTATAGTCTTCTATACATATACTGAAAATTTTATAGTGATTGTTTGAAATATAACTACTATAATTAGAACAAAGTTGTTCAAATATTATTCTGTGTATATAATCTATTATTAGAAAGTGCTAGTAGCTACTATCCACCAACACTGCAACAATATTTACTCTATTTGTTCCAAAATAAATGTAACAGTTGACTTTTTGTATTATTCACATGATTCAACCATAATTTTTTACCAAAATAATGTATAAAATATAGCATAAACAAATGTCTCTTCGGAGACATCTGACATAACATAAATAAATAATGTGCCAGTCAAACGGATATCTTTATTTTGGAATGGGAGGAGTAGTAATAATGAATATTTCATACCTGAAGCACATCTTGTTGTTGTATAGCAGAAGCCGCTGAGATACCCTCCATATTATTGATGTTGAGTTTCGCCGAGGATTCAAGTAAAAATCGCACCATATTTATGTCCATATTCTTTGCAGCAACATGTAATGGTGTATTTCCATGGTGATCCTGATGATTTCTCAAGGCATACATCTCCTTACGATTAAGCAAATTTAATGTTTCATGGTAGTTTGGGATTTTATTAATCAAAAGGTGTAAGATGGACTTGCCAGTATTATCACACACCTCCGCAGATTGCGGGCAATTATCAAGTATTAATTTTGTAAACTGTATATTATAAGGTGTGATGAGTGTTGCTACTCTGTGAAGAGGAGTCAATCCTTTTGCATCAGGAAAACATGTAACATTGCTCGCCTTCTCAACAAGAAGTTTTATCATAACTGACATATCTTCTTGGGGTGCTGATCGGATTGTTAGAGCTGCTCCTCCTTCGTCGAGTGGTTGTTGTACTCGAGACATTATTGATTCACTCACAGCTAGATAAACACAAATACGAGCACACAACACATATATATTAGCTTCAAAAAAGTGACGGAATAAGACCTTTATACTACATCTGTTAATTTTATAATTGCAACAAAGAAATTTTTATTAGTATCTCACAAATAATACCCCTTTGTTGCAACTAAAAATTAATAGCAGTAGTAATAATTTTTAGATATTTTGTTTATTGGTTAAAAATGAGTGAGCAAACATGCAAGTCAACCCGTATATCATGCTTATGACAAATTTTGAACATGATATTCATCACATACACACAGCCTATTGACGTGCCTTATATTCAATCAATAACAAATAAATAAAGGGAGAATAAGTAACTTACTATAATTAACATGTTGTTTGATTGCAAGATGAAGTGGTGCTTCCTTTGACTTGTTGACAATACAAGCTAAAGAAGGATCTTTCTCCAACAAAAATTTACCAATATTGACATTCTCATGGATAATTGCAACATGAAGAGGAGTATTTCCTCTCAAGTTTTGGACTTTCCAAGGTTTCTCACCTACATACCCTGCAATCCTCTCCTCTATATAATCATAAAGTAAGCTCATTATCAATAAATTACCTACCTCAGCAGCAATATGAAGAGGGTTGTTTTCTTTGGAATTCCCACAAATTATCTCATTAATGGTAAATTTTTCTAGACATGCTTCTATGAAATCATGTTGTTCATGTCGAATTGCTATGTGAATGATGTTATTTTTTTCGTAGGTTTTCCTAAGTAAATACTCATTACTCTTGCCTTCTCCAAGGAACTCTACATCACCATTCGCGGCCGCTAAGTAGAGCTCCTTCCCCATTTCTACTGCCTTTGAATTTGCCATGGCTACTTATATTATATTTCAAACTTATCGTAAGTTTAGGTTGATCTATTGATTTATTGATGAAGGCAATTTATAGACCCAATCTTGTGGGAGTAAATTAATTAATGTAATAAAATGCATTAATTAAAGACTCAAAATTTACCTACATGTTATTGATTACTACAACCGATTAATTAGACTATAAGCAACGACCCAAGCTAAATTATGTTATTACTAAGTCAAAAGCTAACGAACGCCCCGCGGCGTTGGATAAGATAACTAAAAAAAGAAATATTAAATTAAAATGATCGAACATTAATTACACCGATCGTTGCGTGACTTTGGCATGCCTTTCCAAATTAATACCAGTTTAGAAAATATTTTAATACTTGTTTAACGCTTCGGGGACGTTCGTTAGCAAGATCTTATTACTAATAGTTGCAATCTAGCAATAGTAGTATAGTATTGTTAATTGAATGATTAATTGACGAGGTAAAATTAAATAGGAGTATTTTATTAGTAAGTAGTTTGTTGATTATTTAAAATTAAAAGCAGTGGGTATTGCTAAAAGAACAACAACAAAAAATAAAATATAGATAATGAAATGTACTAACTTGTCAGCCCCCAAAGTCATTACTTGTAAGTTGTATTTTACTTGTGGATGAGATGTGTCTAGCAAGCTATTATACTCTAGAAGATTTAACTTAACAGCTTTTGTCAGTATAAAAAAATAAAAATAAAAATAAAAATGTAAATACCCATCTATAGAATACTCCCTTCATCTCTAAAAGTTTCATCTCATTTGACACAATAAATTTCACAATGCAAATTAAAAGTTAAACCATGAATAATTTTAAGAAACAAAAGAAGTTGTAATTCCTACTTTTATGAGACTCTCTATAACTTTTACATATTACTCAGAAAATTACAATTATGTAAATTCTTGTTAGATTAAATTTATATATTAAAAAAAAGAAATCAACTTTTTTGTTTTCTATTAAGTAATTTTAATTACTGAAAATTATAATTACAATCATGTGAATCAACAATTTTGTTCTCGACAAAAAAAGTAATTTTAATTACAGTATTTACTATAGGAAAAATTATAGGTTGAGTATATACATTGACAATCATAATATTCAAACCTCACAAGTATAATAAAGGGATTCCTCAAATCAAAATGACATGACGAAAGGCAAAAGGCTCAGCATGATGTGATACACACCTTCATATGAGTAGAAGCATGCTCATGCTCATGCTCATGTTTTTATTTATGGGCCTATTCGATAGTCGTTACCATTGCTCTTTTAAGTTGTTGGGAACCACTTTATATGAGTAGAAGCATTCGTTTGAAATAAATGAAGAAAGTAAACAACCCTCAAAGTTGAGATTATTCAAGAATAATCCAAAATACTACTTGTGATTTTCCATCTCCTTTTCCTTTTGTTAATAATTTATTATTGGAAGATGCCCAAGTGACTGAAGTGAGTCAAACATTATCAAATGGAGGAAGTACAAATCGACTATAATACAAAGTGCTCATATATTAGAAACAAGGTTTAAAAGAATACCTCCACCCGTTTCATATTAAATGCAACACTTCATTTTTGGCCGTTTCATAATAATAGCACCACTATTATTTTTGGCAAAGACCTACCATTATTTTATAATTTGTCTCTCACTAACCGCACTTTCACAAATATTTTATTATTTCTCTTTCCTACCAACCCCACTCATACTTTTTATTTATTTATTATTTCTCTCTCCTACCAACAATACTTTATACGAGTATTATAAAAAAATCCTCTTTTGGGCCCCACCTTATAAATTTTCTTAAACTTTTCAAATACACTAATATTGCATTTAATATGAAACGGATGGAGTAAGTAATACTTTCACCGTTTCTTTATAATTGGATCACTTTAAAAATTGTAGACTCCTAGGTAATTTTTGAAGATGAGAGAGAAAGCTGAAAGCAAGAGAAAAGTAGATCCATGTTATAGGAGATAGTAGAGAAAGTTATATATATATACGGAGTATTAAATTAAAATTATGATGCATGATCAAAATTAAAACTTCTGTTTTTAGAAAGTGACACATCTAAAAAAAGAGAGAAAGTATATATGTGCATACTCAAGCTAAGAGACTTACTTACCTACGATACGAGTAGCAAATAAATGAAGAGGTGTCTCATTATCTTTGTTCGTGACGCTAATCGATTCCTTGTTGTAATTTAACAGTAGCTCCACCAACTTAATGTTTTCATCTGATTTGAGTGATTCATGGAGAGGTGTATTACCTTCTACATTCTGCACCAACCATGGTGAATCGAAACAATGTCCTTTGTGTTTAGCCTCGTCTTCAATTCTAAGGATACTTTCATTGCATTTTTTTAGACACAATGATAGAATATTTGATTCCTTCAATGTTAAGACAACACATCCGTATGGTAGCCTATCGGAATCACCCGTGCCTTCATCACTATGATTATATTGCTTGTTATCTTCAACTCTTGAAGCAACATAAATTCTGGTATTAGGACTATTTCGCACAAGGATATGAATTGGAGTGTCCCCGTTTTTGTCCGCTTGACTGATAAGTGATGGGAATATTTCAAGAGCTAGTTCTATGAAATTTACAAAATCCTCTGGATTTACATGACTTTCCTTCCTAATCCGCATTAATCTATGAAGTATATTTCTTCCCTCGGTATCCTTTGAGAGTAAATTTTTTTTTTCGATCCCTAAGGTTCTCATTCTTTCCGTTAGAAAGGTCACATTGGCTGTGTCTACTGCTTCAATTTCCCCTATTGTCAATTGTCGCTTCCTCAATATCTGCATCATTAATAATAATCTCTATTATATAATCCAAACAAAAGGGTTGTGTATGGTGTCCTCTTAATATGTAGGTCAAATTTGCCCTTTATTACATTTGAAATATTTTAAAATAAAGAAAATTTGTCAGAAAGGTCTTTTTAAATAGGCCTTTTTATTGTAAAGACCCTATTATAAAAAAAGTTAGCATAAAAGGTCCTTTTATTGCACTTAGGTTGTGTCGAGGGTCCTTTGACCGGATTCCGGCCATTGACTTTTTTCCACAAAAAAGTCACATGCCTTGCACGTGACTTTGTTTGGTTGAAAATTAGGGTGATGATCGAAGAAATTAGGGTTTAATAAAGGGAAAATGGGAGATAAAGGATTTTAAGTGGTCACATGCCTCACACGTGACTTTTTTTGGTTGGAAAAAAAAAAGTCAATGGCCGAAATCTGGTCTAAGGACCCTCGCCACAACCTAAGTGCGATAAATGGACCTTTTGTGCCACCTTTTTTATAGAAGGACCTTTACAACAAAAGACTTACTTTTTTTTAGTTTTTTTTGAATCGGAATTAATAATATTATTAAATAATAGCCATACGACATCTACAATAATAAAGATCTGTAAACCACATATTTAGAGTAAAATACTTATTTAAAAGAACTCTTTTGACAAATTCTCCTTAAAATAATCAACATTACAAAAACCTAACATATAAGTCATTTGTACAATTTATTATATACACCCGGGTGTACCGTACACCCAACTAACCCAAAGTTAATTTTTATTCTTCATTTAATGATAAAATGAAAAACAATCATTAAAATGAGAACAAATATTCACGAGGGTACAGTACACCTAGGTGTATATAACAACCTCTCTAAGGATTTAATCAAAAGTTTGAACCGTTAACTACTCTTAATAAAAAAGATAGGAAGTATTATTAGATTTAGCCGTGAAAAAAACATAATCTTGAGAAATGGAGTGATAAGTACTAGCCATGAAACAAACAAAGGATTATGCGTACCAATATGTAGATCAGACCAAGTAAAACTTAGGAGAATGGAGAGATCGAGTACTAGCTAGCAAAATTAAATGGATATTACCTGAAGCATATCTTGTTGTTGAATTATGCATGCCGCTGAGATACCATCAGCATTATTGATATTGAGTTTGGCAGAGGATTCTAGTAAAACTCGAACCATAACAGAGTCCACATTCTGTGCAGCAATGTGTAATGGTGTATTTCCTTGATTGTCCTGATAATTTCTCAAAGCATATATTTCTTCAATATTAAGCAAGTTTTTAGCGTCCGGGTAATTTGTGATTTTATTAATCAAAAGATGTATTATGGACTTGCCAGAATTATCACACACTTCCGCAGATTGCGGACATCTATCAAGTATGAATACTGTGAACAATATATTATATGGTGTGATGAGAGATGCAACTCTATGAAGAGGAGTCAACCCATTTGCATCAGGCCAACATGTAACTTTACTCGCTTTCTCAACTAGAAGTTCTATCATACTTGACATGTTTTCTTGGGGTGCAGATTCAATTGTTAGATCTGCTCCTCCTTCATTGATTGGGTTTTTTACTTTAGCCATTATTGATTCACTCTCAGCTACATAAAAACACAAACACGATTACATAGCACAAGTTAGAACTTAGAAATAATATTATATGATAAAAGTTGAACCGACAAAATTAGAGGAAAAAACTTGTGTGGATTTGGTTCACAATATTATTATTGTGGACCTGAGGTCCATACGTGCAACTAACGTTATGTGAATAAAACATTATAATAATAATAATAAAAAACGAATAAAACTGAAGTGAGAATAAATAAAGTCAAAAGAAAAAAGCATTTGAACTTTTTTAAGAGGGTGAGATGTGAAAATTACAATATTATAGGATAGGTACAAATTTACAATAACTTTTTTAAGAGGGGGAGATGTGAACAATTTTAAACAAATTAGTTAATCTATTTTGTGGATATTGATATTGAGTAATTGAATCAATTTGATATTTTAGATAAATGGTTTTTATCATAAATTTTTATCTTTTACATATATGATGGTTTTGTATAATAATTAATGATTTCATGATAAATTGAAAAACTAAATCCAACCGATCATATCAAATCTTTACCATCAAAATATACAGTAGCATCTCAATTAAAGTAAAAAGAGTTTTAATATTGTTTTTCTCTGTTATGTATCTTGGCTCTAGAACTTCAGGAGGAATTTCTCCCCAAAAAAAAAAAAAAAAAAAAAACAAAGCTCTACCATATCAAGGAAATGAGAACGAGTATAAGCGAACTTACAATAATTAACATGCTGTTTGATAGCAAGATGAAGTGGTGCTTCATTTGAGTTGTTAACTATTAGAGCCAAATCAGAATCCTTCTCTAATAAAAATCTTGCAATTTTGACATTATCATGAGTAAGTGCAACATGAAGAGGAGTATCGCCTTTCGAGTTTTGCACCCTCCATGGCATTGGCCTCTCATCACTTAAGTGATCATAGAGTAACTCTACTATACCAAAATTTCCGACCTCGGCTGCTACATGAAGAGGAGTATTTCCTTTGAAATTCTTCTCACAAATCAACTCATTATCATTGGGAAATTTCTTTAGACATGCTTCTATGAATTTTTTTTTGCTCATACCGGATTGCTATGTGGATGATATTATTATTTTCGTATGTTTTACGACGTAAATACTCATTGCTATAGCCTTCTCCAAGGAACTCTACATCACCCTTCTTGGCGGCAACGTAAAGCTCCCTCTCCATTTTTTGAGTCTATTGATCTAATTTTACTAAAGTTTCACTTAATTTTTTTTTTTTTTTTTTTTTTTTTTTTTAATTTTTTTAAGGTTTTTATAAGTAATTTGTATACACAAGTATACAAGATCCAATCTTGTAAGAGTGAACCGCGTATGTAATACACTGAAATAATGAAAGACTTTGAAGTCCGAATTGTTTATTACTCAGATCATTAATTACTCGTAATTACCGAGTTATAAAATAAACCGCTGCGCGGTTGACGAAACGATAGAAGTCTACTTTTCCCTTAAGCTTTTGTCTACTTGTGCTGACTGCTAAGCCAGCTGTACTGTTAGCTGATTATGTTCATCGTTTTATAAACTTTTCTCTTTAAACTTTTTAATTGTTATAACATTTTGATTTTCATACATTCCATAATTTACTAATTGTATCATTTAGACTTTAATTTTACAGTGTTCACACACATTATTACCTCTTGGACATCGTTACGATTTAACATAAAGGAACAATTATGTGGACTTTTATAGATTAATCTTGATTTATACCTTTTTTGAGAGTATGCATGTATTATAAAGTTTTTTATTTCACTAATTTTATGAAGAGAAAAAACTCGCTCATACTTCATGTAATGATCGACTCATAATATGATCATCCAAATCATTAACCAGTTGTTTCTTTAGATACAAGTGTTATTGTACAGTACATGCATCATATCTATCAATCGAGAAGCTATCCTAACTTCGTGTATGCCGTTCCTTTCAAAAAAATAAAATAAAAATAAAAAATAAAACAAAAAATTATCACAAATCAAGCCTCCGTAATGTATATTTAGGATCTTTTACCAAAATAGCTAATTTAAAGAAAGTATTTACCAAAACGGCGATTTATAAATTTTAATCCCAAAACTAGCTAAATTATTGACTTGGAAGGAAAATTACCTTTTTTTTTTTTCTTTGAATTGGTTTAGTTAAGTTTTTTGGGGATTTTTTGTGGGTTTTAATTTTTTTTTGGAAAATTCTAAAGCCATAGTTAAAAGGAAAAATTGATAAAAATAATCCCGACTTTGATCCGTTCGCTCAAAATAATCCTAACTTTGGATTATTTTTAAATAATTCGATTTGGGGGTCATTCGCTCAAAATGGTCCTAATCGATCACCTAACTTGTTATAAAGGTTAAGGTAACACGTGTCACGTAATTGGTTGGGAAAAAAACTAAAAAAAACATTTAAAAATTAAAAAACAAAACTTCAAATATTTTTTTTTTAAAAAAAAAATTAAACCTAACCCCTCTCACGACCACCCTCCACCACCACCACAACCCTTTCCCGGAACCTCCATCCCCTCCGGCAACCAAACACCCAATCACCCATGTACACCGCCAGCTCCGCCGCGACTAGCTGCAGCCCACAAACACGTACGCCTTAAACACAACCACTACGAAACCACCTTGCAGCAGCCCCACAAGAACCTACTGTCGCCTAACCTTCAACAGCCCAGTAGCCACCCAAATCGCCACCACAAGAAGCTTGCCGCACCTCCTCCAGCACAACCACCCAATCACCCAAATCGTCCCCACAAGCAGCTCACCTCCCTCAAGCATGCAGCGACGTCGAGAACAACATTCCCCTCAAGCAGCGACGACGAGAACAACATTCCCCACAAGCAGCGACGACGAGAACATCATTGAGCTGAGATCGAGAAATTCTCGGCGGCGATCCAGACGACGACGACTCATATAAAGGACATCGACCACAAATCCATTGATGATTCAACAAAGATTAACCCAGAAATTGCTGTAAATTGGGGGATTATTGTTAGGATTGATAGCAAAAAGTGATGAATTGGCATGAATGAATTGGGGAAGGGGCGTCGACAGCGCCGGAGCAGGGGAGGGGTTGGGCGCCGGAAAGGGGACCTGGGCTGGGCCTAGGGGTTGCCGGAATGGTGGTGGTAGCCGGAGGGGTTGTGTGGGCCTAGGGGGCTGTCGGTAACCTGGTGTTAGGTGTGGGATTTTTTTTTTTTCTGTTTTTTTTTTTAATTTATTTTTCCACCTATAGCGTCCTAATACGTGTCACTGAAACCCAAAAAAAAAAAAAAAAACTTTTTTTAACAAGTTACCGGTTACTTGGGACCATTTTGAACGAATGACCCTTATAGTTCGGATTATTAAAAAATAATCCAAAGTTGGGATTATTTTGAGCGAACGGACAAAAATTGGGATTATTTTTAACAATTTTTCCGAGTTAAATATATACGGTTTTTTTTTTTTTTTTTTTTTTTTGGGTTTTAATTTTTTGGGAAAATTCTAAGCCATAGTTAAAAACTCTCAATTTCTTATAAGTCACACAAAATAAGAATAAAAAATCACCTTGCAAGAACTAGATATCACCTTAAAAGTCATCCCAAACTTCTAATTAATAAAAAAAATAATAAAATATGTAACCCCCTCTTTTTTTAATCACATAAAGTCGAGAAATATATTAAGGGCTAAAGGCAAAATGTAACCTTACAAGAGGTTAGGACAGCAAAACCTCTAGTACTTACAGGGAAAAATGATACATTAGAAAAAGATAAATATATTTAAGTTTTATTTATATACACATTACACTAAAAAAAATATAATTTAGCAGACATTAGCATAGAGCATATAATAATTAGCAGACATGAAAAAAATGAACGGTACCTTAAAATCCCTTATCGTCGTATAAATTTACGGTTGCATTGATAAAACAATACTACTTAAAGTTACAATTTTTTGTGATACCATATAGACAAAAGTTTATAATTTTTTGTGATCTTAAAATAAGGGTTGCTTATTAGCGGCTAATTATATATATATTTTTGAGAAAAGCTGATCAAGCGACTAATTATTATTATTGATACTTAGAACAAAATCCAAAGCAACAGCATCATTATCCACCACTCTAGGACAGCTCCCAAGTCCCAACCCACGCCATAGTAGAATACTCGATCAAGATGGGTAAGATGTGCCAAAGTGTGAGCAACACAATTATCTTCTCTAAAAATATGAGAGAAAGCCACATAATAAAAAGTAAAACTAGCAATACACCCAAAAAATTTTGATACTAAAATAAAACCCAAAATATTAACAAGATAATATCAACCTATTATCTATCACATCCTTAATTACACAAAATATATCTTTACAGAATATTAACAAGATAATATTAACCTATTATCTATCACACCCCTGCAGTTGAAGCGGGAGGAGGTCGAACGCTTAGACTGTCTCTGAAGTCTAAAAAAAGTTGTCGTGGTAAAGTTTTTGTGAAAATATTCGCGTACTGATATGAAGGAGGAACATGTAAGACCTTGATTTGACCAAGAGCGATCTTATCGCGTACAAAATGAACGTCCATCTCAATGTGCTTGTACGTTGGTGATAGGAATACTCTATCAAGGCTCTCGTGTGAAGGGGCGTGAAAGAGTATAAAACATAATCCTGGGCTTCAACCATCAGCTTAGGCTTTTGGTTGAGATGGTCAACTAACAAGATATATTAAAAATGTATGTTTCACTCATTTAATGTTTTGTAGCAGTGTTACTTCACGTACAATATCTTTACTTAGATATGATTTTTTTTTTTTTTTTTTTTTGTTAAAATATTTAAAATTCTATACTTTATTGTTATTGAGGAGTAACACAATACAATACATTTTAACACTGTCTAAACAATAATTACAGATCGTTGACGAGTGCGACCTTGTCCATCTGCTCCATTGCTTGGTTTTGGTTTACAACATCCAATGAATTTACGAGCCATTGCTGTACACCATTTGATGATTTTTGTACATATTTTTCGAGCAAATCGCAAAAACATCCAAAAAAAATAGCGTATGACATTTTTGAACGGAATAAGAAACTTGATGACGAGGTACTTGTGGACTAGCAACATAAGCAAAGAGCAAAGAATCAAAGTGACAATAGCGGTCCATGGCTTGACAGAGAACAACGTTGCGAAAAGACCCGTCATGAACGTCACAATAGTTGCGTAGAATGATGCTAGGAGCAATGTTACACTGAAATCAAGTATCTTGACTGAATTATGCCTGTTGTTAGTAGCCATGATCCAAAGGAGACAAAATAAAACCATCATCGACAGACACATTGCTAACTCATCCGAGATCATAAAAACCTGAAATGCTACCCTTTCTATCAAAACCGGTGTACCAACATTTTCAATTAGTCCACCAGGAACCGCGAATGCTGCTGTGAATGTTATTGTAGTAAGAAGAGCAGCTATTATACCCATTGTGTTCACATAGGTTTTCATTTGTGATGTTGGGATGCCCCACATGCTTCGAACACCTATCATTTCATATTTGTCCCCAATGCTCTTTTCAATCTGAACGCAATGATCAAACTTTATTTTAGTGTTTAATTTCTATTTTTTTTTTTTATATATATAGGGCTAACCTTTATTAAACAAATAAACAACCTTAAAAAATGTTATATCCTCTAATTTTAAAAGAAAAATCTTGTTAAGCTCTTCGAACCGGAGCATGTTTAACACCTCTATTAGCTATCATATATATACTCGGTTTTTCTTCTCAAAAATGTAGAATAATAATGTCCTATATATATATATATGATAAGAGACTTTGTATGGTGTTAGTTTGGTTGATTGAATACAAGTTAGTTTATTATCTTGTATATATTCAACATATAAAACATATGTTAGGTGAAAAGTGTTGTAATGCTACATACTATGAAGTTTAATACGAAGTACTCCCTCAGTCCCTATTTTTTTGCCCCATTTGACTGTGCACGGTCTCTAAGACGGTTCTTAAAACGTCTATATCTTTTTTTTCGTACACATAAAAATTATAAAAAAAAGTAATATCAATAAAATATACAATGAAACGAATCTAACAAGACCACTCATGACTATATTATCCTTTATGGATTAACGGTAATTTATGGTCAAAGTTTTTAATGTTTGACTCAAAAAATAACAATGGAGCAATAATAAAGGGACGGAGGGAGTACTTACTTTGGGAGGAAGACTTGGTGATTCTGCGATTAGATCGCTAGGGGTTTTACCAGCTTTATTTTGTAAGTCTAAAAGATCGACGAGCCACCGATGTCTGCCTCTAGATGACTCACGTTCACGTTCCCAAGTGTCTAGAAAAACTTGTACTATATCAAAACGGTTTTCTTGAATGGCTAGATGCAACGGTGTGTCTCCATTCTTGTCCTTTAATCCCAAGAGCTCTCTTAATGTTTGATTTTGAAGAAGGAGATGTACATAGTAGATTGATGGATGATTTACAAGAAGGTGCCAAAATGATTGATCATTAGCATCACAAATTTTTGCTGCTTCCGGTGAGATACTGCATAGTATAGTAGCCGTAGATAGGTCACCAACTTGGAACGCTCTTAGTATGGGAGTAAGACCATCCTGGTCAGGCCAATAGGCAGCTTCAGCTTTTGCCTCCACCATTAACTCTATGTCTTTTCTCTTAAATTGCTCCATGTCTTTGGTGAAATAAACATATATATGGATTGATCAAACACTTGAATATAAATTAAATATGATGATTTAGGGTTAAAATCAAATCAAAGTATGTGTATGTGTATGTGTATTTGTTAGTTCTAATTATAAACAAAAAAAGACGTACTTCATATGTTCTTTTTTAATTGAAATATTTAGACAGAGTTTGTCTACACACAATTTACAACATATTAAACCCAGTTCAATTTAGTCAATTTTTGCTGAACTTATATTATTTACTGAATTGAAATTATTTTTATTGAACTAAAATTGCTAAACTAATTTTTTTTTTCATTGAACTGGATTTTTTTTTACTAGTTCTCTATTATACTTCTTTGAAGTTACTAATTATTACTGATGAGCTGAAATTGTTTTTACTAAATATTATTTTTTTCAAAATGAATTAAATAGGGCCAGTGTTTAATTATTAAAAAGGACGAATAAACTTTGGAAGACTTACACATGGGACGTCCACCAATCAGATGAAGAGGTGTCTCCTTACATTTATTCACTAAACCAGCCGACCTCCGATCAAGTGCTAACAATCTTCTCACCAGTACATGGTTATTTGCTATGAGCGCTTCATGGAGAGGCGTATTTCCTAGTGCATTCTGCACCAACCACGGTGGATCATAGCGAGCTTCCTTGGCGCTTTCCTCTCGTTGAATTTTAAGGTTACACTGGTTGCATAGCTCTAGTAACGCTGACAAAACGCCTGATCGCCACAAGGATGAAAAAATAAAATCGTTAACATTTTGGTTTGTGTTTGTACGATTTCCAGAAGCAACATAAATTGTTGAATCAGGATTATTTCGCACTAGGATATGAATCGGAGTGTCCCCGTTAACATCTGTTTGACAAACAAGTTTAGGAAATTTTTCAAGAATTTGCTGGACGAAATCTATAAAGTCGTCTTGTATTATATGACTTTCATTTTTTATCTCCATCAACCTATGAAGAACATTCCTTTCCTTCGAATCTTGTGAGAGCAAGAAATCCTCTCCTAACTTGCTCATTCTTTCCCTTAGAAAGCTTATGTTTGGTTTGTTCGTTGCCTTACATTCCTCTGGTGTCAGTTTTCTTTTCCTTAGGACCTGCACGTTACGAATGGACTTACTGTCAATATCAAATAACAGGAAGGTGATGGATGAGTGATGATAATTTGAGTTGCATGACGAATTGACGATTATTATTTTTAAGTAACGAGTCAAGCCGAGCTGAAAGGTTGCATTAACTCAAGAAAAAACACCCAACAAAATATTTTCATTTCGAAATATGAAGTACTTGCGGGATTCTAATTTACTCTGACTTTTACACATGTGCCACTTTCACCATTAATTTTATTTATTTATTTTGTATAGTAGTAAAAAGTTAGAAAAATGTTGTACTATTATTTTGAAATCTTATATTATACGTCAAAATATTAATTACCGTAGAAAATTATAGTAAAGTAATACATTGGATCTTTTACCAAAATGGCTAATTTTACAAAAGTATTTATCAAAATGGCTAATTATAAATTTTAATTCCAAAACTAGCTAAATTAGTGACTTGGAAGGAAATTATCTATTTCTTATTTCCCTTTGAACCGGTTTGGTTCACTTTGTTTTTAATTTTTTTTTGGAAAATTCTAATGCCGTAGTTTTTTTTTTTTTTTTTTTTTTTTTTTTTTTTTATTTTGAAAAGAAAATTAATTGGCATCTACAATATAAATCAAAACTAGCAAATACAATACAAATTGAATCGAATAATATTCTAATTTGACAAAACTACAATCGTTGTTATCTAGATCTGACATTTCTAAATGCCCTCTTTCACACCACTGTTTGATACAACTTTTCACGAGGGGGTCTTTCGATCTATTGTAGCTTTGAAATCGAACACCATTTGATATAATTGATTGTAGATGTAGAATTAACCTCCATGGCAACACAACACAACTCCTCATCAACAAATCAATTTTTCGTACGAAATTAAAGAACATAGCCCCAAAACTCTCAAAAAGAGAGAAAAATAAACCCGATATACGGGTAGAAATAACCCGATATAAGGGTAGAAAAACTCTCAATAGAGAGACTACAATTATTGTGAGCATAAAGTAAAAAACTTTTTGGTTGATGGTAAGCCCCTAGAAACAAGATTTTTTTTAGGGTTTTTGAGGAGGAAGAGAATAAGAGGAGTGGCGGAGAGGAAGGGTTTTTTCCTGATATTGTTTAAAATATTCTAATGCCGTAGTTTAATATCCCATTAATTTGAAAAATAACATTCAACATTATAATATATTATTTGTAATTAACATTCAACATAATATATTATTCGTAATTATCAGCATAAAAAAATAAAGTGCATAGGATCAATAAAATCTGAATATGGGGGCTCTTCATATTCAATTTCAAAGTCAGACTGAAGAACTTCAATATTATTCTCTTTAACATTATCTGTTATCTCATTTATTGAGCATTGAAACCTCATTAGCCACTACATACGAGATAAGATTATCCATATATATGCATTATTCACATCAGAGGAGCAAAAATGGCTTACGAGGTCAAGCAATCGAGTAGCAGACTGTTCTCCGAACATACATATTCATTGTTTGCCATTGTATATCACATACATATATGTAAGTTTGATTTATAATACACATTAAACTCACATTAACAGAAAACATACAATTAATGGACATGAAAAAGATGAATAATAATACCTTAAAATCCCTTATCGTCGTATAAAGTTGCGCTTGTGTTGATAGAACAATACTACTTAAAATTCCAAACTTTTGTGATACTGTCTAGACGATTTTTTTTAAAATTTTATTTTTATTTTTTATTTTATTTGTGATTGAAATTAGGGTTTTTGCGACTGTCCACATACTCCTTATATTTGTATATGGCTTAAATTTTTCAACTTAAAAAAATCCTAAGAAAATAAAAATAAAATAAACCCAAAAAAACAAAATTAAAAAAAAATCAATAAAGTGAACCAAACTAGTTCAAAGGAAAATAAGAAATAGATGATTTCCTTCCAAGTAAAAAATTTAGCTAGTTTTGGAATTAAAATTCATAACTAGCCGTTTTGGTAAAAGATCCTAATACATTTGAATAGTTCAAACATATGAAAGATTGAAGAATGGTTCATACTACGTACCTCATGCAAGTTATGTTGTTGAATTAAAGATGCAACGGATATGCCTTCCTTGTTTTTGATGCTTAATTTCGTCGAAAATTCCAATAAAACTCGCACCATATTAATGTCCTTACTCCTTGCAGCAATATGTAACGGTGTATTTCCACGTTGATCCTGATAATTTCTCAAGGCGAATATTTCCTTAAATTTTAGCAAGTTTTTGCCTTCTAGATAGCTAGGCATCCTACCAATCAAAAGGTGCAAGATTGAGTTGCCAAGGGTGTCGCACACCTCCGCCGATTGCGGAAAATGGTAAAGTATGGATCTTATAACCTCTATATTAAAGGGCATGCCTAACGATGCCGCTCTATGAAGAGGCGTCAAGCCATTTGCATCAGGCCAACATGTGACACAACTGCCTTTCTCTACTAGGAAATATATCATACTTGACATATCTTCTCCGTGTACAAATTTTGTCATCAATGCCGCGCCTCCTTCGGCAATTGGTTGTTTTAATATGGTCGTTATTGATTCACTCTCAGCTATTACAACAAAAATTGCACGATAGAAGTTAGAAAATTGTTCGTCGATCAATCGCTATTTTATGGGTAGAACTAGAAAGGCCTTTTTAAGATCGTAATAACGAGGAGACTCATTGAAGATAATTAACATACTAAGTTGTATTTGAAAAAAATATTACCAAAAACGTACGTTATACTTTTGTTCATCAATCATGGTATATATTGCTGTTAACAATCGATCAACTTCATTTATCCTTACGTGTTACAAAGTACCAAATTAGCCATAACATTTTATATTTGTTTTTTTTTTTATTCTTCTAAACTCTTGAAAAGATTGTATAAGACAAAACAAATAGACTTTTTTCTTTTTCTTTTTTTCTTTTTTTTTGTATGCACAAAATAACTGGACTTATTTTAATTATTATTGTTAGGGTGCTCATAAAAAAAGAAATAAATATTACGGTGCACGTTATACACCGTACATAATTTAATCTCTCTCTCCTTGCTAGGCTAAATCTAATGTATTATGGTAAGACATGTTAATTGGTGGCAATTTAAAAGTAGTTAGGACTAATTTTTTCTTGGAAGGAGTGAAGGACCCATCACTTTAATAATTTCGAACCTAACTTATGACAATCAAAAGATTAGATAGCATTATAGTTTAGCCAATATTAGGAGATAACGTAGTTGAGCTGAGATTTAAGATTTTTTTCTTATCCATCAATTTTATAAGAGAAAAGTAAACTACGTTAAACTCAGTCAAATAACATGATATACTGACGTACGACAATATCATTTATATAAATGTATGATGTAAATAATTGTGGTACAAGAAATTAAACAACACCATATGATGGTAAAATAAAATATTTCCTCCAAAAATATAATAATAGGCATAATACATCTAGTTAATTTAATTTGAAAAAACTGTCGGTAATAAATCAACATGTGGACAATTTTCCAAAAAACAAAACAACTTTATGATTGTACCAAAATAATACCACCTTCCGTTATCTACTTTAAATAGAATATAGTAAAAAATCGGTAACATTTTAACAAGTAATATGTGACACATGTCACTATTTGATTGATTACTTTTAAATTTATTTAACAGATAAATTTAATAAATATTTTTTTAAAAAAATACCCCTCCCTCCCACAGCCATCACCAAAACTCCCCAATCACCTAAACCCCTACCCTACCCCGACTACCCTACCTCGACTCCTTTCTCTTTCTCTACTCCCACCACCAGTCGTCCCACCCCCCTAACAACCTCCAGTTGATTTCCTTCTGATCGTATAGGTGGTTGGGTGAGAGAAAGAAGGGTGAGTGAGATGTTGGTGGTCTGGTTGGGTTGGTAGTGGATGGGGGGTGGTGGCTAGGGTGGTGTTATGGTCGGCAAAAGGGTTGATGGGAATGGTGTTTGATTATTTTTTAAGTTTAATCAAATTTGAAAAAAGAAAATTAAAAAAATATAAAGATCCCATCAATTACAATGTAATATTTGTCATAATTAACCAATTGATGAATAGGTTACCAATTAACACGAACTCATGCACTATTTAAAGGAGATACCTCCAATGGTGATATTATTTTGGAAGAATCAATTAAACAGGTTGTTTAATTTTTAGAAGAGCGACCAAAGGTTGTACGTATATATAATTTTTGAGAACTTTTCCTTTTTATTTTTCTATATTCAACTTTGTTATTTTATTTTTTATTTTTTATTTTTTATTTTTTATTTTTTTTGTTTTGTTTTGTTACTTCAGTTTGCTTATAACTTTCTTTTCTTAACTTATGATTAGTTTTTGTAACTAATGAACTTCAAACAGTTTTGTAACTTATTTATGAGTCTTTTAGTTTAGTGAGAATCTGGTGTGACAAAATGAATCTGTCATACTGTTTTTAAGAAGAATTTGTTAGTATGACTTATTTACTTGTCTCACTATCTAGATTTGATTTTTTTTTTTTTTTTTTAGTTTATACCAACTTTACCAGCGTCAAATGAGTCGAAATACCACTAACTCAGATCACATGATAAATGTCAATAAGAGTACGTCCATTCTATTCACTTCATTTTTACTATCGAGCTACTTAAACTTATACTATAAGGAGAACCAAAAACCAAAGTTATCAAACAGACCTTCAATGTTACATTAACAAAAAAAAACAAATACTAACATCGATTATATTCCATCATCATCAATGATATTGATTTTTTGTATCATCAAAAAAGTTCTATCTCAGCGTTTTCTATATTCAACCAAATTATTGTTAAAAATAGACGTACCCAAAAAGCTAAGCTTAAGAAAAAGGTGAATATAAGGAATAAGCAACTTACAATAATTAAAATGGTGTTTGATTGCAAGATGAAGGGGTGCTTCCTTTGAATTATTAACAATTCGAGCCAAATAAGGATCCTTATCCAATAAAAACCTAGCAATTTTGACATTATCATGAATAATTGCAACATGAACAGGAGTATTTCCCTTAGAATTTTGCATCCTCCATGGTTTTTCACCTTCATCATCACCTTCAACATCACTCTTTACTAAATAATCATAGAGTAAACTTACTATACTTAAGCTTCCAACCTCGGCAGCTATATGAAGAGGAGTATTTCCTTTGGAATTTTTCTCACGAGTTATCTCATGGTCACTAGGAATATTCCCAAGACATGCTTCTATGAATTCACGTTGCTCGTGTCGAATTGCTACGTGAAAGATGTTATTTTTTTCATGGCTTTTCTTCTTTAGGTACTCATCATGATGTATTTTATTAAGGAACTCTACATTACCTTTCATGGCGGCAACATAGAGCTCCTTCTCCATTTTTTCTACTACCTCTATATTTTCCATGGCTAGCTAGCTTAATCTAATTTATTTCTTCCTCTCCTTTTTATTTTTGAGTACCATTATTATTGCTTTGAACTAGACTATTAATATAGATGATTTAATGTTAATTTTGTAGGTGTGAACTATACATGTAAATGTTGCACTGATATTATATATTAAAGTCTTTAAACGAAGTCCAATAATTTTTTTTTTTTTTTATCAGTAGTTATATGCGTAGGTAAACCATTGCACGTTATTTAACATATATTATCTATAACCTACTTGTATTAGTTGTAAATAATACGATATACGAAGTTGACGAAATTATATTATATGGAGTAGGTAATATAGTGATGTTATATTGATCTGGTCACTTGAATTTAATTAAAAGTAGTCTGATTGAGGAGCTTGTCACCCTTAAAGTGATTTCTTGTTTACTTGTGTCTATCTAGCTGTTAGGCCTGTCGCAGACATTATTCGTTTATTGATCATTTTATTTAAATCCTTTATAGAAATAGGTACGTACTCGATAACTGAAATAATTAAAATTTTAAATACATTAAGTCGAAATAAGTTCCATTGATTGAATAAACATAAATTTTTGTATGTGGCTGGGGTTATTTATTATTTAGGGGTTAGTCAGTCAGTCAAGATTTACTCGGTTAAGGGATACTTATATAGAGGTTACTCGGTTGGTTAGGGGTTACTCTCACACAGAAAATGCGCTAACCGACTGAGAACTTAAAATAAGTAACCCTTGACTAAATGATCTGAGTAACCCCTAAATAAGTAATTCTCGAATAAGTAACTACAGCGCGCAAAAACACGCTAACCAACTGAGTGACCCTAGAATAATTAAATAACTCTTGACCAACTAAGTAACCCCTAAATAAGTAATCATGGCCACACAAAAAAAGCACCATTGATAAAACAATGTCACACACTTGCTATGTACGACTTTGAATAAAACACTTGTTTTATTGATTGAAAAAAGCAAACATATTCATTAAAATAGAAGTGCACGTAGTACGAAAATTTATGGTCAAAGTTTTTAAAGTTTGACCCAAATAAGTCAAATGAAAACAATATTTAGAGACGGAACTCAATTGAGACAAACTCATCCATCATAGTCTTATATACTTTTTCATTTCCTAAAGTATGACTGTTTAACTAGCACATTTACCAATTTACAACTCTAATACTACGTAGATAATTTATGTAAAAGTCAAACAGTTGCAATTTTAACATAGCAAAAGATGTTATACGAGTATAAGAAATACTGACTGGGTAATTCTGCAATTAGATAATTGGGTGATTTACCAACTTTGTTTGTGATTTCTAAAAGATCCACTATCCATTCAACTTTCCCCTTTGTTGCTTACGTTCGTCTTTCAGAATTGAAGAAAATCTGGTACAAGGTCGAAACGGTTATCTATGATTGCCAGATGCAATGGTGTGTTTCCGTTTATGTCCTTGAGTTTCAGCAAATCTCTAAATTCCTCTTGATGAAAAAGGCGGGAGAAATAGTATTTTGATGGGTGTTTTACAATCAGGTGCCCGTATGCCTGGCAATTGGCGTCACCAGATTCTGCTGCTTTCGGAGAAGCTTTGCATAGTATTGCAGCCGCAGAATAGTTACCAGCTCTTATTAAGGGAGTAAGACCTTTCTTGTCGAGCGAATAGGCCGCTTGGACATTAGCTTCCACTATTGCCTTAATGTCTTCTCGCTTAAATTGCTCAATGCCTAGGACAAATATAAATATTCATTCATTCATCAAACAACTTAAAGTAGGAGAAAATTAAAAGTATATTTACTACGTATGGATCGGAGTATTTCATATTGTAACGTTCAACTCATTTACTGTAAACTTTAGGATAAGGATGCCCAATATGAAATATATTAAAGTGACATTTTGAAGACACCTAAATTAATAAAAAGGAGAAAATAAAAATTAATTTTCATACTTGATAAATGTTATCAATCTAGTGGCAATATTGTAAACAAGTACATTTTTTTATTGTTCATGGTAGCGATTTTGCCCATAAACCATAAAAAAAAAAAGTGCACCTATTTATAATATTGTCACTAGATTAATATAAATCAAAAGCAATGAAAGTAGTATTAGTGGAAGAGAGAATATAAGAAAATAATCGTATATTCTTACTAAACAAAATAGTGTTACAATTAGTAATCAGAAACTAATAATGTAAAAGAAAAGTGTTACAAAAATATTAATGTTTAAATATATACATTGACAGATGTAACACTCAATCCATTGTCACAAGTATGAACAAGTAAGGAGTAATTTATAATTTATAGTGTCGTATGGATAACACAATACTTGTGTATGATGGCATTATAATGATTATAGCAACATGATGAAAGCCAAAGAGGTCAGCATGATATGAATCCATGTGATACACAACTTAGGTTAACACTCCCTTCCCCCCTTGAATTAGTAAATTTAACTACGCCTACCAAACACCTATCTATTTTTTGCATACTACCACATGGTCTACATTGACCAAACCTCAATAATTGAACATTAGTAATTTAATAATATATATGGAGCTACTCCATCTATGAAGCTAAGTAAAGAGTTACTGTATAAAAATTGGTGCAGTTGATTGACTTTCTGTGTGTATCATGCCGCCCCCTCATAGGAGATTTCTTTTAGCTTAAAGTGTGAATGTAACATGGAGATTTTATAACTTAGCACTAACTTCTTCACTTTGAAAATGAATTGTGGGTTGTTATAACATTTAAGTTATGAAATTTTTGTTATTAGGGTTTTCTATCACTTTGGCCAGGGCATTATTGATTATCCGTAACACACAAATTGAGACATTTTCAATAATTTATTTGCCAATTTTGAACTCAAAGTGGATTCCTATGGGCCAAATGATCCCAAAACTATAATCAAACAATTTATCCTCTTGAAATTAGTGGAACACAAACCGATGCATTTCTTGGGTTGCAAACAAGACATGTTTAATAATTTTTTTTTTTCACTTTGTACTAATTAAATTAGGCTCGTAAAGACCAAAATGATCTCAAAAAGCTTAATCGAACAATTTTTTCAGCTTGCAAATCGTTAAATTATAGAAATGGATACTCCCTCCTTCCCTTATCTACATGTCTACTTTCCTTTTTTGGGGTTTCAAAACTACATGTCTATTTCTATTTAAAGAATGTACTTTTTGACAATATTCCCTCTTTTGGATGAGTTGTTATCAATTTTCTTTTATTTTTTTTGTACTTTTGACATCATTTTCCAACACTTTCTCTCTCTATCTCTTCAATGATTACCAGCTACCTTTTCTTTCTCTCTATCTCTCTCTAACCCCATATGCACATTTGTACTTCCTAATCGTGGGTTTTAAGGAATCTCTAAGTTCCTTAATTCCCGAGAAAAATGAAAAATAGGCATGTAAATAAGAGACGAATGGAGTATTTTAGTACTCTCATGTGTTGGTCAACGTCAAACTTTGGTGGTCAACTCTCGGATTCCGACTATATTGTCCCTTCTCAGAACCCGCTTCAAAGGCTCTTATTTGCCAATTTTTGTTTTTAAAAGATCATCTCACCCAAAAAAAAAAAATATCAACATAAAAGGTCCTTCTTGACATAAGTCTTCCAATTTTTTAAGTGCATACAATAATTACAAAAATATTGTCTAAACATTATGAAACGGATGTTGATGACGCCGAGTGTGACCTTGACTAGCTGTTGTTGCTGTATTGTTTATTAGGTTTGGCTTGCAACATTTGGTGATACTTTTGCACAAATCAGCAATGGACCACACAAAAATAAGTGTAGCTTTTCCAACTGGAAAGAGCAAATTTATGGCAAAAAATTTGTGGACGAGCAACGCCATCACCAAAATACCCATAACCAAAGTGACAATAGCGATCGAGTGTTCCACGGCGGAAGTTGTTACGTACAGACCGGCCAGGAATGTCAAAAGAGTTGCACATAATGATACTAGCAGCATTAGCACGCTGAAATCGAGTATCATCACGGACTTTTTTCTGTTGCTCGTGGCCATGATCCAAAGGAGACAAAATAAAATCATCATTGATAAGCACATTGCAAATATGTCCGAGATCATAAATACATGAAACATGGCCTTTCTTATCAGGACTGGAGTCCCATTATCTTGGGTTATTCCTCCCGGAACTGTAAATGCTGCTGTGAATGTTATTGTTGTCTGAAGTGCACCTATTATACCTATTGTGTTCACATACGTTTGCATCTCTTTTGTAGGAATTCCCCACGCGCTACGAACACCTATCATTCCGTTGTTAGCCTTTATGATTCTCTCAATCTGAATGGTAAAAAAACCTATATGTTAGTGATAATAAATTGGTGACTGATTCATTCGATATGATCAAACATTATTCCTAGATAGTAGTTACAATAAACAACAATGTACTCGGTACAATACTGAGTCGAGGATATTGGATCAATATAATTTAAAACTCAATCTAGCTTGTAGTGTTATACTGTTATGATGTTCTTGGTACAAATATTAAAAGCTTAATTGTGTTTATATCATATCGTGAAAAAAGAGGGAGTCCCAGTTTCTCATAGTGAGAAACAAAATTTGTTTCTTACATGACATTTTTGTAAATAAATCAACAACTTTATTTAATTGTGGAGCCCACAATAATGAAAAAGTTGTTCATTTATTCACAAAAATGCCCCATGAAAACAAATTCCGTTTCTCATTATAAGAAATAGGGAATTTCTCGTGAAAAAATGAACCGATCATATTGTTTTATAATTAAAATACTACAAGTACAATAGACATTTTTCAAACTGAGTACTATAAAAACATCCCTGCATTAGCGACGTTACTATGACAGAAACAAAGCATTACTTAGTTCAAAGCTTCAAATATTAGTGTTTGGCAAAGTAGGTGTGAGTCTATGTGCATTAAATGTTCCAAATATCTCAACTCAATCAATACAAAATATAGTATCACATTGCCACTAAGAAGTACTTACATTGGGAGGAAGACTTGGTGATTCTCTGATAAGATCGGCAGGGGTTTTACAGGCTTTGTTTTGTATTTTCAAAAGATCTAGTAGCCATTGTTCATTGTCCTCTGATGATATACGTTCTCTCCCCCAAACAAGGAAACTTCCTACAAGATCGTAACGATTACCTTCAATTGCAAGGTGCAACGGTGTGTTTCCATGCTTGTCCTTCAATTTCAGCAGATCTCTTACAGATTCATGTTCAAGAAGGCGGCACACAAAATCTTCGGATGATGCAGGATGATCCATTAGCCGGTGCCAAAATGTCTGCCCGTCAGCGTCACAAGTTTGTGCTGCTTGTGGTGACAGAATGCATAGTTCTGCAGCCATTCGGAGGTTACCAGCTTTAAAAGCTCTCATTAAGGGGGTGAGACCATCCTTGTCGACCCAATCTGTTGCTGTGTCGTTTGCCTGAATTGCCTCTACCATTGATTCTATGATTTCTATCGTGAGCGGCTCATCCATGCCTTAAGCAAAACAGAACTAAGCAATTAAAAATGTTGAAAAGAAAAAAAAGAAAACAGAACTTGTTGAAGTTAAAATATTTACTCATGGGGCATCCGGCGAGCAAATGAAGAGGCAACTCTTTACATTTGTTAGCTAAACGAGCCGATCTTGGATCGTGCATTAACAAGCTTCTTACCAAATGTTTGTTATTTGCTACGATTGCTTCGTGAAGCGGTGTATTGCCTTCTGCATTCTGTACCAACCAAGGTGTCTGTTCTTCAAATCTAAGGATACTCTGATGGCATAGTTCTAGTAATAGAGACAAAAAGTCTGAGGTGGACAATGTTATAGGAACATCAGTGTGTGGCATGTCAAGGTTGTCTTGATTTCCTGAAGCGACATAAGGATGATTTTGTACAAGGATATGAACCGGAGTGTCCCCATTAAGGTCTGTTTGAGAGACAAGTGACGGAAAATTTCCAAGAACTTGTTGGATGAAATCTACGAAGTCGTCATGCATTATATGGCTTTCATTTTTTATCTGTAGCAATTTATGAAGGATATTTCTTCCCTTGGAATCATGTGAGAGTAAGAATTCCATGATATCCAAATTTTCCATCCCTAATTTTCTCATTCTTTGCCTGAGAAAGGCTATGTCTCCTTTGTCCGCTGCTTTGGATTCCTCCAGTGTCATGTTTCGCTTCCCTAGCATCTGCATTATTGCAATATTCCGACATATAAAACAATATATATCTTGGCATGTGAAAAAAGAGTAATTCCTTGTTTCTCCTATTGATTAACAAATTTTGTTTCTCTTGAGTATGTGTCAAGATATGAGAGGTCCACTCAATTGACAGGCGGTCCCCGCCAGTGAAAAACATCACATTATTTTCCAAAATGTCATTATAAGAAACAAAAGTGTTTCTCGTGAAGAGAAACTGGGGCTCACTCGTGAAAAAAGACAAAGTAATCATGCTATTGTTTCCTAGTTTCAGTTCCTACAGATGAGAGTAGTACCTCAAGCAGATTATGTTGTTGTATCAATGATGCTGCCGAGACACCTTCCACGTTTTTAATACTAAGTTTCGCCGAGGATTCCAATAGAACTCGTACCATGTTAATGTCCTTATTTCTTGCAGCAATATGCAATGGTGTATCTCCTTGTAGGTCCTGACAATTTCTGAGGGCATAAATCTCTTTAAATTTAAGCAAATTTTTAACTTGTTGATAGTTTGGCATCCTAGTTATCACAAGATGTAGGATGGACTTGCCAGAAGCATCACACACCTCTGCAGACTGCGGCCAATGATAAAGTATGTTTTTTATGACCTGAAGGTTATAAGGTGAACTTAGCGATGCTGCACTATGCAGAGGAGTCGAACCGTTTGCATCAGGCCAACATGTGACATTACTCCATTTCTCTACCAGAAATAATATCAAACTTGACATATCTTCGCCGGGTACAAATGTTATAGCCAAGCCAGCTCCTCCCTCAGTGATAGGTTGTTTTATTTTGTCCATTATTGATTCACTCTCAGCTATGTATAGCACAAATACATAAACAGAAGTTAAGTATTCTTCTTCTTCAAATAAATGGTTATTTTACTCTGTTTTCTTACTTGTAAATGGTAAATGTGACAACTATATATAACAAGTCTAATTCTATTGCATGATACCAGCTAGACCTACCAGGTCACAACACGAAGCGTTGAAGCTCTTACCAGATTGTTGAAGACTACTTCGTACTTGGTAAGGCTTCGTACCTTAACATCGTAATCCAAATGTTCTACAACTTTTTTTTTTTTTTTTTTAAACTCTACATGACCATTTTATCTCTTATTGATTAATGAGAATTTATGGTAAAAGTTTTTGAAGTTTGACTCATTTATTTGCAATGGGCAAAAAAATTGGAGTTGACATACCTCTTCATCACGTTTATCAATGTACAAGTTCAACAATCAATATATTTTATTATCAGTAACTTGTTAAAAGTTTATACAATGAATGAAGGAAGTTATATGTATATAAATGATTATCAATTTATCATGTACAATTTTATTATAATCATTTTAAAGTTTATTTTAAAATATAAATTTTTATAGTGTAATACTTTTTATTACACACTGAGTACATAAATGTATATATATAAAATCTATATTGTAATTACACAGTCAATTTTTTAACATTTCACCACAATCCTCTAAAAGGACTAAAACCCCAATACTCAAATCTTATGTATTTCATTTTTTTTTTTTAAAGTACCAATAAGTGACAATAACTATTGCCTACTAATTCCCTTTATTTTTTTCAAAGGGGTCTAATAACTACAACCAATTCAGTTTATGTTGTTCTCTAGTCTATATTATAATTGTAAAGTTACTTTTAACCAGATTTAATCCAAAAGCCAAAACCTCAAATTCAATCAACTCTCCCAAAAAAAAAAAAAGTAACCACCAATAACGTAATTATCCATCCTCACCAACTTATCCAACAACTATATGAAGTGGTATTTTTTTTTTAAAAAAAAAAATGTATAATTGTATATTTCCCGTTTTCAAGCTAAGGTTACTATCACTTTTTTTTTTTTTTTTTTTGTGTGTAAATAAAATATATATAGAACTTTCAAGCTAAGGTTACTATCATTTTTTTTTTCCAATGTCTAATTGTATACTACTATACTAGTTCCTTGTTGAAGCATGCTCAAATGTGTATTTCAAAATTATTATATATTTTATAATTTAATGTAAGTTTGTGTTTACTAATTTTTCTTTAATGATATTTTTTAAGGGGTAAAATAAAAAAAGGTTTTTGGTTGGAAATTTTTTGTTATAGATGTAATACGTGTACTTTTGGGATAATATTGGTGATTTATTCAGTACTCCCTTCGTCTCATATTACAAAGCTTGTATTTTTTTTAGGTAAATCAAAATTAAAAGCCTAGTTCTATCTAAATGTTGTATTGTTTGACAATATTATTATCTTTTTGATGAGTTGTCATCTTTTGTTCTTTTTCTTTTTTGAACTAATTAGTAATGTACTTGAACATCAATTATCAATCTTTACTCTTCCTCTCCCTCTGTTCCCTTGTGTTAGTTAGAGTGAAGTGAAGCACGCATGCAGGGCAGGAACGAAAAAGATAACCTAGCGAGTAAACACCCCGCTATTTGAGAAAGATCAATAATTTTCAACTACTTTTTCTTTCTCTTTATCTATATCTAACCCTACATGCATATATGTACTCTCAATCATTAGTTTTAAGGAACCCATAACCTTCTTAATTCTTGTGAAAAAACCTAAATCGGCTTTGTATTATAAAACAGAAAAAAAGAGTAAATAATATAAAATTAAATATCACGTTTTCAAGCTAAAGTTGATTTTTTTTTTTTGGTGTATATATAAAGTTATATATAGAACTTTCAAGCTAAGGTTACTATCACTTTTTTTTTTTAAAAAAAAAGAATGGTTACTACCACTTACTATCACTTAGTATATCAATATGAAACAAGTCTACATGATGTGTAGTCATCAGACGGTAAAAGATGAAAATGTGGCCAGAAACTAATAAAGCAAAACATCATTTTTAATGTCTGTAGAGGAGTAAATAAAGCGTTGAAAATTCAACGCATTTATATTGAATGAAAGAGACAAATTAAATAAATCAACAAATAGCTGAAAAATATGCAAGTGCATTAGTGCATATGTTGGTTGGTTGGTTGGCTGGTTGGCTAGGCTAATATTGTACACACATGGTGTCCTACCGTCATGATGTCATGGTGAAGCATTGGTGTGTGGTTGAGAGCTTGAGAATTGAGATAAATGCTCATACCCACACTAGACTTTTAAGTAGGGGTAAAACTAATACGGTTTAAAACTGAATCGAAATGTAAACTAAATTGAATTAGTCATGTGGTTTGGTTTTTTGTTAATATGATTCGGTACGGTTTGAGAAATAAAAAAAAAATGTGATTTGCGGTTTGGTTTCAATTTTAGGATTTGAAAAACTGAAAATTCAAAAACCAAAACCAAAATATAGGCCCATATCTAAATTATAATAGCCCAAATATGATTTTTAGCTCTACTGTATAAGCAAAAAACAAGTTATGTTGAATCAAGCCTAAAAAAAAAGTTACAAATCAAAGCTCAAGACACTAGACCCAAAAAATTGCGGTGCGGTTTGGTTTTTGTTTTGAAAACCGAATTAAAAACGATTTGATTTGGACGGAATAATAATAGGATGCAATATGGTTTGAAAAATCCCAAACCGATTTAATATAGTTTGGTTTTAATTTGGGATATAAACCACACCGTAAACCGAACTTTCTCCGGCCTCTACCGTTTTAAGACCGTCAACATATTATATAAATTTAGCATTTTGCTTGGCCCGTTCGATGCACGGGTTATTACTTAGATTATTTTTATACGTAGGTATGCTTTTCAATAGTTGGAACTTTTGATATAAAATACGAAGTAATTGTTTCATGACCATTGAGGTAAATGAAGTTCACTGCTAAAATGTAAAAGAAACAAAGAGTGGGGGTGAGACTGTGTAAGAAGATGAAGGAATTTAGTTAGGTATATGTACATGAATATTGCGAGATATGAAATGACATATTAGTTTAAGTTTTATTTTAAGTTTAAGAGATGAAAAGACTATTTTTATTGGACATCATGTGTTTTATGTAATGTGTACTAATTAGTTCAACTTTATTTAATTATGATGGAAATGAAACACTTCATTTTCTTACTTAAATTTGCAAGTTACGGAATGTATAAAGACTTAAACATTATATAATCTATTTATTTTAATCTATACTATACATTAAAAGGCGTTCATAAATTTGTATACGTGCCACGTGTATCTCTTAGCTTCTTACACCTGTATAACGCCACATCATCATTCAACAACTTTTAAGTTCATGCCACATCATCATCCAATGATCTTAATTAAAAATGTATGCGAAGAGATTTGAACCCTAAATCTCATTGAATAGAAACCATATGTATTACCATCTTGACTAGAATTAATTCATGCTCTATTAATCCAAATTTATAAATAAATACATACATGTATTAGAATGTAGAATAAATTATTGTTGTCATTGTATTCTAATTTACCCACGTTAAAAAAATTAATAAGTCTTTTAAAGCGTCTAATATAAAAATGAAATTATTCAAAGTATCACCCGAGGTAAAGCCCGGGTCACACACTAGTTTTTATATTAAAAAGGAATACAAAAAGGAAAGATTAAGGGAGGTGACATGTGGCATATAGGTGATTTATGATGACATGTGGTATATGAATTGAATGATTTGTGGTTTGTGTTTTTAAATACTAAGTATAGATACTAGTTAAAGATATAAATTGAATACAAGTTATAAAAAAAAAAAAAAAAAAAAAAAAAAAAAAAAAAAAAGCTAAGCAAATGAGTTAAATTAAAACTAAAAAAGAATGGAAAAAAATAAGGAAAATTGGGTGCAATTACCCTGAAGTATGGCTTAGGTGTATTGAGCACCCTGAACTTTGCGTAGTAGTCAAAACACCACCAACTATGGTGTTAGGTGCGACGCGTACCTTAAATGAAAATTTACGGCCACTTATTTCATCGGAGTAGTTAAATCTTCACTCTCTAGAACAGTGATGCAGTCTTCCATCCACTTGGCATGCGTGGATTCACTTCCTCCGGTGAAATTATTGGCCGAAAATTTTCATTTAAGCTTAAGGCACGCGCGCACCTAATACCATAGTTGGTGGTGTTTTGGCTACTACGCAAAGTTTAGGGTGCTCAGTGCACCTAAGCCATACTTCAGCGTGTTGCGGCCAATTTTACCAAAAAATAATGGTCTCCTATTTTTGCAAAATGCAAGACTTGTCGGTAGACCATTGGCCACCCAGGTTATGTCGTGCCAAGAGCAAGCTTCAAGCTAAATTGTGCTAGACTAACCCACAACTCATGGCTCGAACTATATATAGATATAATAGACCGAAAACAAATATTGTATCTATGAACCAAACAAGCAAGCTAATTTAAGTACACACACCACAATAAATCTTAGCCTTACAAACAAATAAGTTGAGGTTGGGAATTGACAAACTTACAATAATTAACATGGTGTTTGATTGCAAGATGAAGTGGTGCTTCTTTTGACTTATTCACAATACAAGCCAAGGAAGGATCTTTCTCCAACAAAAACTTAGCAATCTTAACATTATCATGAACAAGTGCAACATGAAGTGGAGTGTTACCCTTTGAGTTTTGCCCCCTCCATAGCATTCGCTTCTCATCACCAAAATGATCATAGAGTAACTTCACTATACTAAAGTTTCCGACCTCGGCCGCGACATGAAGAGGGGTGTTTTCTTTGGAATTCTTCTCACATATTAACTCATTACCATCGTTTGGAAGTTTACTAAGACATGCTTCTACGAATTCGTGTTGTTCGTGTTGAACGGCGATGTGAATGATACTGTTTTTTAAATAAGTTTTGTTTAGTAAATATCTGTCGCCGTGCTGAATTTCTTGAAGAAACTCTACATTACCTTTTGCAGCGGCAACATAGAGCTTCTTCTCCATTTCTACTTCCTCTGCATTTTTCGTAGTTTCTATGTTTTCAAGACTAGAGTTATGCATTTTTTTTTTTGGCTGAGGAGTGTGTTGAGGCCGTGAGGGGGGAATAGTGTACGTTTAAGGCTTTATGACAAATAGGGCAGTTTATAGGATTCAACTAATTTTGTTGACCATGTAAATAAATTTTTTTTTTTTTTTTTTTTTTTTTTGAAAGCTGACCATGTAAATAATTCATTGGTTTTACGTTGATTTTTATCATTGGGTGATAGAAATAAATTACTTTTTTTTTTTGACAATGATAGAAATTAATTACAAGATAAGAGGAATTATGGTAGGATTAGTCATTGCTGAATTTACACTCAGTTTTTTTTTTTTTTGTTTTTTTAGGAAGTACAAATGGAGTATTGTTATGTATTTGCAAATATATAATATATTTCCTTCATTTTTTTTAATATTGCACCACTTGTCTTTTAAAGTTTTAAGAAAGTATCACAAAATTTTGTAATCCATAAATCCCTCATTTCTATTGAAACGTAAGGAGATTATTCAATATTTATTATTCAACGTAAGGAGGATACTGACACCCCTATTTTTGCTTTTAATTGGGAAACTATGGAGGTTTATCAAGGAAATGTTGTTGAGATAGACCTCCGATTTCTGCGCACTATGGTCATTGGCGGACCTGGCCTTGTGCATGGTGAGTCATTTGACTCACCAGGGCCCAAAAAAATATTCTAAGTTTTTTTTTTTTTAAAAAAAAAAAAGAAAAAAAAATTATTTTCTTTGGTTGATTTTGTTGTTGTTTGTTTGGTAAACTTTGAACCTCTTGTTAATGTTGCTGGGTTTTTGATGAAATTTGAACCTTTTTTACCATGTGAATTGTAGTCAGTGTTTATTTAGGGTGTTTATTGATGTCAATTATGTCTGTCAAATTGTCAATACACCATTGGCTTTGGTAGATTTATATGGGGTTTTGCATATGTGCTGATTTGATTGGAGATTCGGACGATTGCTTATGATATAGTCGACCCACCCTAATGATATAGTCAATTATGTCTGTCAAATTGTCAATACACCCTAATGCTTGTACAGATTTTAATCTTGTCAATTATTAGAGAGCTAAGCTTGTCATGTTGTCAAAATTTTTCTTACGTATTTGGTTAACGATTGTGACTCATCAGTCGGAAATTCCTGGGTCCGTCACTGACTATGGTGAGTGAAAGTTTGCATTTTTTCATGTATCCGGGGACCTCTTCTGCATGCCTTGGACTCTCTCATCAGGCTACCACGTCACTTTCGATGTTTTGAATGGAAAAGTTTAGGATGTACGGGAAGGTATTGCATTACTTGATATGATGTTTGGCAAAACATAATGCTTTTTATTACCTCTATTCTTGGAGAATTATTATTGAGGATACGGAATTATTTTTGGATCTACACTTTGGAAGAGATCGAATCTGTCTGCTTAGCTTGGAATTAGAGGTTTTGGTGTTCTCTTACTGCAAATTGTTCCTAGGGTGCACCCTTGTCAGATCAGTACCAAAGCATGCCTAATGCAGAGGGAAACCCTTGTCAGTTGTCACCAATTCACCATTTATAGGGAGAAAGATTTTAAATTAGAAATCAGTGCTTGTAAATAGTGAATGGCAATCTATTTTGCTTGGCTTGGCGAACCTAATATGAATTTTTTTTATTTACACTCGGAAACAAGTTATACCCAACTAACATAAGGTTAGTTTTTGCTCATCATTTGATGACTAAATGTGTAAAAATCTGTCAAAATGAGAAGAAAAAAAATACTCTTTGGTATACCTTGTACCCGGATACATGTAACAATCTCGATCTCCATATAATATCTTCTAATCCGTATTTGTACTCATTGAAGTGTTTGGCTTAACATCTCTATTGTTTCTTATGCCTGTCACATACAGGTGCCAAGGAAAAGGGATAGCTGTAACCGTGATGGTTCTTTTTGGTGGGAAGCAATGTGATCTGATTAGTATTTATCTTAGATGGTTTCAAGGCAAAGACATTAAGAGTAGGCATCCTATTTCCAAGGGAGATTGCAAGGGAGATTATTTTTTGGAAAATTAATCAAGGGCCTCTACTTCACGATGTTTATGGGAGAATTGATTTAAATTTATAATTTATTTTAGGAATTTTTTTTTTTTTTTTGAACTAACCACCTATTACAATTGTCGTTTTATTAATAATTTTTTTTAATTTTTATTTTACCACCTACTATTTTAATAAATTATTATATTTTTCTACTAAATTCTCAAGCTCTCCTACATGATGTTATTGTGCCTTCTTTTTTTATAACATAAGAATGGTAGATAAGGGTGGATAATACGAATGGCAGGGGGAATACAAAGAGGGAGAGGTTCATAAATAGGAAAAATATTGGGAAGAGGGGTGGTGTAATTCTTCGAAAAAAAAAGAGGGAAAAGTGTAATGGAAATTTGGAGGGAGATTAGATGGGAGGGACATTCTAGTATTTTTAACCTCTCTTCTTTTTAAACTAGCTCCAATAATCACAATTAACGTTTTGATTATTGTAGTAAATTAGGGTGAAGTTTGAGTGTATCGTTGATAATCAAAGTTTAATGATATGTATCAAAGATAAAAGTCAAAATCAGAAGTGTACTATTGATAAATTCCCTCTAAAAATTGAAAAAAATTAAAAATATATGGTAATAGTTTATTGAAAAATAATGGATATGAAAGGAAAAAAATAATAATTAAAAAAATAGCACTAGATTTGGATAGAGACCATGTGAAAGAGATATAATACTAAAATGTAGGGTTGAGCAAAAATTTCGGGTACCCGGTATTGGAATTGGAACCGGTTAGGAACCGGCGGGTTCGGAGTCGGAATTGGACCCGGTGGTTCCAATTCCAGGTAATAAATTAAGAAACCGGTTGCAACCGGTTCCAATTCCAATTCTCAATTTTTTGGACCCGGAATCGGTTGGGTACCCGATTACCTAATATATATATATATATATGTATGTATATATATATATATATATATATATATATATATATATAAACAAATATATGTTAAATGTATCTAGTTAGTAAAATAAAAAAAAATATTATAATAATACCAAACATAAATAAAATAGCTTTATGCATATATAAATATAAGTATTAAACGCTTAAAATGAATTGGATCAAAATATTGTATTAAATTTTAACAATTATGTACATTAGTGGGTACCCGGCGGTTCCAATTCCAATTCTTATATTTTAGGACCCGGTTGAAGTGGTTGTTAGGTTTACAGTTAATTCAAGGCTAAAAACACTTAATAAATTGTGTGGGACAAAACCTAAGTAAAGTGATTACACTAACAATATAATGTAATACAAACAAACACAACCAATGTGTTACAATCAAGTATTAATATCACTAAGAAATTACAGAAATTTCTAATGACAACACTAATGTGAAGTTTAATTACACTTGCCTTAACTCCAAGCCAATCAACCAAGCATGAACATGAGAATTGCAATGTCCCTTGAGACTATGATCTTGATACACTGTCAAAGGCGTATGAATACTTTCCTAAAGGAATTAATTTCCCCCACACGGTGCTTGGGTTGATCCGGAAATTCCCTTTGAGATACAATTGACAGCACTTTCCGTTCTTAGCACAAAGAATCGAAAACCGATGGATGATTCACAACGAAGGCTAAAATCAAGAGGTTTTCCTCAAAATAGTTTGCAAGAAAATTTAGAGAAAAGTGGAGAATTCTTGGGGAGAAGATGAAGATAATAATGTCCTGTGTATCTGTTTCGAAAGAAACTCCTCTATATAAAATAGAATCAACCGTCGTATAAAACCGCAAAACAGCAAGAAGCGCGGGCGCGAGCGAAGAGGCGCGGGCGCGCCACACAGAGGAGCGGGCGCTCCACCAGGAGGAGCGGGCGCTCCTCAAGGAGGAGCGGGCGCTCCTATAGTAGGAGCGGGCGCTCCTCTTCTGGAATCTCAACTTTCTGAATTTCCAGAAAGTTGACGTGATTTTAGCGCGGTTTAGGCGCGGGTCGCGCCGTGCCATGACGCGGGCGCGCCAACCGGAGGCGCGGGCGCGCCTCCAAACTTTTCCAGAATTTCCAGAAACTCATCGCGGTTTATGCGCGGTTTTGTCGCGGGTCGCACCTAGCTGGCGCGAGCGCGATTCTGAAGAGCGAGCACTCCTCCGACACTCTAAATTATCAACAGTGGTTTCAATTCCAATTCTAGATTTAGGACCAGGTTCCAATCAATTTCGAGTCCGGTTCCTAAAATTTTGATCGGGTACCCAGTTTGCTCACCCCTACTAAAATATAGTTTTCGATATGAGAGCGTTTTAAGCACCTGTCATTCTGTCAAAGATAACAATATCTAATAATGGACTCATGTTAACCTTGGATGTTATAACTAAATAAATATACACCGAATAAAGATTCTAAAATAGAGGGAAATTCAAAGAAAATAAACCCAAAAATATATCGACCGTTGGGCCTCCATCTAACCATCTCTCTTCATTATCCACATCTATCTCCATTCATCCAAATAAAACAATCACCCACGAAAACACAAACAACTTTATAACACAAAACTAACCCAATTTTCCTACAAAATTTAATCACTGAGCTTCGATTCAATGGCTTCTATACCAAACCCAGTTTCTCTAATTTATCAAAAAACATTACACAGAACTTGTTACACTAAACCCACTTCAATTAACACCACCATTAAAGCCATGGCTAAAGAGCTCCACTTTAACCATGATGGTTCTGTCACTAAGAAACTTCAGGTCAACCATTTCTTGACATTTTTGGACCATTTCACCTTTATTTTTGAATTTTTAATTGTTGATTTTTTATTTTGTAAGTTTTACATTTATTAAATTTTTAATCTTTTTGTGGCAATTGTAGGCAGGGGTGAATTTGGTGGGAGATTTGTTAGGGGTGACATTGGGTCCAAAGGGAAGAAATGTGATTTTGCCAAATAAATATGGACCTCCCAAGATTGTCAATGATGGTGAGACTGTTCTTAAAGAGGTTATCTACTTTGCTTATACTTTGTACCCATTTTATTTCATCAATTCTGTTATTAAATTAGTATGTTGGGATGATATAAATATTATACTTCCCTGCAACCCTAAATAATCGGCCACATTTATATTTCGGGTTGTCCCCTGTATCAATTGGTCATTTTGTGTAGTACTTGGTATGTTGAAATGTGAACTTATCATAATATCCTTAATAAAAGACGACTAAAGAATTAAGTTATTAATTATGTACACAACATATGTATGGTGGGTACACAAACTATGATGTATTAACTCAATTTCCTTAAAAGTGATTTTGGATCAATGTAGCTTATTTCAATTAATAGTGGAATTTCGTTCATAAGTTCATGTTTAGCAGATTTCAGAAATCTATGCATTTTGTGAAACAGTGCAATTTCTAACAGACTAGACTAGCATTTTTTATATGTGAAGGTGCTACCATTTCATTTTGTATGAAGTTTTCATTTGTAATTAACTGATCATACTTTAGATTGAGTTGGAGGATCCTCTAGAGAATGTTGGAGTAAAGTTGGTGAGACAAGCCGGTGCTAAAACTAATGATCTTGCTGGTGATGGTTCTACAACGTCGATTGTTCTTGCTCGTGGTCTCATTGATGAGGGTGTGAAGGTAATCATATCCCTATCCGAAAGGGTCACTGCTAGGACAATTTGCTTTAATTTCATAATTGCACTTAATTTATTCCTTAGTTAAGGAATAAGGACACCGTTAAACTAAAAGCCTTATTCTTGGTGTTGTTTTCTAGCTTCTTAATTACTTGTACTAATGGTGCAACTCTTAAGGTCATTGCAGCAGGCAGGAATCCTATCCAGATTTCACGTGGGATCGAGAAGACAGCAAAGGCCCTTGTTTCCCAGCTTAAGCTAATATCTAGGGAGGTGAATTACTGTTCTTCTATTGTTTCTCAATGCTTTAGCCTCATGAAAACCTCAAAGAAAGGAAGAAATTTAAGAGTTCATATTCATAGTACTTAAATTAAGTTTGCAAAAATAATGCAGATTGAAGATCATGAAATTGCAGATGTGGCTGCTGTTAGTGCAGGAAATGATTATGAAGTTGGCAATATGATTGCTGAAGCTGTTGCAAAAGTAGGGAGGAAAGGAGTTGTGAGAGTTGAGAAAGGAACATACACAGAAAACAAACTGCAGATTGTAGAAGGGATGCAGTTTGATCGTGGGTACTTGTCTCCTTATTTTGTCACAGATCGACGAAAAATGACTGTAGAGTATGATAACTGCAAGGTAGGTTTTATACATCAATGATCTGTTTTCTATGATCTTCTTCTGAGGAGTGATCAAAGGATTAATTGTTCACCTGGCAGGTTCTTTTGGTGGACAAAAAGATCACTCATCCGAAGGAGGTGTTCAAAATGTTAGAAAATGCAGTTCAGGGAGATTTTCCAATTTTGATTGTTGCAGAGGGCATAGAGCAGGAAGCTCTGGCGCCAATAATCAGGAACAAACTGAAGGGTGCTCTGAAGGCTGTTGCTATCAAGGCTCCAGCCTTTGGAGAACGTAAAAGTCATTGCTTGGATGACATTGCTATATTGACAAGAGGTAGTTCCTTAACTGTTCATAAGAGTTACATTTATGCTTCCCTAAAGCAGCCATGATCCAATTTAAGCTTGACCACATTGTTATAGCTTATGTTGCTCGGACTCATCATATCTCCTCACGTACCTTTGTCACGTCCTCAAATACCAAAATGGGTGTACACTTTGTATCTTTTTAAAAGTGTGCTCTTTATGTTCTCATGCACTGTGCAGGAACTGTGATCAGAGATGATATAGGCCTCAAACTAGAAAAGGCGGGAATAGATGTATTAGGAACTGCTACTAAAGTGATCATAACCAACAAATCTACTTTAATTGTTACTGATGGAAGTACAAGGCAAGCTGTTGAGAAGAGAGTTTCTGAAATCAAAGCATATGCTGAGGTAACGCATCAAGTTCTTCACAGATATGGCCTATCATATGAACTATAGAACTTTGATATGTCAGTATTGATCTAAATACTGTTTAAAATATCAATGGCATCAGTGCTGTGGAGTGTGGAATATCGAAGAAATATGAACAGGTGTATTATTCTAGTTCCTAGGAAATACCTTTTTTAGGCATTATAATGTTCTGTTTGATTTTGAAGGTTTGAGCTTGTAAGATAATATCTGGCTAGATATGTGCAGAGGATATTCGCTGACAGTTTTTGTATGGTTTCCTTGCATGATGCTTAGTTTTTAATATGCTATTGCTCAATCTCCAGAATGTCGAAGAGAACTTTCAACGTAAAATTCTGCATGAGAGAATAGCAAGGTTATCCGGGGGTATTGCTATCATAGAGGTAATTTCATAATTTATCTACAGGAACGGGTACCACGTGTTGCGGACATATTGTGAAAATGAAATGACTATATTGCAGCCTTTTGCAGGTGGGAGCTCAAACACAGATTGAGCTGAAGGATAAACATCTAAGGATTGAAGATGCTTTGAATGCAGCTAAGGTACTGTCATTGATTTATTCAGTTTATATATTTTAACTTCAAGGAGATTATATTAACAATTATTCCCCTTGTCCCTAAATAATACGCCACATTTGATTCATGGTCTTTATAAGGATCTCAGCTAAAATACCAAAACTATCCTTTACTGTCCAAAATTTACTTCATCTTACCAATGTAACTTTTCGTTGGGATTATTAATGTAGAACGTCATTGAGGATATTATGGGTAAGTTCCAATTTAACTTACTAAATTAGCAAGTGACCTATTATTTTGGGACAAACTAAAATCAAAATATGACCTATATTTTAGAATGGAGGAAGCATATGAGCCTATAAAATTGAGTCTAAGCATAGGACAATTCATGAAGAAATCAAAGAAAGGCTCCTATGATCTTTTTTAGGAGCAGTATCAAGGAAAGGTTTTGTTTGACCATTAGAAAAATTGAAATTTGGGCACGTTGTTTATTGCTCTCATAAGTCATAACAATAGCTAACCATTTTACGTGGCTAAATAACAAGAACTGAATCCTTACAATCTGTTATCTACTTATTTCTACTCTTGCTGTCTTGCATCTTGAACATACTTGCTAACAACCCATGTAAATTTTTGTCAACTCTTGTCTCTAATCTCAATAATGACATTTTGCAGGCGGCTATTGAAGAAGGTGTTGTAGTTGGTGGAGGATGTTGTCTCTTACGGCTGTCATTGGAGATTGATAAAATCAAAGAGCAGCTAGATAATGAGGAGCAAAAGGTGATGCAGCACTCCCTTTTGTCTTTCTTTTAAATTATTAAACTTGGAAAATTGCTTAATTATATGCAAAACAAACTCATGATGTCTATAGCCAATGATTATGATCTTGCCTTCTTTGAGTACCCTTAATTATGTTCTTTCTGAGCTGCTTAAATGTTTAAAATGTCATATGTAGCTCAAGGAATGTACTTATGTTTAAACTTCAGAACTTGTCATAACATCAAATGAATGTTCGGGGGTATTCGTGTTCAAATTATTTAGAGCATTCCTTGAGAAATGAGACTGAATTTGAGTTATATCTACAGATTGGAGCGGACATCTTCAGACAGGCTTCGGCCTACCCAATAAAAAAGATCGCAGAAAATGCAGGTGTTAATGGCAGTGTGGTTGTACAAAAGGTCCTGCATACTGTTTTGCTGTTTTCTGCTCTGCTCAAAATGTGTAGGCATATTGCTTAAATTTAACTCTGAAACTATTGTTGCAGGTTCTTGCTAATGATAACTTGAGATTTGGGTACAATGCTGCACGTGACTGTTATCAGGATCTAATGGAAGCTGGGATTATAGATCCTACAAAGGTATATATAAGTTCAAATGTAATTTTTCCTATTACTTACGGAAAATAATTATAGTAATGTGCTTTTTCAACTTGCTTGGATAATGTAGTATGTTCAAAGTATAGCATTCTAGCTCCGTTTTGAATTACTACTTTATTAATAGAAATGTTAAAGGACTATAGAGGCCATCAAGCCAACTATCATTAATACACGAAAAGATTTGACTATTTGAGTACCAAGCTGAAGTATTAATGGAAGAGAAATGCATCAAAACCAAAGAACTCATTGTATTCTTCTTGTTTTCAGACTGTTTGAAGGGCCAAGCCATGCTCTTTTAGTGTTGATCTTATGTAAAAAAAAAATGCACACTTATCACTCCCCTTGCCGTTAACTTCTTCACATCTTGTATTCTTGTTAATACATGCTCTGTTGCAAGTGACAACAATTTTTGACATTTCCCTCACAAATGTGAGCAGGTAGTCAGGTGCTGTTTGGAGAACGCTGCATCTGTTGCAAAAACATTTCTTACATCAGATGCTGTAGCTGTTGACATTGAGGAAAAACAACCATTTCCAAGGAGACCTCCAATGCCACCAATGCCCATGTCAGGTAATTTTGATTTGTAAAATCAAGTGATCACTTCTCCTGCAGCAGTTTAGCAGACACTGAATTCCAGTTGATTTGATGAAACCAATACTACACTTTTTCATTTAGGTGTCGGGCCTCTTGGGATGTAATCGATTTACATACACAGATGTGTCTTTATCATATAGCAGCCAAATTTGATCTTATTTTTTTCCAAGTTAGAAATAGAGATGATCCTCAATCAAATGGAATTTCTTCTCTTACAATCAAGCTTCGGAGTGTATTTGTATTACATGATCATCATGAAGTTAGATGATGGGCTTCTGCAGTGCCAGCTGGTGTCAGAGTTGCTCTAAAAGAATTAAGATTAAGGGCAGTAGCTATTGTATCATTCATTCCAAAATCAAAATATTTTGATGTTTGTACATACACTGATCTATATGTAAATCAATAGCACTGTAGTCTGCAAAGCTTACTACTTATTCCAAAATATAAAGTAATAAACTGATAGAGCATTAGATTGATAATGAATGCATGCATAAATGCAATTTTTACATGTATTTACCGTCTTAATTAGATGATGCCAAAGATTATGGGTTTATGGCAACAAATTTATGCTTTCTTTCTAATGATTTTTATTTATCGCTGACACAATGATGTATTACTCCCTCAATCCCTTTTTGTTTGTACCATGGACCCACTTTATGTGAGAGTTTTTTTGGATCAAATGTTGCAACCAATAAAAAAAAGAGGGAGTATGAGATATTATAGGAAGAATGATGTCCATGTTAAAATATGTATTGAATTAGTTTGCCCCCATGAATGAGAATGCCTCAGCGTAAGGGTCTCATGATCTCATCTATATATGAACGTAGCTGACACATAGTGAGTGAACCACAAACATCTTTGTGTGTAATTCTTCGTTAATGCTTCTTCCATCCATAACAACATGCCCTTCACTGATTATTCTTAATTGAACCGATGATTATATAGTCAATCAAATCTTGTATATAATTTAAGAGTCGTTTTTGCAACACTTAACCACATCACTCCAAAACCCCAACTCTCAATTCTCATGCATTTTTTTTTTTTTTTTTTTTTTTGTGTGTGTTTAATAAAATAACTGCATGCTACAACTCCAAATTAACACTTACCCATCACTTCCTTTACCCAAATAAAAAAAATAAAATAAAAAAAAATCTATACCTTTCACTTACTATTTCTTTTTTTCTTCCCTAAACATACCTATAAGCCGTGCAGTAGCACGGTACATTCTAGTTTTAGAAAATTACAAAGATCAATCTAATTATCAGAATAAATGTCATTCGTGTTTGTAATTTTAAAAGCAACCCAAAAAGCTGAAACAAACAATTATCTTCAAAACTGAAGATTGAAAATTTCCTACAAGTAGAAATTTTTCGCAATGGAGTAGTTTCCTCGAAGCATTTCTCTATTTACTTGCTTCATTGATGTACTTTAGCCAAAAGGGTAAAGGGTTCATCATATATGCTTCAAAAGATTGAACATGTCAATTGTAATCCACAACTTAGATAGATAAAACACAAGGAGCAAGGCCAGTAAGGTTATGCTCATACATATCTAGTTAGGAATCTTAAGATAGCCACAGCACATATTGACGCTTGATCTTCAATTCAGGAAAAAAAAAATGGTTGCAAAAGTACGCGTATACAATAAAATTGATTATAATTTGCAATGGCTAATTTTCTCCAATATAATGCAGAAACATTAAATTGAACGCTTAAATTCCTGACTCATGAAATGGAGAATTTTCTAGCTAAAAGAACAAACTGCAAGCTCCAAATTTCTTACTAAATTTACAGATCGATCACACGAGACAGCTTCTGGATTCTGTTTAGTAAGAAATCTCCTTGCTTGATAGTTGCTTGATAGAGAGCATTTTTCGCATCAGGCCGGTTGGTCTCAAGGACACCAGCTACCTTGTCAATTTTGCAGTGCAGCTTTCCAGCTGCTATAAAGCGAGACAACTCCCTGGAAAACCAAATTTTAGTTCTCAGAAGAGTAAAAATTAGCAAATATGTCTCATCTTACACAAAGGGAACCTAAACAGATGAAGGGGGTAATTGACCAATTTCAACTTTCCGTTGCTTCAGCAATTAAAAAAAAAGGAGGAAGGGCAAATAAAAAAGGCCTCAATCCAGATCCAGCTTTATAAGCTTTTTTTTAATGGTCATCTGATCTTGGTTCTCCATTATAAATATTTTTCAAGGACTGAATACTTTCAGCTATTTAGGGGGCTGATTTAGAATTTCAAATGCCATAAGAAAACACTTTTTTTTCAAGCAGCTCGAAATCAGACATTTTTCCACCACAAAGTATAATTAAGAATACTCACAAGTCAATAAACTCCACTGTCACGCCAAAAGCCTTTGCCATTGCTTCTATGGTTACACTCTTGTAAGATTCCAGAAACTGAGAGTAGACGACAGTCCTGACCTCCCTCATGTAATAGCGGAAGTGTCGATGCAAATAGCGGTCAAACTTTATTTGTTCCGTCAGACCAGCTGCACATCACAAAGAGATAATTGATGACCATTATTACCCATTAATTTGCAGCAGCATCTAAACTGAAAAATTAAATTTCCAGGGAGAGGACAGAGGGATGATGAGCATGCCCACTATTACATTGAGTTACTTTCCAACCCACCCCCTTCCCCCACAATTCCTATCCGCACACCAAAGTCTGCTTACCATGGTAGACTGATAGAGCCAAAACCACAGATAAACTAGCCAAAATGATGGCAAGTACCAAAACACAAGTGAAATATGCAATAAATGAGACATGAAGTGATCACAGTAGGCAAAAAAGTAACTAATCTTACTCACCAAATGCAGAGAAAAACGACTTGTATTGACAATCATAGAGTGAATTCAGGAACTCGGACAAATGAGGAATTTTGCCGATCACAGTTAATATCTCAGGTGCATCCACTACCTGTCACACATGTCCATGAACATTAATACATACCACTATGTCAATAGAAAAACAAATTCAGGGGGCAAATATAAAGACATAAAATTACGATTAAATTACCTTTTGTTTCAAAGAAACTCTATCAAGAGATATGATACTGGTAAGGACAGTGTAGAATATAAAGGTATCATAAGGGAACAGCTCATATGTTGTGAAAGTTGAGATGGAGTCCAAAAATAAGCTTGCTGCTTTCTTGAAATTTCGGGTAGACATGCAATAGAGCCCCTCATACACCTTCAATCGATTTTTTCTTTCCCAATCACCTCCCTCCTCAAACAGGCTGAATTAAGAAATAGATAGAATAAATAAATAAATAAAGAAAAACAAAAATTGATTGAGACATTCAAGAATCTGAAGAGCAATATATTGCAGAGAATTATGATGATTCCATGCAAACTTACTTTTTGGCTTTGTCTATGCTTTTGGAAATCAGATCAAAGTCCATGTCAAACAATCCAACTTGAAGAGTAAAGAACACCAGATCCATTTTCTGCCCAACTGCAACAGTTTTGGTCTCAGTTACCTTGAGCTGCTCCAACGCTTTATCCTAGATATAAATCAGATTAAGAAATGGAATGAAGTAACATTACAAAATAAACAGCCCTAAACCCCTAAAACTTAAGAGGAATGATCTGCTGAAGAGGTCCTTACTTTATCACCAGTTCTTATGTAGAATAAAGACTTTGCCAAATGAGCTTCTCGAACTTCACTTTCGCCCAAGTTTTCTTCAGCATCAGCTATCCTACACAAAGAACAGATAAAAAAAGGTCATAAAGCTGTAAAACTACTTTTCCAGTGAGCTTCATAGTAGTATTTATAAGATGCATAACCATGCAACAGGCAAAGATATTAAACAAACTAAAACCACTACTTACCCTCTAAATAAAAAGTAAACAGAAAATCAAACATTGACTAGTCTAGCATGTAATATGAACATAGTATGATCCCTGGCCAGCGTTAGTAACAGAAAATATAAAAATTATCTTCTTTCTTTATCAAACTAATCAAAAAAGTTAAAAGAGGTAAGATCATATTGATCAGAAATTAAGGAATCTTTCCAATACAATACAAAACAATACAATACATAAACAAATCTACACTCAAACAGCTCAATCCATCAAACTCCAGAGATCACAACAAAATCATGTTATAGGACTTTATCCTTCATACTTTAAGAGAGAGAGGATGTTAATAGGAAGGAATCAAGGACAATTACAATTTTAATTGAATGTTTCAACCAAAAAAATGTTTACCCTTTTACTCATGACTGAAAACAATTTTAAGCTAGTTTCTGGGGACAACACTCAATTGTATGCCTCACTAACACAACCTTTGTAAATGAACAAAGAACCAATATTCTGCACTTGGATGTATCATGTCTGTGCTTTTATTGAACTCAAAAGTAATACAAATACTATGTTTCACACCAGTAGGTAAACAACGGTGTAACTAGGAAAATCTAGAAGGCATGAATCCTCAGATGTCTCTTCATTTCCACCTCTCGAACTTTACCAGATATGATAAAGCCGCATTTTCAGGAATTGGAACGATATCAACGAGCATCATACATCACTGGATCATTGCACTTCATCCAAAACACATGGCAGTGCTTCATTTTTAAAGCCAAATTCTATAACAAATTCACAATTGGGGATTGAAAGAAAGGAATTTACGACTTAATCATCATCTAATTCCTGTTATACATCACAGCAAAATTGTTGAAAATTTAAGTTCTCAATATTAATTGATACACTAAGTACCTATGCAGAATAAAAACAAATGTTTAACCTGCTTCTCCTATCAAAGATAGGCCCTTCCTCAACTAATAGCAGATAAACTGTAACAAATATACCCTTTCCTAGATTCTTTTATTTGCAACATATATCACATAGTCTAGCAGCTTACGTTGGGGAGCTAAAGAAATGGAAAACTAAGTCAAGTAAACTTTAACACATGAAATACTTGTTTGTAATGAATATCAGAGCTAATTATCCATAAAATTCTAACACCTCCCCCCCCCCCCCACAAACACCCTTCCTTCCCCTATTAGGCTATTACAAAGAGACATGCAAATTCAACGTAAGGGTCACCACATATTTGTAGGTAATCAGAGATTCAAAAGCTAAAAACAGTGGAGCTATATGGTAGTAAAAGAAATATGTAAAATTTAACAACCAATATTGAAGATTTGGAGGTCAATATTGATCCACTAAATAGTACAGCAATAGACAACGAGCATGATGGAGCAGGCAGATCTATTTAGACAGTGATAAGCCCCTCTGATGTATAGTACCACATAATGCTACTCTCATTTCACCTCAAGTACCCTTGTCGGATCCTAGACTCTCGGGATAGACACTTCGACATTCCATTTTGGGTCAATTTTAGAAATTTTAATGCGGACAACTTGATTACCCAGGTCAAAGTAACATAGAATTACCCAAATTGATGACCAACACATCAGTAATGGCAACACCCCCGAAGCATATTTTTGTCAACACTAATGGTTTCATTTCACAGACTAGAAGAATTCCAGCTCAATAGAATAAAAACAGCATAGAATAAAACCCTAAAAAATCAAATCAACTTGCATTCAACAATAGTAACTACAAAATTGTACAGAAAAACTCAATTCAACCATCCAACAAACCCTAAATCAAAATTCACATAAGACTCACTTCTCATCAAGCTTCTTAAGCTCATCTTCAATACTTTTCCGCATCGAATCAAGCACCGATTGATCCAACTCCAACACTCCATCACCAGCTAGGGTTTCATAAAGCGAAACCATAACTGCAAAATCAATAAAACACAAAATTAAACACAATTTGATTCTAAAAAAATGACTGAAATGAAGGATTAGGGTTTGAATCGAAAAAAAAACAACTTACAATCAGATTTGATGGAAGATAAGACCTCATCTTTGAGACGAACTTTCTCGATATCCTCAACATCGGGATGAGTAAGGTGGAAGATCTTGTTAGCGAGTTTAAGGTGCTCATTTTGCGAATCTTCTTTAGCTTCCATGGCTTCTTTCTTCGAGTTTCTCTCTCCTCTGTGAGTAAAGAGGTTTTTGTGTTGTTTGCTTGGAGAAGGAGAAACTGTAATTGTAGAGATTAGAGAGTAGAGAGTATGTTTGTATTTCCTGAGAAAACAATGTTACTTTTTCTCTCTCTGGCTAAGAATGAGTTTTGGGCCGGACAGTCGCCTGTTAAAAAGGGCTTGCTTATAGATGGTTTTAAAAACTGACTTGATCCGATAAAAATCCCGGTTTGAGGACACAATAATTTTACACAACTTACCTTTGAAATAGACTTGATCTAATCCAACCTCACCGAACTCAACCCAAGTAACCAAATTGACACATCTACTTGCTCATACAAGTCCTTCTAGTATGAGGCATTATATACAGCAAATTGAGTGTAGTAGTAGGCTGATAGGTTTTTGTTTGAAAGAATCCCGACATTTTTCAATGTACTTTGTAGGAGTCAAAAGTGTTTTCTTCACTTGAATTAGAGAGATCTTGTAACTTCATTGTAGATGAACCCAAATAGATTACTTGTATATTCTTGAAGTGTTAAATTTGGCAAATTACCACTAATAACTTTTATGATGGAGAGAAAAAAAAAATTGTATCATTCGTGTTTTTAGTTAATGGTGAGATTTTGCCTTGGTTGGGTATAGTCATATGCATTAGTCAATTAGCTCGATTAGCAATATTTGAGCAAGTTTGCTAAAACATTGGATCAAATACTTCACCAGATTCGGGGGCTATTTAAAATAAATAAGACATACAAATTGGTACGCATTCCACTAGCTATTTTGCGATTTGTGATTTGTGATCCTGAATCGAAAGCATATTGTACATGTCTAATCAAAGCACATAAATCGAGTGGGCATGACATGTACCACAAACTCTCTTAATACATTCTTGTTCTGATGATCAAGATACATAAGAGTTGCCTCTTTGGATTTGAAACGTGAAATTAGCAACACCAATAATACTAAGTAATTCAAACAAACAGAGATCACATATACTTCTAATATTCATACTATACTGCTCTTTACAGTGTCATAAACTCACAATCCAAAACTCAGGTCAAAATGTATCGAAAAATTTAGCTTTGTATCTCAGTATCTGTCATTGTCAGCATGTCACCTGCTAGCAACTGCATCAGCTTGGTCAATAGGGAAGGTTGCCTTCAGGAAGTTCCCAATTATCATTATCAAAATCATCATCTTCCTTCTTTGGAGTATCAGTATTATTCTGTTTTGTAACTTTTGGCTGAAAACGCCTGTATTAACAAGTATTAAATTGAATTCTACAACAGCCCAGAAATAATATTAAAAATGTCAATTCCAATAAGAAAGCAGCAGAAGATCAAGCTCTCTCAAGTCTCCAACACAAATTAAAAGGTACAAAGCATATCAGAGAAACACAAAGTAGCAGCTGCAAGATGCTATGGAGTATTAACGATTCTGTAAGTAGTATACTGAAGAACCTTTTCATCTGTCAAAGTCGCATAATATGTCAACCAGATTTTAAGTACAGAGGGATTAACACGGAATATCAGTAGAGGAAACTGTAATAACATACAAAACTCACATCACATCATAGGCAAAATGATACTTTTCTGTCCCTAAATAAAAGCCCCGTTTCTGTCAAAACTCTTGTGCCTAAATAAAAGCCTCATTTCCCATTTGGGTAGGGTCAATTATCCATTTACCTCGTTTCTCCGTCAATATTAACCAACAAAACCTCCTTAACCCACTATACATTCTCTCACTTCCCCTAAAACCAATAAATTGTTACAACCACCTCTCTTTCTATTCAACTTTAATCAACAAAACCCCACTACATTCCTATCCTAAAACCGCATGCACAGGAGAAATGTGGCTTATTTAAAAGCAAAAGGAGTAAATAATATAGCACAGTTGCATAAGTAAGCAATACTGCAATAGCAAGCATAAAATTAGGTTGCAGCTTCTCAAGTCTCACAAGGATAATGAATGCTAATTTGTTCCAAAGATTCCATGTAAACAATCTCACATTTGGTAAAAGATCTGTCATATTGGTTGTTAAGTTGCATGACATAATAGACAAGACTCCCAATATTCCGTTCTCTTTTGAATCAAGTATTACATCAAGCAGGGTTAATAGCTCTAATACTCCTTCCGCAGCGTATCAGAATTGGAATCTTAGGACATAAATTTTATACTACGTATAAGATAAAGAGGGAAACAACAATGTTATTAATGAATCTCAGATTCGTTCAGTAGGAAACTACCTAAACAGTGTTAGCTTTGCCCATCAAAGACTTTGCAGTGCATAATTCACAAAATGATATTTGCACAATACAAGAAAGCTTCAGGATCCCCTATAGGTGTTATAATATAACCACAGCTGCAGCAAAATTAACTATAAAATTGTTCATCTCCCGAAAACATTAAGTCCTCAAATACCAAATACACTAAAACTTGGTCAAGATTACTCTGGTGAGTCTAGACTCTGGTCAAAGGAGTAACAGAGTATACCAGAACATCCAAAGGAATGCAGATGTATAAGCATCATGTCTGTCCGAGGAGTAACTTATGTTTTCATTGCGCCTCATATGACTTCTTCTAGATTTCTATTAGTCAATCATATTATTCAATATTCATAGAAACCATGAAACCAAAACCTTCATCTCTAAAAGCCTCAAATTCTAATCCTTCACTATCATTCACATGTTTAAATTTTATAGTAAGTCAATCCGTATTTCAATTTCAGCTCTTTCGTCCGCTTTTCTTCCTCAAGCAAAATATAACTCCATAAACAAAACCTAAATTTGGAGTTAAAATCTTAAAAAAAGACAAATTTCTGTAGTTAACTTATTAGCAAAATCTCAGTCCTATAGTCCATAACTCCATACTTCACAAAGCCACAAAAATTCCTTAAAATGACAAGAACACATAAAGAGGAGAAAAGTCTGCAGCTAAATCTTCAAACTTCCTTCACCAATTTCTCCTGACTCATATAAGAATCATGTTTACAAGTTTGGGACAGAATTCTGTAGCTGGTCGCCAGATGAAACACCATGTAAAGCTCAGTCAAGCTCAATCGAACAACAACAAACTCGATTGGCTTACCTCAATGCTCATCACAAGGCCCAACAACACATTACCCCACCTAAATTCTATTCTTAATTTAAACATGAGTTTCCAATCATTGTAACTCACAAACCACTTCTAATTCTGCTTCAATTTTCATCATTACTGTTATTAATCATGAAATATCTTATACTATCACCAAAAAAAAGTTAAAAAACCATCACAACTTCACAAGTTCACAACCACACCCCACCCCAAGCAAAATTCTTCTCTGAAGGTTTGTTTGATGACTTTGATACTTTGATGATGGAATTTTCACATTTTTACCAAAATTCTAATTTTATAGGGTGAGTTTTGAGTATTGAATACCAAACAAACCAAAATAAAACTCCAAAACCACATACAAAAACAAGAACTATATACAAAATAAAACCCATCAACTCAAACCAAAGAATTAAGCTTTTGGCGGCAAACCCGAGGACCTGAAATCAAATCTCGTCTAGACAATTAATATAAATAAACATTAACCAAAACAAATTTTTAAAAAAAAAAAATCTATATATAAAAACCAAACCTTTTGCTATTCCTCTTAGCAGCTTCACGAGACTTGCGTTTCTTCTTATCATGAGGATTCTCAAACCATCTTCGTCTCTTACACTCTTGAATAACACCAGCTCTAAATACTTCTCTCCTAAACCTACTCAACAGCTTTTCTTCATGCTCGTTTTCTTCGACAACAACCTGCACATTATAAGTACCCATTGATGTTATGAACAACCCATTTCGATTTCTAGGGTTTTCTGGGTTTTTGAGAGAGATTGAAGGGCAATTTAGAGGATATGAAAGGTGGGTTTTTAGGGAAGGAGGGATTTGGATTTTGGTGTTCTGAGTTTGGGGGAAGAATGAGATGAGTTTTGAGAAACTTGAAGTTGCAGCCATGGCGGATTTCTTCACTTTTGATTTTTTTTTTTTTCAAAATTGTCTTTGCAGAGTAATTTGTTGGTACTTTTTTGTGATTTTGTGGGGTTTTGCTGGGGCTTAAGGTACTAGAAAGGTCTGCTTCAAATGAACCAAGAATGTTCCAAGAACTTCTAGTTATAATTTTTTTTTTTTTTTTTTTTTTTTTTTGTAAGGCACGGTGTGAATTTATACTATTTATTAAAAGGGGTTATTAAACAAGTTTAGGTGCCACATGGCACTCTTTTTATTTTTTACTCTATATGTTTAAGTCATGTGGCAACTCCAATCCTTCATTTAAATCCGACTGCCTTAAGTTTAAGCTCTAAGGTGCTAACCACTAAGCTATAATGCAGTAACTCGGGGCATCGTCCGGGCCTATAAACTAGTTAGCTATTGTAATATGTATTACAGAGTATTCTCGTTTTCCGATGTCTCACTAAAGATAATGGTCAAAGTTATGCATTGGATATTGTTAAGAAATCAATTACAAAATACAATCATTTTTGTGAAACGTAGAATGTACATCAGTACATGTTATATGACAATTTGCAGGTAGGGGATGTTCATTTGATATCGACCAAGGCAAATGATGATCTAGTCATATTGATGTGTTGGGTAAATAAGCTTAGTTCATGGTTACAATTATGGTAGGAAAACTGAAAGTGGAGAATTTGTGACCATATTATTAGAAATGCTAACACTAAGATGATGTATTGGGTCCTTTTTCATCTTATTGTTATCTTATTAGTATCATCAAAAATTAAGAAGATTAATAAAAGTAGGCTATAAACACTTAAAAACCCAGTACAGTGTGCAGTGTCCAGGCCTCCAACACTTAAGTAGCTACCTATGAGATACAAGTAATATTTACAGTGGATTGCAACAATGCCTAACTGTGCAGTACAGCCTACCAAAATCAAAACCCAATTAGCCAAGAAAACTGTTGGATCCAGGAATTCTGATAACCCCCTTTGACAGATTAGACGGAAGCCCGGTGCTTTTCTTTTGCAGACTACTTTCAGCGGAGTTCAAAGCTCGGGAAGCTTGGAGAGACATCTGTGCATGAAGCTGAAGGCATGCCATGGCCATCTATATGCACCGACAACCATTAAAACCGTTAGAGCGTGTTTATAAAAATCTGAAGAAGTGACATATGTTTCACCAAATCTAACTCACCGTACAACATTCTCTATCTGTGTCTGATTCAGCTATCTGAAGCGCCCATGTCCGAACCCACTCAAGTCCTCTAGAAATTTCCTCATTCCCTTCCATTAAGGAAGATGCTATAAATGAGGGATGAAGTGCTGTCAGACAGCATGATATAGCAAAGAGGACTGATCTCCGAACAAATGCTTCCTTGTGGTGGCATACCTCCCTGCATCAGTAAATCCATTAGTTCAGCATTAGTTAATGCAGTAAAAAATTATCAAGCATACAGACAAACATTCAATTCAGTCGGTTATTTTAATGGCACAAATTCCTTTCAAAAAGAACAAATCCCTACGAGATCCCACATAAATTTCTGTATACAATACGCTTGAAAGTGTGCTTAAATTGCGAAAGGGGGAAAATGTATGTGATGAGGAAAGTATTAGGCTAGTTGTTCAATAATCATCATTCAATACCTTGACCTAAGCATGTCCAGAAGAGCAGGAGCCAAAGTAGATGCTTCTGGATGCAGAGCTATGCATCTGATACAAACTCCAAGCATATAAATAAGTTTTCCTAAAACAAGGAAATCCCTTCCGAGCAAGTCAACTCCATGGCTTTTCTTATCAAACCCTTGCATAGCAGGAAGCATAAAAGCTGCCGCATAAAGAGGAAACTTGTTCTGAGACCAGTCACTCTCACTACCCTGCAAGTTTGCCGGTTTACGACCCCATCGGCGTGTTTTTCCTTTGATTTCTACAGACTTTGAAGGAAGTTCTCTCTCAAATCGGTTGGTCAAATTCAATGAAGAGAAAGGAAGTGTATCTGGGATTTCTTTCCAGGATCCAGCTCCAGATGGCCCTTTGCTACTAGGCAAGAACCAGGGTTGAGGTTCAGATGCGGATGATATCAGAGATTTTGGCTGGGTTTTCCTAACAATGGTTTTAGCATTAGCAAGTTCCTCAGCTGCATCTGTCATGACATCAAGTATCATGATACGCTGGCTCACATCCAAATGAGGAGAATATAAAAGTTTATTCGTAGTATTTACAGATTCAAAAGGGCACGTCACAAGCAATGCAACCAGTGCCTTCTGCCTTTTTTCTTCAGCCGAATCCTCCTCTTCTTCTAATACTGAATCAGTGCAACGGACTTGTACAAGCGTTCTTACTAGATCACTGGCTACATGCCGAAGTTCATCAGGTGATGCTCGCACAAGCTTTTCTGCAACATCAAGAGCTCTTTCAACCTGCATAAAAAGTGAGCAAAATTATCTAAACATATTTCTATATGGTGTCAAATCATCATCCTTTCCGCTATTATGAATAATGTAAAAAAGAATGCATAAATGAAAATTCCACTAAGCAAGAAGATCCACAAACAGGAGCAGTATAATTGAAATTATTTGATCAAACTACAGGTACATCAAACTACAAAACGGAAAAAAAAAAAAAAAAAAAAAAAAAAAAAAAAAAAGGGCCCCCTCAGCTGCCTTTTCTTTAAATCTAGAATGCTGTCAGAGATTAGGCGGCAACATTTTAAAATTCATGTTAATATAGAGTACTCCATATTTGATTTGAAATTAATGCTAATTAAATTCAGTTATGATTTTTTGATATATTGTAACTTCACAAAGATACCCCCACCAATGCATCTGCAAAATTAAGAAACAAAACAAAACAAACCCCTTAAAATCTTATTGGCTGAAAACTTATCGAACTCAATAGAGTTATAGATCAGGGCACTCAACATGCCAAGACTTAGGCCCTGTTCTGTTCATCTTGTTTCCACTTATTTCAGCTAAGATAATGTCTAAAAGTTCGGATACATTCAAAGAAGTGATAATCAGGTAAAAGGTAAATAGAACACACCCTTATATAACTTGGAAATAATGATCCCTTCATTCACAACAAGATTTACTACAAGACAGACATTTCAAGAACTATGTCAAAAGATGCTTGGTTAAAGCTCAAGCAGAAATGTGTTTTTGTAGAGCTAAAATCATTTAAAGACTCTGAGCTTAATGAGTGAAAGGTCAGGGTTCCCCCTGACCACGACAATGCGAGAAACGAAGACAGGGTTGGGATGAACAATCAGAAAGTGCAAAAACATCTTGAATACCATATGAGGAACATACTACCACAGGTCATCTTGTCTTCTATATGCACCTTTAGGTTTGAGTTGAACACTACAACTACATTTGGCACTTGGCAGCCATTAGTATCCCCCAGCACAAGTGTGCATGCTTGCTGTGCTGCTCACTTAGTTAACAATAGGGTATCCAGGACAGTTTTACTTAGAAGTCCAGGTGATAAAATATTCCTAGTTTTCTAGACCCCAAGTCACCTGCAATATCCCCCTCACCTTGACCCTTTTCTTTATTTTTTTATAATGTATGTGCAATTTAAGCCCAGTATTTTGCAATATCAAATTCAGATATCACCAACACCACCATAGCCATCCAGCACAGCTCCAGCCATTTACAATCTAGATGCACAGTTCCTTATTTCTAAACAGTCAAGACAAGAAATATAACTAGAAATCAGGCTGAATAACAAGGCTTACTCCATCTGGGTCATCAGATTTTCGAAGGGCCCCAACAACATCCACCAATTGAGAGATCCTCTTCTTAAGATCAGTGTCATCATCTGTCAAGTCATAAGGCTGCAATGACGAGTCACTTGAGGATTCAGAATCATCACTTGCGTTATCATCCACCTCTTCACCAGTGAGAAACTCATCGTTCAATGATGCTGGATCAACAATCTCATCAGGATCAACCAACATAAGCCCAAAAGGTTTCTTTTTTTCAGGATTCAGCTTGCTTCCTCTTTCATGGGTATCTCCATGGTTTTGGTCTTCCAGATGCACACCTTTATCATTTGATTCTGTATTCACCACGTTGTTGGAGGTTCTTTTTTTACTAGACAAAGCACCCTTTGAGGAGGGTAATCCAAATTTCCAATCTACATTTTCGTCTCTGCAGCTATCATCAAGGTAAAGAGGATTTTTCGGATCAACTACCTTAGAAAATACAAGTGCCACATTGCTAGCCATTTTTCTGACTAATTCATCAGGGTTCTCCAGTCTACCTATCAAGAAAAGAAAACACACTGGTAAGCTTTAAAATAACTTGCCAAAAAAAACCAAAAAAAAAAAAAGAAACAAAAAACAAATTTGAGAGGGTTCAAGATTGTACAGCTAACTCCTTCAAGAATTAAGCGCATAACATCCTTGGTCGAGTCTAGCTCTTCCCTAGACATATTCTCCAACAAAAGACCTGCCACAGCTGTCACATCTGCAGTAAAGGTTAAGGTGAAATGCATTCCAAAACACAAGTAACAATATTAAATAGTGGCATTCAGTGTTTAGCTAAATAATAGTGGAATCATGTACAAAGGGTAAGAAGAAACAAGAAGATATTACATGGAGATATAAGAAGAAACAGCAAATAATCACACAGAAATATTTTCCGAAAAGGATACAGAATTGCTGCTCTAAAGGAGCCGATTGTACAAATTCCCGTGTAGACCATACTTGTACAACACGGTTGACAGCTTCCAACAGAACATGATTGTTTTCACTTTTCTTCAACTTGCCATCATCAAAAGGGCAACCAAAAACAGCAAACTGGAGTATCCATCTCAAGCAGCAGAATGGAAATACTTTCAAGAGGAGAAATTTATCAACAAATATGACCCTGGGTAGAAAGTAGATAACAATGTAAGTCTGCTTATGCGTTTTTCATTCACAAATAAAAAATAAAAATCCCTATTCAGGACAGAATCTATCTATCTATATCTATATAGGACACTCAACCTAATACTTGACACATGTCGCTCTTACAATGAATATTTTCCCACCTAATTACTGAATACTATTTATGGTAATTCTAAAG